ACATTCTCTCCACCCCAAAACTTCTAAGAAATATTTAGATCTTTGGAGCATTAAAAGTGTTTATGCTGTGTTTTGGGATACCGGGCTTTATTTAAAGTAGTACACATTTTATTTTATTGTATGTTTTTAATTACATTTATTGTAACAAAAATAATTGTTAATTATTTCTATATTGTATATTATTACTCTTCTACTGTCTGCCCTATGGGGTCTGATTGCGTTTGAAGGTAAGGGGTATCAACGGTATTCCTAAATTACTTTTTCTAAAAATATTTCTAGGCTCTGAAATCTATGGTCGTGTCATGGTGGATCCTGTCCAGAATTTAGGAGATTCTTTCATCTGTAACATTGAGAAGGTGTTTTTGTGCACTGGGGCTGACGGGTATGTCCCCAAGTACAGTCCAGATAACAAGGAATATGGTTGCCTAGCAGACTCCCCTTCTCTCTTATACAGATTCAAGATTCTGGTATGTACCATAGTACAGTACAGCACAGTCTTAATACAAGAAGTTTTAAATCCTGAATGTAATAATGTATCAGTGTTGGTTTCTTTGTCTTCTAGGATAAAGCTCAGCCTGATACCCAGGCAAAAGTGTTTGGAAATATGGCCTTCAATGCAAAACTTGCTGTTGATCACATAGATGGTTATCCTTTGGTAAAGCAGCCAGGGTCTGATGGATTCAGCATGTTGTCGACTCCGCTATTCCAGGTAACCTCTGAGAGCAATATTGTTCCAGAACTTTTGTATGTTGGAAACTAACTTCCTAACTAGCAAGGTATTTTTAAAAACTCCTGCAGTTTTTCAAAATGCAGCCTTATGCATAACAGTGATTTTTTAAAAAACGTGTTCTGGGAATTTTGTCAAAAACGTTTTTTGCTTTCTTTGTTGTCATATAAATTTACATGAAAGAAATTTTTGGCACCATCAATCCAAACCTATTAATGATGAAATCTTTTTTCATGTCAGTGGAACTAAATAAATAAAACAGTTAAATGTTATTGATCAAGGGATGCATAACCTCACCTTCAAATACCTCCTGGAATAGATTGTAAACATTCCATCTTAAATCAAGGGACTGTATACAAAACATGTTTTATGTTTACATACTATGTTGTTAAAGCATTGTAAATAGCAGTGTCATGTTATTTTTATGTCAGGAGCAGTACTCTGGGAGACAGTCATATTTGAAATCTTGAGCCCCAGAGAGATTAGGAGGCATTTAGCAACTTAATTTTGCTTAAAGTTGTCATGTGTGTTTTTAATTTAACAGGTAGCAGCAGGTCGAGAATGGTACATCCACACTATCTACATGGTTCGGTCACGTGAGAATGCCCACAGAGGCCTTGGAAAGAGAAGTGTCGAGTACCATCACTTTCTATCTTCAGCCAGTGGAATCCCAGGTGCTACACATTCTGGGCGCAGTCGGAGAGCCATCTCGGATGCTCCTACGCTTGCGCAAGATATCAGTGCAGATAAGAATAGAGGCACCAACATCCAGCACATAGCTCTTGACCGGTCTAACAAAATTGTTATTGAGCAGAAAGATTGGTCCCCGCCAGGTAAACCATATGAGAAGCCGGTCCTGGAAATTACTGGAAGCGACATGGAAGACAGGATTGTACCTATTGTCGGAGGTGCAGCTGGGCTGCTGCTTCTGATCAGCACAGTTTTGATTATCATCTTCCTATTGAAGAGAAAGGGACGTTCTACTAATGGGAAAGCAAATTCCTGCACTGGCTATTCCAGCAGTAATGAAACTGTGACCACGCGGCACAGCAGCAGTGATAGCTCTGAAGTCTAAATTACATCACAAAGGTGAGGGTTGTCATTTGAAGATGCTTCATTTCATCATAAAAACTGGTATTGGGGGGCTGTGTTTGCACAGACTTGGGAGCTGCCGTGTTGGTGCTAGGTTGTGTGAGATTCCAGCATACAAAAAGTGTAGCAAACAAGATGAAGTGTGTAGAAGTGTGAGTGCTTTATTTATAACTTAACTTCCTCCCCACCTACCCAGGAAAACAGGATGGATTCCTGGAATAAACTTAGCTTTCCCCCTTTCTTCTTCAAATGGTGCTAAAAAAGATAAATCATCAGCTAGCAGCTATTAATGTGCCTTACCTACCATCATGAAAGCCTGGTGCTCCTCAAAGGGATATTGATTTCCTTTTTGTTTAACTTGTATGATGTCTAGTTATATCTGTCTTGTATATGGAAAGGGGTGGTGTGAGGGAGAAGGGGTCAGATTTTAATGAGATAGGGTAGAAGAAAAGTATCTGTAATTAAATATCAGAGCAGAATTGTGCTGTCTGAGTGGCTGAGAGATACACTGGAAAAAATGGAAAGCTAATTTAAAGAGTATTTCCCAAATGGTTTTACCAACAGGTATTACAAACACACCTTAATACAGTGGTACCTCACAAGACGAAAAACTCGCAGGACGAAAGAGTTTTTCGTTTTTTAAGTTGCTTTGCAAGACGAATTTCCCTATGGGCTTGCTTCGCAAGACGAAAACATCTTGCAAGTTTGTTTCCTTTTTCTTAAAACCGTTAATACCCAGGGTGCATTGCCTCGCAAGACGAAAAATTCGCAAGACGAAAAAACTCGCAGAACAAATTAATTTCGTCTTGCGAGGCACCACTGTACAAGACCCTAAAGCTGATGCGTCCTTAGTATTTTATCATGCCTTTTACAATAACCCTAAATCATTACTAGATGGCCCTTCCTTTTGTCTGCCTGCAGTTAGTAAAATGTCCATTAGTTTGGCAAATTTTGTAAGATATTGTGAATAACTTAAGACATTTATATCCTATAATTTGTTGTCAGATTCATTGAGCAAAATAACTAATCCAACTATGTAATCTCTAAACCATCAAATGCAGCCACTGCAGTAAAGGAGCTTGGAATCATTACCACCAAATGCTTTGGTAAAAGGGTTGTGCGAAGCATGTTTTCTAATGCTGTAACCACTGGGACGAGGAAGCTAGACTGCATGGTTTCTTATTTGTGTGAAGCAGGACCATGTGGTTCAGGCTGTTCTGTTCTATGTCAGGTAACCCTTTACCTTTGCCCACATTTTTGAAACAATATTTGGCACTGGTCAGCATCTGACAGACTCAAATTGCTGTAAGTTGTCCATGACAACTAAATACAGCAACCATCTCAGTTTGCCAGTGAGTATATATAACACTAAAAAACGTAGTTAAAGATTCATTTATTCTACATGCAGCTTTTGTAAATTTCATGTATAAATCTGCTGAGCATTGCCTACAGCTAAGATAATGGGTTTAGACAAGGTCTGTTCACAGAAAATTCAAATATGCAGAATTTTATGCATGTTTACTCAAAAGCAAGTCAATTTTTATGAGACATTTTCACTAAGTTTTATTTTGCTTAATTGGTCAGATTTTTTAACAGTGCCTATTTTAGAAGTATTTGCTTTTTCATTCAGGAGGTACTTTGTGCCCTGATACTTGTTTGCATCACAAAAGAAACAAACATATATGCAATTAATTAAAAATTCCTTATTGACTTTACAACCCCCCAAAGCACATAACTGTAAATAGTGTTGTTAAGAAAAAAACCTAAGTGATAAAACTGAAATGGGAAAGCTGTCAATTGATAAATCTGCCTTCTACAGCCTAGAGAGCATACACAATATGGTAGGGCTACAGGCTAGCCCTCCAAACATGGAAATTGAGTTTTACTATGGCAGCTGACCTCAGATACTTCATTTAGCCACTGTGGCCCAGTAGACTGCAGCAACCATTGACAAAGCCCGCAATCCTATACCTGTTTGTGTAAGATGTAAACCCCATTGAACTCAGGACTTACAGTACAATTCTCTAAGCTTGCTTGGAAGTAATTGATGCTATGCATTTTAAACTAAGGTAGAGGGGCTGCTCCTCCTGCCTACCTGTTTCTTCCAGAGTGCAAGGGAGGGCAAAGCAAATTAATCCAGCAAGTCCCATCAACCCAGTCTCTGTATTGTTGAAACATCTGCTTCAGCATCCCAAGTTACTGAAAGGGACTAAAATGCAAGTATTCCTTCATTACCTCACCTTCTGTGTGACTTGTTACTGACCAGCTCCTTTCTTGCTGTTTATGGAATCAGAGATATAAGCATTAAAACATGCATTTGACACTGTTGTATATTTCTGCAATATGCTTATGCTACTTGTTTTCCAGATATGAGCAAAGCCAATTCAGGCAAGCACTGAAACGTTATCATTGAATTGTCCTGTCGCTTATTCGTTCTTAGAATTGTGACCTTACACTTTTCATTGTGAAATTGCCAAAATGTTTTATAAAGGTTTTTTTCTTTCATACTTTTTTGTGTGAATTACTTGTCTCCTTGCTATTCTTACGCTGTTCTTACTATTCTTACCCCTGAAAATTAAGCTGGTCAGTTCAAACTAAGTTACGAAAGCCTAGTTTGTACAACAATCATGAAGCAATCAGTACCAACCACTGCAAAAGATGTTTGCATGTAAGTGAATACAACAGAGCTCTCATGAACTGGACTTACCTTTGAGATTTTTCTTTGCCTATTTCTTACATCCAGTATAGAAGAAGAAGAAGAAGAGGAGGAGTTTGGATTTGACATCCTGCCTTTCACTCCCCTAAGGAGTCTCAAAGCGGCTAACATTCTCCTTTCCCTTCCTCCCCCACAACAAACACTCGGTGAGGTGAGTGGGGCTGAGAGACTTCAGAGAAGTGTGACTGGCCCAAGGTCACCCAGCAGCTGCATGTGGAGGAGCGGAGACGCGAACCGGGATCCCCAGATTACGAGACTACCACTCTTAACCACTACACCACACTGGCTCTCTTTGAATAACTTACTCCACATTAACAATTAGTGGCAGCACCTCTAGGTTTATCTCTGTCTCTGTCTCTTACAGACAACTGTAAAAGCCGCTTTGTGTTGCTACTTCTGAACCCAACAAATCTTGAGCCATGAGTTTCAACACTATTCATGCAGAAAGAAAGGGACAACATATAAAAAAGTTAGTGACCAGTAAATGAAGCCTATTTTTTATTTCAAGTGTTAATGGTAAAAAAAAGTTCAGCACAGCTGTTTTATTTAAAAAAGTGAAACTACATTACTATTCTTCTAGTTCAGTAAGTAAACACATGAACCCAATGTCCTTTAATGACATAATAGTTGAGAATTGTACAGTACATCTTATGAAGACCCGTAAAATTAAAGAACTACTTTAAAGTTAGTGATAAGAACTTAGAATTCACAGCTTTAACTTCTTTTTCCTCCCTCTACCATCAGGAGTACCATCCAGCTTACGTTTCTGCACCTGGATAGGGAGTGAGAGAAAGATTAGATTTTAGCCATTAGTCATAAGTTAATTGGCCATGATCCAAAGGACCACAGAACTACACTGAATAAGCAGAAGAGTACTTTTGATCAGAGGAGTTTGAAAGCACCTTTTGAAATGGCATAGAGAGTCTGTTAAAAAGAAAGTCAAAATTCCAGTGGCACAAACCCCCAGAGCCAGCCTTTGGAAGCAGCTACAGAGGCCAGAGTACACATGTTCCTTCGGGGGATGATTTGGTCAAGGATTCAGATACAGAAAGCGAATGTTTTCAAATTATGTGCCAAAATCAACAGGTTCTCATCACATAAATCACTTGTAACAAATTCATATTTTACACTCACCAAAGATGGCTTTGGGCCCCGTTTTTTCTTCTCTGCCTTCTCTTTTTCTTCTAATTCCATGTTTTCTCTTTCAATCAAAGTGATTAAAGTGTTGCATCGTCTTTGCAGCTCCTGAGTTATGAACAAGGAAACAGACAGTAGCCACAACACACAAAACGTTCACACAACTACTACATCCTATTCCCAGTAGTCTCTGAATCAATCTGTGCTGAAGAAAAGGGCAGCTTGAAAAAGCCAACATTACATTAGTAGAGGAAAGAATGAATATGATCAAAGTAGAGCCCACTAGCACAGTGCTGTGGGCATTAAGTGAACTCTTAACAAGGAGGGTGTATATATCATTTCTGAAAAATCAAGTCATAGGTTTGATTTCTGCAAGTGGTGCCTATCATATACAGAGGACTAAGAAGCTTCCCAGTTTGGGGGATGGGAAGAAAAGAGATAGGAAGGGGCCCATGTAAGTCCCTCAACCAACAACACCCCTGGACTTTAATAAATAACCACATTGCTGAATACAGCATTAGTGAGGTTAGCGTATACATATTTTAAGTAGACATGTGACACCTTGACTTATAGCCACGTAAGCTTACTTCATCAGTGTGCATATTTTTAGAGTGAGCCTACAAAAGACCCTCACGGTAAACTTGCCAAAAATAGGGGCAAACACTGTAAGTACACAGGAGACAAGGCCCTAGTTGAAACAGTTTGTTCATTTTGGCCTATGGCTGCTAACTCCAAAGCAGGTTCCAGTGTGGAAGACAACAGCTCTAGTTCTCTGAAACAGTTTCTGAAGAGGTTCCCTTCAGAAGACATTGATACATTCAAACCAATACGTACCATTGCAGTTCTAGACTTGAGAAACCAATCAAATCTGAATTGGGGAGAGTTGCGAATACATTGCCTCAACTCATCATAAACATTTTCTTTGTCAAATCCTAGCTTGTGAAGCATGCAGATTAAAAAGCGATCTTCCTCTTCTGTATAATTTTTTCCTTTGTTAGTGCCATATGATATCCTCAGCTGGTGAAAAGGTGCTTTGTACCTGCCAATCTAAGCAAAAACAATTTAATGCACAGAACTAGATATGCATCAGTGTTGTGCAGGATAGAGACATGACCCACAGCTCCATATCACTTTGAAACATGATTTATGTTATGGATAACTATACTTTTCTAGCAACACTGAAAGCATCATTTGTAGAAAATCAGCCTGTATAACTCAACCCACTTTTTAATGGGCTATATTTTCTTTCCAATTGTGGATAATAGACTGTTTTCAAATTCGAAGAGGAGTAAACTATTCAGACAGTAATAGAGAATTAAATCTGAAACACCAAGAGCACTTCACGGTTTCAAGACTTAAGACATGTCAAGCTTAACTTCTGAAATATGGAAAAAGTAACTTGAAGAGAATAGGAAAGACAACATTTAAATGAAATTAAGTAGTATAATATATCATTACGCTGAAATGCCAGTGTAATTAAAAAGAAAGAATATATGATTACCTTTGTGTCAAGTGCCTTTTTAATACTGATCCGCCTTTGAATTCGAGCTTCACCTCTTTCAATCTGTGCCATTATCTTTTCTATATCCTGGAGTTCATTACATCGTTCCCAGAAAACAGCTGGGGGGGGGGATTATTTGCTAGTTACATCTTATGAAAAGTTCATTAGTTTCATAATCTTAATTAGGTTAAATAAATATGAATTTATAGCTACTGATATGTAAACAAGTCAGAGCTAGTATGATGTAACAATTAGTGTTGGACTATGACCTGGTAAAATGAGTTCAAATCCTCACTCAGCGATGAAGCTCAATAGGTGACCTTGGGCCAGTCAACATCTCTCAGCGTAGCCTACCTCACAGGGTTGTTGGGAGGATGAGACAGGGAGGATGGGGGGAGGAACCATGCTCACCACCTTGAGCTCCTTGAAAGAAACTGTGGTGCAAGGAACTTTCATTTTATGCTTATATAATGTATGTGTTGCAGCTTTATGTGCAATACCAATTTTTTAAAAAACATGATGCAAAAACGGCACACACACAGGGGAATAAAATAATGATGCATGCAGGGAAAAGATGGAAGGGAGCAGAGAAAAACAGCCAGCAGCCTTTGTGAGAGTAACTGGATGCAGAAGAGGCAGCTAGAGAATACGGCTGGGTGATACCTGGTTTTCAAAAGCTAAATAGTGCAATGTGCGATATATCACAATGTCTGGGGAGGTTAATCCTTTTGGCCTGGCAGGCCAGATCAAATGTCTTCCTCTGCTGACTGCCAGGTGTTTGGGAAGTGCTGCACACAGAAAAGAGCAAGCTTGGCAATCCTTGTGCTTGAGAAGCACAGAGCACAGAGCTTGCAAAGCTCCTTGGCACAGTGCATCCTAAGCACCTGGCAACCAGTTATCAGGCACTTATGAAGTACTTTGAAAGGGGCTTTGCAGGCACTGTCAACTGGCCTTTTTGAGAAAGCCCCACATTCACCTTCACCACAAACACTATAAATAATGTCAGGTGTAGGTAGGGCAGGACACTGGCTTGCCAGTAGCAGCTTTGCAGGCCAAATGGGGAAAGCCAACCAGCTATTATTTCCCATGCCCTTTATTTAGGCAAATATTCACTTTAAAATATCCTGTTGGTAGAAAACTGGCATTTTAATCCATTTTACACTGCATAAATCTCAAAACAGATTTTATGGCTGACTCAGTTGTTTTTAAGATTTCATAGAAAAAACTTCCCAAAAAACTCAAAAGTGATATCAAAAGTACTCACTTGCCTAGGAGTAAGCTCCATTGAACTCAGTGGAGCTAGACATGTATACACATGCATGTCTATTCAGACATAAAATCATTCACAGAACTTCTCACAAGAAAACATAAGTTACCAGAATATTCAATGACTTCCTCTGGAGTTTTTCCTTCTACTTCCCGGGCTATATTTTCAATGTCATCACGACCCCATTTTTCATTAGCTTTGATGAACTGATTGAAGTCTCTCTTATTCCAATTTGTGAACCCCTTAAAAAATAGCAAGATAGGTATTTAGGATTTTCATGTTTCTTTCAAAGACATAGCTTAATTGGGTCATCAGCTGCCTTGAGAACTTTCTAGCTAACTTAAGGGAGTTAAAACTTTGAAAACAGTGTTCTCTCTAAGTGACCCAGATTAAGCTTTATTTATCATGTAAATTTGTATCCTACCATCTTTTAATGTAAAACAATTCCAGGGTAGTTTACTACAAGGTAAGAACTAAGAACAGCATCAGGAGAACACGTGAAAACAGTTTAATCAGAGATTAAAATCTGAAGGAGAAAACAAAAACTAAACCTGTCTAGCATCAAAAACAGAAGGCACCAAGAACCCTTTATGGGGACAGTGGGTTTTATTATTATTTATTAAAACATATACACCACTTGATTGTAAAAAAAACCATCAAAGTGGTTTACAAAAGAAAAAAAACAGTACTTTGAGTGCTTCTCAAAAACAAGTTTTAAAGAAGAAAACAAATCAGTTTTCTCTTTGTAGTATTAACAGAAATGAAATGAAATGCACTTAGCCAGATTATGTCATAGAAGGATGACCATACCTGGGTTAGTAACTTTTCTTTTTCTTCCAACTCTTCTTCATTAAGGGGCTCAGCTTCATCAATTTTAATTTGCTCTTCCTTTTGTGCCTGGGATGCATTGGGTAAGTCAGGATTACGAGGTACCTAAAATTTACCAGACATCACCAAATACTTAAACTAAGCTTTCTATATGAAAAATTATTTGACTTTGCTAAGATTAAAATAAGATAAACCAGTGGCAAATTATATAGCATCAAAACAAAATATAAATTTATTTAAATGAAAATGAAAAACAAAACATTGGTTATAATTTACCTTGTACCCAATGGTTTTTCTGTAATAAAGAATCTCTTTTTCCAACAGTTCAAACAAACGTGGTGGAAAGAACTGGAAATCCTGAACATTAGGCTGTTTTGGAGGGCGTGGCGCCTTAAAAAAAGAGACACACAAATCAAAGAAAAGAAATCAAGGCTATTACACCATCAGGCCCACTAATACAGTAGGCAAATATTAGCAACTACAACCTCCCCAGAACAAGAACTACACAAGATACAAACTACAAATCATGCCAAAGGAAACAGCAGCAGAATAAATGTTTCTCAAATAATAGAACCTTCTATGGCAGTCTGTCAAGAGTAGTAGACTTGTGTAGTATGCTTAATTTTACACAAAATGGGTATTTTGGAAAATAAAGGCTTTAACAAACTGATTCCACCCCACCCTCCCCATAGCAAATAAGCTAGCTTTTTTTCTATTTATGTTCTGGTTTATTAATTAGCTTACTTTTGGTGCTTTTGGTTCACTGACACGAAGAGCTTCCCTGAAATAAGCATCAACAGCATAGTTTGCTTTTCTCTCACGCTTAGGTGGTTCAATCCACTCTGTGAATGCCATCTGCAATAAGCAATATTGTTGGATAATGAAATATTAACCAGTCTACAGATCCCAACAACACTGCGTGAAATTCTGGTCACTAAAAGCCCCTCATTACCTTTTGCTTCTCTCTATAATCTTCTCCTTCAAAGTTATAGACACTTGACTCTGTATCCACCGTAAAATTTCTGAGTGAGCTTTCGCCCATGTTGGAGAGTTTCTCATTCATTTCTGCAGTCTAAAAATACAAGAACCATTTTTTCAAGAAAACTTAATGCTCAATAACCAAATGAGAATTGCATGCAGTCAAGACAAAGCATCGTTAGTGGTATTCAAAATTTGACCTGGGAAAAAAGCTCACATTTTATTCTGGTATTTCATAACATGTTAACTTACTTTCTTTGCCCCTCTTTCCAAAATACCATCAATATCTTCATCTGTAATTTCACTCTCCTTAGAAGCAAAGACATGGGTAGCTCCATGCCTAATCATCTGCAACATTTCATCTTTCCCCAGTTTGTTCAGATTTTGATCCACTAGTCTTCCTGAATATGAAAAATGTTGTTAAGAAACAGAATGTAACACTAAGAGTCAAGTACTTTGAAATATGCTGTCATAAGAATGTTTTTAATTTTCTTTTTTGAAATCTGGTCAGTCATAGAAGCAGTGCTATTATTTGAAATGTCATTTCTATTGTATTCCCAACAATGCTAAGCAAACACTTTTGATTAAATTAGTATCAGTGTACTCAATCTTTAAACACTCTACTTTTGCCTATACAGTGCAGTTTACATTATTTTTTCATAGAAAAAAGAGATTTTCTGAAACAATACACAATACTTGAGACAACAGGTGAACTTCACTATAACCTATAGAAAACAAGTAATATTTAAACACTTGGATCTCTTTCTTTCTGCCTGGTAACATGTAATGTCTGATAACGGCTTCATAATAATTACAGACCATACTTTCTGAAACCACTTTCAGTAAAGGTATTTTTGTAGACTTCCTGGTTTTTGTGCAACTGAAATAATATTGGTCACTAAAACAATATATTCTCTATGTAAATAAAAGTTATTTAATAGTACTGATTTAGCCCATGGAAGTTATACATCTCCCTAAGATTACGTAAACATTTTTCCTTTTTTCTGGATTTAAAAAAGTCAAAAGTAATTCTTCACACAGTGCATAGTTTAAAACTGCAGCATTTCTTGCTAAAATGTGGGCAGCTTCAAAAGGGGATTAGATAAATTCATGGAAGAAATAGCTATCAATTTCTACTAGTAATGAAGGTTATATTTTAGCTTCAGTATGTAATGTAGTGTATCCTGAATACCAGTTGCCAGGAAACAGAGCAGGAGAGACATTGCACCAATGCCATGAGGCTCCAATAGGCATCTAATTGGCAACTTTGGAAAATAATGCTGAGCTAAAGGGCCCTTTGGTCTGATCCAGTAGGGCTTTTCTTATGTTATGTCCACACACTACTACAAAATGTGCATCATAAAACAGCTTCTTAACTTACTAAAAACACCCAATATCAACCAATATCACTGTGCACACTTGTTGAAAGAAAAGCCAAGTTCTATTTACCTTGTTGAATAACTATGGAATCCAAGCGAAGTTTCATTTCCGCTCTTTCCACTATTCTTTCTTCTACAGTGTTGTCTGTAATAAACCTGAATACTCTAACAGTCTTTGTTTGACCAATTCTATGTGCTCGATCCTACAAAGAAAAGAACTCAGTATTTAAGTTATCCACAATAAAGCACTAGGCATTATATTGAACTATATTCATGCAACTCTGCATAACTTAAAATTTATTCATATGAATGTAGAAGCCAACATCTTGAACAACTTGATCAAAAATGATAACACTGAGAAAAACTTTCTTTTATTTATAAAAGTACTTGTACACTGCAATTCATTAAAAAAAATGAAGCAATTTACAAAAACTGAACATAACCCATACAATTAAAACAATATAAAATGTTAGACCTCAAGTCAGCTATTGCCAACTTGGGGAACAATGCTCCTGCAGATGATCTCAGTGTCTGAGCTGGGATGTAAGTGTTCAGGGAATCCCCGAGTTACCCTGGACCTAAGTTGTTCAAGGCTTTGTAAATTAATACAAGAACACTGAAACTGGATCAACAGTAGATAGTACAATTTTAAAATAGGCTCTTGCAGAGTCAACGTGTATAGCATGAAAATGTGTTCAAAAACAAAGCAGAAGTGAGAGTCAAGTTCATGATTTCTAAGCTACTCTTATGAACCTTACCATAGCTTGTAGATCTACTTGAGGATTCCAGTCTGAATCATAAATGATTACAACATCAGCTGTAGCCAGATTGATTCCCAAACCACCAGCTCGTGTGCTCAGCATGAACACAAACTTTGAGCTTCCAGGTTCATTGTACGCATTAATGGAGGCCTATATAAAAAAGAGTCAGTCAGTACATCAATATTGGTTCATAAATTTTCAAAGAGAAAAAATATTAAGCTTAATTCTTCTGAGCACCTACTTGTCTCTCATCATGAGGCGTCTGCCCATCAAGCCTACAATATTCATAGTTTCGCCACATGCAATAATCTTCTAAGATATCTAGGACTCTGGTCATCTGACTGAAGATTAGGACGCGCGAATCTGTTCAAGATTTTAGAAGATAGTTCAAAGTAAACCACACTCTCAAACCAATTAGTGATCACTCAAGAATTTTAAGAAACAACTGCACAACTGCAAAGTTTATGGCAATCCAGAAGTGTACATCAAATACATAACTAAAAACATTAATTACACAATCACATACTATTTTTATGCATAAAGCAACTATGAAATCAGTTTAGATCAGCTGTGTTTGCAGAGGTGACATCATATGACTGACAGGTGCATCCCTGGTCCACACCCAACAGGCAAATATTTGAACAGGTTCTATGATTTTGAAATATTGTACACAAGTTCTCCAGGAAGAAGGGCTGCCAGAAAGGGTTAACTCCAGCACCTTGCACCTAAAGGAATATTTGCAACTAATCACTTGTTTGAATAATGTTCAGGGTACAAAAAGGGCTTCTTCAGGAATAGTCTCACTGCTATAATATAGCTTAATATTCCAAGATTTCACTAACAGGCAGACCCTACAAGTTGTGTATAGTACTGTCTAGGATCTCAATACACCAATCTTGTTCCATTTAGTAGTAAAGACTGAAGATCATTAATTTATAACTACAAGGCACTATAAAAAGCCCAAACTGGGCAAATACTCCCTTATCAAATAAGAAAAGAGGCAGTTTCCCACCTGCATTTACCAGTAAGATAAACATGTTACCTTGTTCTTTCAATTTTGGCAACAGTTTGTCCAAGACAACCATTTTGCCACTGTTAGTAACCAAATGCATATCTGTTGTGTAAGGTGGGCCAGGCTCTGCTCCATCAAACAGGTATGGATGATTACAACATTTTCGCAACTGCATAAGAATGTTCAGTAATCTCATTTTGTCCAGTTTTCCAGCAGAATTCAATATATCAATGTCCTTCATTAAGATTCTTGTGTACCTGTATTGAAAGAGTAAGGCAACTGAGGATCATGTCACACAAACAGTTTTCATACACAACCAGCAAGATGAAAGATTTCGTTCATTTATATATTAATTTCAATTACTTACCATTCTCTCTGCATTTTGCTGAGACCTACATATATTTTAACTTCCTTTTTTGGAGGCAAACTTTTCTCTACTTCAGCTTTAATACGACGTAAGAGAAATGGTCGTAGCACCTACCAAAAACACAAAAAGCAGCACATGACTTCAAATTGCAGCACTACACATGAAAGACTTATTCATATTACAGATACTTCAGAACTATATTGCTTTCCACCCCCTTTCAATATGGCAGTCTGTACATGCTGTAGGCATTCCATACATATGTAAGATTCAAAAAGATTGCCATACTTTGTATCAGAGGCTTCCCAACTATATTAAGTGGCAATTGAACCCAATCTCTTATTAGCCCCATTATCTACTATGCATTAATTTTTGTAACATATCAACTGAAGCTCGCAAGCAGAAAATTATTCACCTCCCAAATACAATGCATATAGAAAGTTGATTGTGCTACATAGAAGAGTAGAAACATTCCTGTGAAGTTCAATGGATTAAACTAACTGATAGTATAATTAAAATCTCACCATATGGAGCCGTTCCACTAGTTTTTGATCCCCAAGACAGTTGTTTGTATCAAACCATGAATCAAAATCCTGTATTGAAGTATTAAAAAGTTATAATCAGTCACATTTCAGAATAAGATAACCCATTATTTGTCTAAGAACAAAAATTGGTATTTATTGTTGTTATGTAGTTCTGCAAAGGCTAAATCCAAGTTTTCAGGAAGCATACATAACGCTTATAGTTCAAGCTTTCCTTGCGAAGTTGTAAGAATGTTCTGGCTCTGTTTCCGATGAATTAAGAGACAGAATATGCTGCAGATTCCCTTCAGATAAATATTTGAAAATTAGGTGCTAGGCACTCATTAACTCACAACTCCTACCTTTCTTGCACTAACCATGACTTCACATAACACATGCACTGACACAAGCAATGGATAATACAATCCAACTTCCTGCCCAGCAATGCTTTGCAAACCTACTTTATGCCTGTTTCACAGTTGACAATTGGTTCACATATAATGCAAAAACAGAACCAAAGTCAAGATTGCATTGGGAGGAGGAAAAGTTACACTGGAAAGTAATGTTCACAAGGCTCCTATTTGCAAACCATAGTTTTGTAAAAAGTCAAAATTACACCTGCCACTAGCCAGATAAGTCAATTTCCATGTCCAAATACAAGGTAGCCCAATCAGCATCAGTAAGGGATTATTTCTGCCTTATGTGCATTTGAAGATTCTAGAGACCTGAATTGGTTTGTTCATTAGCATAAATACATAAAAGTTATTTTCTCAAATAGAAAGTCTTCCCACTTTTTCAAATTATTTACATAGCATAGAATGTATTTTTTTTAAAAAAAAATTCTAGCTAAATATGCTTTCACTAATTCTTTCTTTTGTTTTATCAACTATAATCTTCCAGGAAAAGTAATCTTATATTTCTGAATAGTCCCAAGGAGTTCAATGGGGTTTACATCCAGGCAAGATGATAAAGTTTGCTTCATGGAATACTAAGGATGCCTATTGCCATTACTCTGACAATTATAAATACATTTGAGAAGTTTTGTGGCTAACAAAATTTCACCTACACCACCTTCCCCCAACCTGCTGCCCTCCAGACATTTTGAACTACAAAGTCCCCTAAGTCACAGTCAGTGGGTTGGGGAAGGTTGCTATATACGCAAACCACCAAGTATTATAAGAGATCTCTCATGAATGTGCACACCAAATATAAGTAATCAACAGTATTTGATAGGCAAGATTAAAGTGAATTTTAAAAGTTGCAAACCCTTACATCAGCTGAATTAAAGACGTCTGGCAGTAAAAAGTTAAGAAGTGCCCAAAGTTCATGCAAGTTGTTCTGTAATGGTGTTCCAGTTAACAGTAGTCTATTTGTAGTCTTGAACTCTCTCACAATTTCTGACAACTGAAAGAAAAATACATATATATATTTTAAACTTGCAGAAATATTTTTTGCATGATTTAAATATTTACATCCACTGGGTGTTTCAAAATACCTTTGATTTTTCATTTTTGATCCTGTGAGCTTCATCAATAACAAGGTATCTCCAGTTAAATTTTTTGAACACCGATTTCTCTTTAATGAGCATTTCATATGATGTTACACAGACATCCCATTCACCAGGCAACAATACATCTCGCACAAATGCAGCCTATTAAGAAGAGGGAGGAAAATGATTTGAAAAACTGTAAAAATACAACTATTATTTCACATATTTCACAAAGTACCTTGGTCACCTCAGGTTTGATGCTGGTTCTTAAAAGTATTTCTCTAGACCAGGGCAGTCCAACTTTCCATACCAAGTGGGCTGCAAGAGTACGTCAACACAGAACCTGCAGGCTACACACAGAATTAAATTTCCAAATCATAAATTAAAAGTGTTTGTAATGTATTTATTATAATATACACAACTGATAATGTATGCACTTTCATTAACAATGCATGACACAGAAACTTTTTTTTAAGGCTTTAAGATGATTTTTATTGAATGTTGCCAAAGTCCCCATGCGTGAAATGTAGCCTGTGGGCCGTAAGTTGGACCACCCTACTCTAGATCATCTTAAAATGTTCTGCAAATTCATGGTGATATAGAATTAAAGCCTGTGGGATGCGGAGAATATGGGGTTCTGGGTGGGATCTTTCCTGATTAAGTTCCACATCAGAACTTAAAAGAAAGCTGGTGCATTAGAATCCAAGAACCTGAATCACAGTCTCTGGAAATATGTTTATAACACAGTTTGTTGCCTAGCTTAGCTGTTGTTTGTTTTAAACTAAGAGCCCTGGTTTGTATATTCTGCTAAACAAAGATGCTTTGAAAGTGAAACTAAACTTAGCAAAAGTCCTTCTCTTGGGAACATAAAATGAGAAATGGGAGGAGCACAAAAGCATATTTCACTCAAGGTAATCCACATGGTACTAAATATTGGTTTAGCATTATGTGCTAACTACACCAGAAAATTTTAGGGAAACACCGAGGTGGTTCATACTCACTCGCTGGTCTTTGTCACCTATCAGACATACTGCCCGAAGAGTTGGCACCCATCTCTTAAACTCACTCATCCAATTATGTAAAGTTGATTTGGGAACTAATACCATATGAGGACCAGGAATATTTCTGTAGTGTTTCATATACCCAAGGAGAGAAATTGTTTGCAGTGTCTTTCCCAGACCCTATTAACAGAACATGTATCAAGTTAACTTGAGAAGTTTCCAGTCACCAAGATAAAAAAACTAATATATACATAGGTAGGGGGTTAGACTAGATTACCCTCAGGATCCCTTCCAATTCTATGAGTTATATGTCTATGAGTTAAATATTCTTACTAGCCAAAAAGACACAACGAACAACAAAAATGTCCTCTACTCAAGACAGAACATGTATAAAGAAGACAAACACAGCTAATTCCCTAAAAAACACATTTTTGAAGCTGTCTGCTTGCAAAACTTTCAATCAGTGCAAAGGCATGTTTAATTTCTCTTTCAGCTCTGCTAGACAGGATTTGTCCATTATCCAAATTATCAGGTGCACATTTTTCTTAATCATCTTCTCCAACTACATGCTGCATTTCTCAATATAACCTGTCACATGCCTTAGAAGCTATATCACTTAAACTGAATCTGGAAGCAACTTAGTCCAGAAGCAACTTTCAGCTGCTTGCCAGAAGTAGGAACAATAAGCAGTGAGGACATGTTGATGCCAGTTTCTCAAGCTTCTTGAATGCTAATTATCCAACAGATGGAAACATCTTCCTACAATCTCAGAATATTGGCCTTTCTAAATGTGAAACACTCTTAACCAGAAAAGCAGCAACTTGAGAGCCTACATTGTTCCACAGAACAATAAAGATATTCTCTAGTTGGATTTTACTGAGGCAAATCAGCATATGAACGTCATTATGTACTGTAAAGTGAACTGTTGCATTTGCCGTTATGCATCTAGTTTAAACCAATGTCAGATTTAGCCACAATGTAGTACAAAGACTCTGACAAAAAGAATGTAGTAACTATTTCAGTTTAGTATGATTACATCTAATTTAAATTTGATAATCTCAGACAAAATCAGTTGTTGCACATACCATTTCATCTGCTAAGATACCATTGATGCCATTTTCATACAAAGAAATGAGCCAATTCAACCCTCGGACTTGATAATCACGCAGTTTCCCCCATTTTACATCTGCAACAAAAACAGTATACGGTATAAAATAGTTAAAGTCACCATTAATAATACTTCCAATGATGAAGAAAAACACACCAGATGATATAAGAATATTTTAGTATATATCCTAACAGTGAGCATGCAATGCAAGTCCTTGGGGACACCAGGACCAGAGACGCCTCAGCTGCAACAGCAACTAGGGTACCCAGAAGTGTTTCTCTCAGTTCTACCTGCAGATTTGCCGAACTTCAAGTTTTGGTCAAATGTCCTAACATCTTGTTAGCCATAGCACAATACTTCCACAGGTAAGCCAATCAACACAGATGAGCGAGAAAGCTATCTCGATTGTCTACTTTTTAAAAAAACAAACACACAGTTTAGCTGGTGCACTGTAATGACAGCAAATTCCTCTTGGCAATGAACATGAAACACACCAGGGGAATAAACCATGTATTATAAAGGATCCAAACAGACTATGTACACACTGCCCAAACAGATCACTACATTTTTATTACCTGCAATTACTTTTGGTTGGTCGATATTTGGCAAATGTAAGGGTTTCTGTAAAATTTGGCAGAAAACATTCTCTATTTTAGTTTTAAAATACCATATTTTTCCGTGTATAAGACTAGGTTTTTCCCCTTTAAAAAATGTCAAAAATTAGGGGGCGTTTTATACTCTGGGTCATCTCCCTTCATTTTCTTAAATCTGAGTCCCTCAAAACAGGGAGTGTCTTATACATGGGGGCATCTTATAGATGGAAAAATAAGGTAAGTAATTGATATTGTACCACAAACAGCAAAAGCCACTACATACATGATGGAGAGTCTTCAAAGCGGGTGCAGACATTAGTGGTCTTTGAGCTTTCTGTTAACAGCTCCTCATCCTCTTCCTGTTCAGTTCTGCGATGGCGGTAGCTAAAAACAATGCATCAGTCTAAGTATGCAGCAACTACCATGTATACCAAAACACTCAAAGAAGCATATTGCCCGAGAAGCATAACACAAGTACAAGGAAGACCTTGCCACTCTTTCCACTTCCATGTCCCAACTGGAGAGGAAAATGATAGTAAATGACAGGTTGCAGAAGTGAGCTCTCATTCCCTTCTCCAATCCCAAACTTAAAAGAGAAGCAGGAGACTGTCCCAGAACTTGTGGAGTCGCAAGCACAAGGTCAGGAACAACAGCCTGCTCCTCTCACAGGCAGTATCTGGTAGCCATCAATTTTGAGCTGGCTACAAGCCAGGCAATATCTGTAAACCCCTGCAATACCTAAATATCCTGATATATGTATACCTGTATTTAAAAGATTATTTCCCCAGTCATGTGATGCTAATAAATATTGACTTTGTTTTTAGGAAGTTGTCTACACTGTGGAATAAACTTAAAAGAAAAACACAGTTTACAGAAAAGTGGCTTTCTCTAGAATTGTGCTTATACATTGGAGTTAATTTTTTAAAAAACTATCTCACCACTTTTTATGCTCTAGATTGACACTTGTCTGTGAAAATAATTCCAGTGATAATAATTCCAGTGATAATCAACAGATTGGGTAGTACTCACTCGCCAACTGATAGGAGATTTTGTTTTTCATCCTTCTTTATTCGTGGCCGTCCTGGTTTCATTTTCAAGGGTGAAGTTGGAGTCTTTTGAGCAGCAGGCTGAATGAAATGAGCAAACAATTCTGTTTGCTTCAACAGATACTCAAATCTGTTTGCTCTGTCTGTTTGCTGGAATAAGAATGAAAAATATAAGCAAAGATGCAAGCAGGATTCTAGAATTACATTAGCTTTCAGCATGTCAGAATCAACTACATATTGCCCCATCTAAAATCAACCTTCCTGTTTAGGCTAAGAACATCTAAAGATGTACACACACTGAACATTCAACCCTAGTTCTGAAGACAACTCTTTTGACATCAAGTTCATTGCCATGGTTAGAAATATAACATGGTTGTCAATATTTCTACTGGGGGGGGGGGGAGAGATGCAAATTTTATCTTTAATTAACCCTGCAAGGTTGAAGAGTAGCTGAGCAAAGTACAGAGGTTTGTTTTTTAAAAAAACACTAATATCTACTGAGTTGTAAAGATGTAAATGAACATTTAATCTAACTGCTGAAGGCTTGAGATGCGCAACCACACTGCTAGTAGGAATGCTAGTCATTATCTGAAATATTTTACAAATAATTATTTTACTTCATTTCTGTGCCAGGTACATTATATGTATGCATTTTATAATTCTTGTTCCAAAGAAAGAATGCCTCCTCCAGTCAGGAGAAAGGAGGTAGCAGATATTTCCACACAGCAAATATTAACTGCTTAGACCATGAGATGAAACAGGTATGCAAATAGAGAACATAGCAACTGGTTCTTTAAGACTAGAAGACTACATACTTTCTTCTTTTCTGACTCTCTGCTGGCAGAATAATAGAGAAGGATAACATGAAAGCTGTCTGGATGTCCTACAATGTTTGCAAGTTTAGAAACATGGCAGGATACTCAAGTGTCTGGCTGTTACTTCTCTGTTTCTCAGGCAGATACGCACAGAAGACAGCAAATATCGGAAGTCCCTGTCATGCAAGTTGTCTTTCAACCCTTCTGACAAGACAGGGTGGGAGGACAGGAGAAAGCAGAGAGCAGCAGGAAAGGATGTCCAAGCCTGACATATAAGCAGCTATTTAGTCTCTAAGCATCAGCAGTGGTCCCACCTGGCTCTCTCCATTCTTTCAGAGCCTTTTATTCTTAAGGTAATAGGTACTGAGAAAACCAGGTGGAGACATCACTGCCCTTCAAAAACTATCACCTACCTAAGTGCCAAGTCACGTTTCACAACTGTCCTTTTCCCCTTACGAACTAATTCCTAGTTCATAAGAAGGGGGACCAGGATGTAATTGCACTCGACTTGTGGAAGCATCTCTTGTTATTACCACAACTGTCCCTACCACATCGAGTCTATGAATGGTGCAAGGTGGGGGAGGCCATGGAGAAGCAAAAGGTACAAATGAGAAACAAAAGAGGTCTGTAGCACACAAGGCAAGTGAGTAGAATAAACAATATTTTCTGCAATCTTATTTGCATTGTGATGTGAAATCTCAGACAAGAAGAGATTAACATCTTTATCAATCTTCTAAACCATCTAAACAATCCTTATTAGTATAAAACTACAAACCATTTTCTCTTCATATGTAGGATCTGGTTCTTGGTTCTCTTTTTGTATTCCTGGAGATTCGTCATCAACCACATCCTGGAACATAAAAATTAAAAAGAGATACTTTGTTTTCTTTCTGCACCTCAAAACTTCACAAATGTATCAAGTATTTAAGAAGCAGGTAACCCAAAATGGTGTTTCTCATGACAAGCTGCATTTTTTAACAGCCTACCCAATCTAATAACAGAGACGACAAACTACCATATTTTTCCATCTATAAGACACCCCCATGTATAAGACAACATTTTGGGGACAACAACCAATCGCCAGTCCACCCTCTGCATTAGCCGTGTATAAGACTCCCACTGATTTTTGACATTATTTTGGGGGGGGGGACCTAGTCTTATACACAGAAAATATGGTATATTAACATTTGTTGTCTTGATCTCATGTACCTTTTAATAATGTTGACTGTCCAATGTTTATTCCTTTCTCCCAATTTAGAATTATATCACCATCAAATTGCTGATCATACTGGGTCTTCTACTGAAAATTGTTAATCTAAATATTTTTTCCATTACAGTAGTTTTATAATGTATTATTTATTCATTGCAGAAAATTTCAGTAGACCTTTTGTAACTTTTAAATTGATAGATGAAGAATATTGTAGATAGTACGTTTCAGCATTTAATTCTCCACTCAATACAGGTACTATAGTAACATGGTAACAAGTATGATGGGAAAGAAAGGCAGTTAGGGAGTTTTATAATACAATGTATTTCCAGTGCAATGTGAAATTTATTATATAGCTATCAGAACCTATATAAACATGTTCTTTCCCTATGGCCTATTTAGTGAAAGCAAATTATAACCTGGGGGTGGGGGGGAGAAGGAAGGCAGAAAAGAAAACAATACGTATTACTTTAAGAGGAAAAATGACCAGATCACAAGGAAATTTTAGTCAAACAAAATAATTAATAAGAGTTCATTTTATTTAAAAGCTAATTTACTGACTTCCAGTTCTCCAGTGTATTTGTTTTTAAATTAGCCGATGTAGTTTCAATGAAGTCTTCAAATACAGTCCTGCATGAAGAACTTTATGGTAATCCAAGTAGACTATCATCACACATGAATTGCCATGGCCAGAAAAGGAGCCAGTGGGCATACCCAAGTTTGTACAGTAATAAGAATGCTATTGGTCACTGTTGCTACACCAGCCATGAACCTGAGTTTTTAGGGGCAGTGTAAACCCATCCCACACAGATTGCACACTAACTATACTAAGTAGGTTTACTCCTGCTGGCAACAGCCCTCCAGGTGCTCTGTGCATGTTTATGTGCAAACGTGTGTGTCTTCACAGCTCTGCTACCTGCATTCCCCTGCTTGATGCCAGAGACTGGATCTGGGACATCTAGCATGCAAGGCAATGCATTTTCCACTGAGCTGTGGCCCCAGTCAATTTTTTAAAAAAGTAATATTGAGGAGGTAAGGTGTAGAAATGGATTTAGCTTGAATAATGACTCCCTGTTAAAGCATTTAAGTTACAAACAATCTTAAAATTCCTTATCTTGTAAACTGTCCCGTCTGTCATCTTCAGATGAAGGATGGCATTATAAACAAACAAACAAACAAACAAACAAACAGTTCCCAATCCAGATCCTGTCAGGATTAGGTTTCAGTTTGTTCATCCAATCTTCAATTGCATTCCCAGGATTAAACAATAACAGTTAGAGTTGAGTACTAGCAGCATACTGATATCACTGTACCCAAGGTCTCCAAGCCATATCACCCAACAATTTCATGTTTTGTAGCACAGGAAATAAAAAGGAACATTTGCACAACCCACAAGCCAGCAACCATGGGGTAGAACTCAGCACCACCTCTTGCTCCAATCACTTTAAGACCTTCCCTGGCTCCAACCTGGAAAAGTTATCATGGATATATATTTGAAGAAGAAGAAAGACACTGAGGAGATCTTTAAGAGACAACAGGGATGACTTTTCCCATCCATTTCTCCTATAAAACCAGATCTAGTTCAGTATCGTGCAAAGAACCCCTGGCATTTGAGAGCAACTACACATTCCAATATCTAAAGGAAGAATTGACACTAGTGTGAAGTTATTAAAGTCAGTTGGATCTACTGAGGACTACCTTTAGGAGCAGACAGGGTACACTTGAAAAAGACCACAGGGACTGTAGGGACCACTCTCTCATCAAGGAGGCATATAGCAGCACCTCCATTATGCAGCATACTACCTCCCTATGACATATGTATTTAACCAGGGTGAGCATGGATACTTTTCAATTTGTACACCCCAATGATGTGGACAGGATTATTGGCAATGTGAGAGCTAGATCCTTGGCCTTCCTGGCTCATTAAAAAGGCCAGTAGAGGAATGGCTGAGTGGGTAAAGAGAGGGGTCAATGCCTCCTTACAACAAGGAAGGGTTTCAGCATGCCCAAAGGAGGCAGTTATAAAACCTCAATGGAAAAAGCCCTCCCCCTGAATCCCACCATACTGGATAATTAGCTGCCTGTTTTCAATATCCCCTTTTAGGGCAAGATACAGGAGTGTGTTGTGGTATCTGAACTCTAGTGGTTCTGGGATTCAACAGGTTATCTTGGAGCATTTCAAACTGGTTTCACGCCTGGTTATGGGACAGAAACAGCTTTGGTCGCCTTCATGGATGACATGCAAGAAACTGTACAGGAGGAGTATGTCCCTGTTGGTTCTGCTGGACCTTTCAGTGGCTTTTACACCATCAATCATGGTATCCTTCTGAGTCACCTTTCTGAGATGGGACTTGGGGGCACTATTTTACAATGGCTCTGTTCCTTTCTGGAGGGGCAAACCTAGAAGGTGGTCTGAGGGATTCCTGTTTGAACTTTGGCCATTAGCTAGTGATTTTCCTTAGGGTTCTGTCCTATTCCCATGGCTGTGGAACTTAAGACAAATTCCTGAGCCGCAGCAGGTGAAGGACCCTAAGCATTAACACTAACATCCCCACTTGGTCCCTCCACACGTTAACAAAGGTAAAATGATCAGCTTCACAACACAATGGTGTGTGAAACCATACAAGGCACCCACTACCTATTATTACCCCCCCTGTTTAAATCAGGTGGTTCAACAACTTGCAGCCTTTGTGTTTGTCTGTATGAGTAGAACTTTTAGTGTACTAGCTGTTGCTGTATATTAACCACCAATATAGTTATATAAGGCAAGATTACACAACAGAACAGAAAAACACCAAAGACAAAACTATGAGGCTGCAAGTACCAGGAAATAAGTTCTTTTGAAAACAGTAGGATCAGGTCTTTAACAGTCCCATATTTCCCCATATTAGGAAAATGTATATAAACTAGAAACAGGTGCACAAATGATAATACAACATGGTACCAAACAAAAGAAAATGTATGCAACATTACCATTGGTGGTGGGGTAAATGCATACAATTGACTTTTTATTCTTTTCGTGGGCACAAAATATCTATTTTTATCCATTCCACCTTAGAACATCTGACCGGGGCAGGATGGGCCACTTGTTATATCAAAGTATCCTAATAGAAGGCCAACTACTCTGGCTTTGTACCGGACACACAAACCATGAAAGACCTATAACAACCTAAAAAAATCAAGCAGGCCTTTTGTGTCGTATCCCCACCGCAGAACCAAAACAACCCTTGCTGCACTGGCAGCAACGAATTCACTAATCAACCCAGTTTGCGAGTGGGGTAACTTTCGTGTGTAGCCCATCCTGATTTCACTTGTTTGAGACTCGCTTCCGACAAAAAAACAACTTTAAGGACTGGACCGTTTGAGGGGATCGCGGTGTGTGCGGAGAGGGAGGCTGCTTTCCCTGGAGGGATCTGTGCGCCCCCTTCCTCCCCTCCAGTTAACGCTCAGTTGCTTGCTTTGTCGGGCCGCTTGCCACGGCAAAGAAGAAGCAGAGGATCCCGCCTCCGGGAGGAAGGAGTCTCGTCGCTGGAGGTGCCAACCAACGCGCCCGCCTTCCTCAGAGGGGGGAAGCGAGGGCGGGACGCGCGCATGGGGCTCCTGACGCGAACACCCAACGCACGTTGGCGGGGCTTCCCGAGGCGCTTCTGAGAGGAGCCGCTCCTCCTACGCCTCCTCTCTCTCCTCCTCCTCGCTATTGTCTCAGCCCCACGCGGCTCGGCTGGGGCCCAACCCGGCCGCTCTGAGGCACCGCCGACGAGAGACGCGGAGGCTACAACCGACGCTTCGGTCGAAGGAGAAGCGCGCTGAGGGGGCGGCACTGGACCGGGGCAGCGACTCCTGCCCCCCCCCCCGCCGCCGGAGCGGGCCAGCGAAGAGCCTCCCCACCGACCGGGCAAGAACCGGCGACGAGGAGCTTCACACCTTCGCCGCTGCCCCCCTCCCCCCCCATCCGGGCGCCGTTTCCCTTTTTGTTTCCTCACCGCTCCTTCTGCGTCTCCTCCGGGTGGCCCCTCCGCGGCGCCCGCCCCCGCGTTCTCCGCGACGGGAACCGAAGCGCCGGCAGGCAGGGAGCCGGCGTTCTCGTTCTCCTGCCCCGCCGCAGACATAATGGATACCCCCGTCCACACACGGGCGGAGGGAGAAGAGGAGGCCTGGCTCGAAAACTCCGCCGCTTATATATTGATATATGTCTATATGAGGACGGGTCTCGCCGCTAGTTTCGCTCCGCGCGACTCGGGCCGGTCCTTCTTCTTTTATTCTTCTTCTTCTTCTTCTTCTTCTCCCACGGCCCCCTCTCGCCGCTGCCGCCCCGGCTTTCTCAGCGCTATCCCACCAACCAGGAACAGAGCCGGCTCTCGAGTCTCGCGAGACAGCCTCTCGAGGGCGGGGAGGCGGGGGAGAGGAAGGGGAGCCGAGACGCCGGCGCTCGCAGCACACGGACTCTGATTGGCTAAGAGAAGAGAGAGGAGGCGGCACGGGACGCTGCCTCCGCGATTATTTTGGCGTGAGGGCGGAGGAGGAGGGATTTGGGGCCGCGCGCGCGTGTGTGAGCGCGATTCCGGAATCAACGAGGGAAGGGCGGGGACTGTGTGTGCGTCATTTGAGTAGCGGGGAGGGCACGGGTTCGTTCTTTTCGCGCGTTGGGAGCGGGGCGGAAGGCGGGATAAGCCTTGGACGCGCACATTGGGACGTTTTCACACATGATGTTGAAGGCACGTGCCAGGATCTGTTTGAGTGCCTGCCATTTTTTTATTTTTATTTTTTAGTAAAATGCTTGTACAGTATTGCTTTATTTTATTTGCGAACCTCCGGCCTGCTGCTATAGCGCATCTCTCAGATAACTAAAATACAGCAACTTGAGGATTAAAAACAACAGTATAAAACAACGATCCGATGTGAAAGCGAAACGGGGACAGCAGATATATCAAGTGCGCCACATTAAAAACATCCGCAAAAGAAAGCGAAAGCCTGCCAGAGTTTGTTCGTTTTTAAAGACAGGAAGCGTGGGGAAGCAATGCATTTCTTATTTCGATAAAGGGGGTTTTCAGCTTTTATGGGATTCCAGCTCCCTTCAGCCTGGCCAGTGGTCATGGGTAAGGGAAACTCGAGTCCCAAAAAATCTGGGGAGCTGCTGCCTTAATATAATCCTGACCATACATTTAACTAGAGTTTGCAACATGAGATGCAATTTTGGGGTTTTATAAAATCGCATCCATTTTTTTGTTAGTCATGCAAAGGTGGGGAAAGCAAGACAAGCTGAAATTCCCTTTTCTAAATTATTAAAGTTACAGATCACCTGTCCTTATTTGGGTCAAGTAGGCACCTTGCTAAAAGAAACAAAAAAGTAACAGCAATCTTATGACCCACTTTAGAGAAAGAGGTGAACTACAGTGAGCCCCACATCACCAGTTAAAGACCAGTGCTTTAAACATTTGAAGCTGATCATTTCATGTGTTTTCCAGTGCATAGGAGCATAGAAAGCTGCAAAATTATCAAGAGGGCACTTCTGTTAACACCCAAGAGTCTCTGTAGGGAAAGAGGTGGCCTTTCAAATATTTGGGGCCTGAGCCATTTGGGGCACCTTGAATTGGACCTGGAAATAAACTGGGAATTAGTGTAGCTGTTTTAAAGCAGCTTATATGAAATCTAAATAGGATCCCAGCCAGTAATATGGCCACTGCATTTTGGATCAGTTGGAAGTTTCCAAGTTGTCTTCAAGGGTAGCCTGCTATAGAGCACATTGCAACTATCCAGTCTCGAAGTTACCAAAAGATGGAGTATAGCTGTTGGGGTCTGCTAATCAGGCCCAAGCTGCCTTGGTCTCCCATAATCACTCCCATATTCAGCTGAGTGTGATGGCGAAACCGCCCCAAATAGCCTTTGTTCATACTTTTTATAAGCATCCCCCCTTCCTTTCCCCCTTTCGAGGTTCCTTGCGCTGATCAAAACAGGACACCCTGCCTGGAGACCTTGAAGGGGAGAGATGCCTGGCAGAGGGAGGTTTTCCTGAAAATCGCCTAGCAACGTTATCTGGTCTTCACATATTTGTGGCTCACCCTCCTAAATTCTAAAGCAGGCAGTTTTTTACAGAAGCAAAATGGCAATCAGTTAGGGGAACAAAAAAACAGGACAAGAACAGGCCTCTGTGGCTTTTCCTTAGTCCCCATATAGCAGCCAAGTAATTTCTGTCCAAAATAGGCTGCAGCTGGCAGACCAGTTGGAGCTGGGAAAAGGCATTCCTAGCCATTCATGCCACCTGAGCCTCCAGGGACAGTGTTGAATCCAAGAGCAGCCCAAGTAGTGGATTTGTACCCACCTCCCAGGCATGAGAACTTGGGATACATAAGATCTCTTGTCTTTTCAGGATTCAGCTTCTGTTTACTTACCTACATCCAACCCGTCTCTGCTTCCAAGCACTGGTCTAACACCTCTAAATACTGCTGTTTTCTCTATGGCAGTTGTAAAGCCTACAGTGGCTAGAATACACAGTCACAGAAATACAGTCACTTCAAGTTTCTCTATTTTCCAGGGATGTCCTTGATTTAGAGAAGCCGCCACGGTTTCTGATTTGATCCCGGAATGTCCCTTTTTAGATTGGAGAAATATTGGAGGGTATGGTAGGATGTCCCTATTTGCACTGGAGAAATGTTGGAGGGTATAGAGTTATGAAGGCAATCCTGTACTGTATAAGAAAGGTTTTTTAAAAAATGTTTAATGTTTTATTATGTTTTTACATATGTTGGAAGCTGCCCAGAATGATGGGGCAACCCAATAAGATATAAATGTGGGATATAAATAGTAAAATTATCATTACGGATGTCCCTATTTTCATTGGCGAAATGTTGGACGGTATGGAAATGTTCACCACTATAATAATAATAAAAATAAAAATAAATTTATTTCTACCCCACCCATCTGGCTGGGTTTTCCCAGCCACTCTGGGCAGCTTCCAACAAACGATTAAAAATACCTTAAAACATCAGTCATTAAAAGCTTCCCTAAACAGGGCTGCCTTCAGATGTCTTCTCAAGGCAGCCCTGTTCAGGGAAGTTTTTAATGTGTGATATTTAGTGTATTTTTGGTTTATATGGAAGCCGCCCAGAGTGGCTGGGGAAGCCCAGCCGGATGGGCGGGGTACAAATAATAAATTATTATTATTATTATTATTATTATTATTATTATCATCATCATCTTCTAAATGTCAGATAATTGTTAATTTCTTTGACATCTGATGGGAGGGTGTCTCACAGGGTGGGTGCCACTACCAAGAAGGCCCTCTGCCTGGTTCCCTGTAACTTTGCTTCTCGCAGTGAGGGAACTGCCAGAAGGCCCTCGGCTGGACCCCAGTGTCCGGGTTGAACGATGGGGGTGGAGACGCTCCTTCAGGTATAGTGGGCCGAGGCCGTTTTGGGCTTTAAAGGTCAGCACCAACACTTTGAATTGTGCTCAGAAACATACTGGGAGCCAATGTAGGTCTTTCAAGACCGGTGTTAAGTGGTCTCGGCGGCCGCTCCCAGTCACCCATCTAGCTGCCGCATTCTGGATTAGTTGTAGTTTCTGAGTCTCTTTCCCATATTAACAAAAATCACCTGCTGCGCCAGCTTGAGGTTTTTTTGGGGGGTCATTGGGCAAAATTCCCCAGTGGCTTCTCTCCTCCCTGTGATCACCCACTAATTCTCCCTCTGCTTTTGGGCCTAGTCCCCATCACAGCTCAGAGAGAGAAAGATCAAATGAGCAAGCAGCCAGGGGCAACTGCCATTCTGTTTGCTTACATTGTTTGCTGGTGCTCTCCCACTGGGCCAGAGACAGAGAAGGTGAGCAGGTCACATCTCACCTCCCAGATATGAGAACTTGGGACACAAAACACCTTTGTCTTTTTAGGATTCAGCTTCAATTTCTTGGTCCACATCTAGCCCACTACTGCCAATAAGCAATACACCTCAACCACCTCTCTTAATTCATATGGACAGAGAGATAGAGTTTGGTATCATCCACATATTGATGACACTTCAGATCCTCTGATGACAGCTGTTACTAGCTTCATATAGTTGTTAATTTCACTTCCTGCACTTTTTCCCCCCTACCCATCCCTTCAAATGATACACATGCATGCACCCCCTACTCTAGCTCCAACATTTCTTTGTTGAAAAAGAATATCCTACTATACCCCACAACATTTCTCTGATGAAAATAGGGACTGGCCACATCCCCAATGCAAATCCATTCTTTCTCTTTGCAACAGTAGGTATTTTGTATTATGTCCACCTAACTGTGTTCTTAGGGACGTGGGTGGCGCTGTGCATTAAACCACAGTGCCTAGGACTTGCTGGTCAGAAGGTTGGCAGTTCAAATCCCCGCGACGGGGTGAGCTCCCGTTGCTCAGTCCCTGCTCCTGCCAACCTAGCAGTTCGAAAGCACATCAAAGTGCAAGAAAATAAATAGGTACCACTCCGGCGGGAAGGTAAACGTTGTTTCCATGCGCTGCTCTGGTTTGCCAGAAGCGGCTTAAGTCATGCTTGCCGCATGACCCGGAAGCTGTACGCCGGCTCCCTCGGCCAATAAAGCGAGATGAGCCCCAGAGTCAGTCACAACTGGACCTAACGGTCAGGGGTCCCTTTACCTTTAAGGTAAAGTGGGACATTCCAGGATCAAATCAGAAACCAGGACGGCTTCTCTAAATCAGAGCATGTCCCTGGAAAATAGGGACACTTGGAGGGTCTGCCCTACATGCACAACCCCCATTTTCCCTTATCACCATTTGCATTGCTGGGTGTGAATGGAGATAAATTGCAATGTTAACTGCAGTGTGGAACCATTGCTTTAATTCCACTTAGAGCTTAAAATGGAAGAGAGAATATTTAGTAATGCTGAGAAAACCTAGGCTGTGCACACACTCCCTTTTACTCTGCATCCTGTGTGCTCCCACTGCTGCTTTGAGAAGTGGTGTACACATGACTTTAGTGACAAGCCAGATCTATCCTGTCGTTTCTAATGCAATACTGTATTTTGACACATTTCCCCCAAACCAGCTTCGATAAAAAGAAAGACCAGCTGCCTTTTAAGATGGTAACATGTAGGCAGCCTTTGGCTTTGTATACACCATTCATTTAAATCACATTATTCCCTTCAAAAACCATTTCCTCGAAAGCATAGCTTACCTTTCACAGTACCACAACTCCCAGCACATTTAACAAACTACAGTTCCCAGGATTCTTTGGAGGAAGTCATGTGCTTTAAATGTATGGTGTGTTCACAGTCTTAGGGTAGAACCAACCTAAATTAGAATTGATGTCAGCAACTTTCAACAAAGTGTTGGTCACAGCAGGCCTCCAAGGATTCATTCTTGGTTCAGATATGATAAGCTCCTAACCACTCAAAAAAGCTTTGCTGGCTGGCGCTGCGCTGACTCTGTGGTGGCAGAGAAGTAAGATTCATTTGCTGCCATCCTCGCAACAGAGTAGCCTCTAAAATTAGCTGCATCCTGTGAGGCAGATGTTCACTATGCTGGAAAATAAAATAAGTTTTAAAAGTAATTGCTTTTGCCAAACATATCAAACTGTACTTTCAAGTTAAATAATTTTAATTACATTCAGTAAGTCATGGGAAATCAAAGAATGACCTAGAGAGAAACTGAAGACTCTGAAGTAAAACTTAATAAGCAACTTGCAGACTGTGAATACTACAGAAACAGAATCCAAGGTCAGCGAGCATCAGAAGGTAATTGAGAAAGATGTCAAAACAACCCAGGTATCTCCAACTCCCTTGTTAGCCCTGCTGGGAATAATAGATGAATCAAATCAACATTTATCTCCTCAGGAGATGCTGACATTTTTGCTGGTAGTTGTTCATTTAGAAATAGCTAAAGGTTGGCATTCTGCAATAGAATCATAGTATGCTCAGATGTGGTCCGCTGCCTTGGCTGAGAAATTGATGTGCCCGATCAGAGTGACCAGAGGCAAGATGAGTCCTTTATCCTTCTACATCACTGCCCAGACCCATCAAAACATCTGGAGAGACCTGCTGGATTCGAGTCTCTAATAGACATTATAAATGGGTTCTAACTGTTACTCCTTTTTTCCAATAAATGACAGACTAGCTGCTATTGCTTATTGTATTTTAAATTATGTTTGTTACATGTGAAAAAGTAACAGAATACTTTTAAAAGCAGGTGTTTTTGCTGTGGTTTTGTTGTTGAAGTCTTGCAAAGAGTGGTTTATTTGGGAATTTGAGTTTGATATAATAGGCAGGGTGGGCTTGGCTACTGGATGGTTCCTTCCTTAACTTAGATTTTTATACTGCGGCAGTCAGGAATGTGCTATTTTAACTTTTACTCTGGCTCAAAATAGTCTAATGGGCTGCTTAATCCTGACGACATCCCACCCCCTGCCAACCCACTTTACCCGTGCCTCCCACACTTCCCTCGGCCCTGCCAAATCATTGCAGTTTGTAGAAATCATCCAGCCATAATTGAGGCCAGCAACCTGTTCTATGCCACCACTGGTTGAATACCTATGCCTTCAAATCTAGTTAGGGAAGGGATATTTGCACACCTGTTAACATTCTTTCAGGTTCAGAAATTTGCAAGAGGCTTGGTTAATCAAGGGCCTTGCAAGTTATTGTACCTAAAAGCATTGTTGTTGTTGTTTAGTCGTGTCTGACTCTTCGTGACCCCATGGACAAGAGCACGCCAGGCACTCCTGTCTTCCACTGCCTCCCGCAGTTTGGTCAAACTCATGCTGGTAGCTTCGAGAACACTCCAACCATCTTGTCCTCTGTCGTCCCCTTCTCCTTGTGCCCTCCATCTTTCCCAACATCAGGGTCTTTTCCAGGGAGTCTTCTCTTCTCATGAGGTGGCTAACGTACTGGAGCCTCAGCTTCACAATCTGTCCTTCCAGTGAGCACTCAGGGCTGATTTCCTTAAGAATGGATAGGTCATACTAGCCAGTTAACCCTCAAGGAAGCATGAAGCCTAACTTTTGTGATGGGCTGAACCCTCTTGGAAGATCTCATAGCCTATACATTATGTTTCATTGGCTAAATTGCTGATATTTATCCATTTCAAGAATGGATGATCCACAAAGGAGAGGAGATACTGGTGGACATGGAAGCCAACTCCTAGGGGCCGTGGAGGCTTTTGCCCCCACAATAGAATATTTGAGGGGATTGGGTCCCCACAAAGTTGATGGGCATTCCCATTCAAATGGAGTGTGTGTACTGTGTCATGTGTGTCACAAACATGAAAAGTGTGGAAAGCTCTGATCTACAGGGATGTTGGAGGAGGCCTCCTTCCACTGCTATACACAAGAGGGAGCTCACCACCAATCATGGCTCTGTGGATGTATTTGGAACATCTCTTCAGGGACCGACTGAAGTAAGAACTAAATAGTAGACTGTTAGGTCTTGCCAAGAGAAATTACTAGGATCTCATATTTCAACAACAATGTCACAGATCCAAATGTGTAGTATTTGCAAATCTAATTCGTTTTGATCTATGTTCTTGGCTTTACATAATCTGCTACCCATTTTCTCCATTTTGAGAGCAGCCACCAGGCTAGCCATGTAACATACTCAGTTTCATCGGTAAAGTTGTAAACAACTGGTTGGCTCTATGAAGTATATAATCTGATATAATTACTATTTCTGTTTTGCTACCTCCTTATAAGACAGCTTGATAAATGCTAACTAGAACACGCTACTGTAATACAATGGGCAGTAGTGGTGTGGCTTAGCAAAAACAAGCAAGTGTGCAGGTCCCCAGGGAGAAAATCACAGCCACTTTGCTGCTTCTCTCTGTCCTGCTGCTACCATGCTAACCCATTGCTTGGTTTAGTGTTACATGTATTATAGGTTCTGAATTTGCAGAATATTAAAAAGAACTCTCATTGCATTTACCTAACTAAGGGCTTGTCCATACCTTGATTCATAGCTGTCAACCTTACTTTTTTGTGTGGGAAATTCCCTTATTCCAGCGCCGTTTCCCGCTGCTATCCCGGATTGTTAGATATCCCGTAGACTGTGCCCGGGACAGGTGAGGCTGCTGATCCCTTATTTTCAAATCTGAAAGTTGACAGCTATGCCTTGATTTGATGTGGACTGTGAAGCCCTACACTTTGAAAATCTGAATAGGAAAGCTACATTAACTGCATAGGGAATCCTCAGATTTTGGGAGGATAAAGTGTGGGATGGCAGTAGACGGAGAACACTGCATGGATGGGGGGTAGGAGTGGATGGATTCAAGAAGAAATAAAGGCTTCACAATCCATATTAAGCCAAGGTACGGGCAAGCCTTGTTTTAAAAATGTGCTTTCCCTGGCAGCAAAACGGAAGTGCTGCTGTTGTTTCCGCAATTCAATCTTTCCTTCTCCCCTTGGTTATCTCATACGCACCTAATCAGTAAGAAAAACGAGGTGGTGGCCTATCCAAGTGATGAATGGGCTTGTCTTTTTAAAGCTGTAAAGATTGCTGGGAAAATAGAGACAAAGTAGATAGTGTTCAAACAGAAAATAATGCAAGCAGGACAAGAAGACTGGATAAAATGCTGCCATGGTTGCTATCATCTTTTTGAGATGGTTCACAACTTCTAGGCTGGGTTAGTAGTCTACATTCAAAAGCACCGGAAATTGGCAACTCAAGAGCTTTGTAAATACATTGCTGTTTTGTGAGTTTCAGACAACAACTGCACATGTATTAACCAGAACAACTTGAATTTATTTAAAATTCATCTCAGAATGAAACATGTTTAGTTTTTATTTTACAAAAAAAATAAAATTGAAAACATCAAAATATTTCTAATTTAAAAAGAAACCATGTTAGGAATAAAGACAATTTACATACTATTGAGGGGGTGACAACAGGAAATTAGGCACAGTATTAAGGCCAGCATTCATTAAAACAATACTAATGTATTTCTATGTTCATTTGTAACTCAAGAGGTATGGAGAAGAATTTACTTTAATGCATCCGTGTGAGAATGAATTAGTAATTTGCCATTATAACAAGATTAATGGATTGATTAAGGTGTACATTTTCTTCCTTGCAACTAAATCTGGTTTCTAATTTGGGGGGGCTGCTATTTGAAGGAGGGGTAGAGAATTAATAGAACAAAGTACTCAATATGGACTCTGTACCTGGGGAAAGAACTTTATAAAAAAAAGGAGAGAGGGAATGAGATCACTTCAACATACCACCTTTCTTTAAAAACAACAACACAAAATGTTAAGAGATATCAATTGCATAGGAATTTAAATATAAGGCCAAGCAGGAAACTAGGCATAATAAGGATCATTAAAAGAGCACTATGGTGTCAAGACCTAGGATTACATCCTACCAAGTCAGAGTTGAACCACTGAGCTCACTGGACATTAAGTCCATTGATTTCAACAGGTCTACAGTGAATATGGTGAATAACGCTCATAGTATTTCCATCTGAATTCTACTTAAAAAAAAAATCACAGTATTTTCTAGTACTACAAACAGTGAATGTCAAACTGTCTCTTTAATTTTCATACTGAAAACCAATATTAAGGCTTGGTAGAAGTAGAAAACTTAAAACTCGTTGTTTAAACCTGATAAGTGTGTTAGCACCACAGTGCTATGTACGTACCTGATCTCAAGAGATCCTACCTTCTGTAAATAATGTAAAAGTAATGGTTTGCAAATGAAGTGTAAGGTTACTCATTACTGCACCCCATCAGTGATTTGCAGGACTATGCGAAGTTTAATTCTTCAGTACAAAAGATCCCTCCCTGCAGAATCTTTGATCACTGAACAATGAACAAAATCACAAATGAAACTACAATAGGCGCTCCAGTATTGGTGTGATATTGCATAAGACAGAAGGGTAGATCCTAAAACCATTAATGACTATTATTAAGTCACAGCCATGTCTGTTAGGAAGGTAACCTGTAGCCTTCCAAATATTCTTTGCATGTATTAAATATAAAACATAGGTATTTAACAAATCATCTCTTGACATTTCAAGTAGATTAAAATTGTGAAACTATTTCTTATTAATTCATTTTTGAGCTGTTAAAACGCACTTCAGACCTTGATTTCTATATCATACGTAGCTTACTTTCTAGAATGCTATAAAATATAGTAGTGTTGGGAGAAAAAGGCGTTAGAAGTACATTAGCCGGGGGAAGCTGAACCAACATTTTAACGGGGGGAAAGTGCATAAGACATTGTAATACTACAAATGTGTTAACTTCCGGCCAAAACTTCTCTGGGACCTAAGCAATACTATTTTACACATTATTTTACATGTATGATCTACCCAGATGCCACAGGTTACTGTTTTATCTCATGGTATCACCTTGATTTTCATATAACTGGGGGGGGGGGGGGAATCATTCAAGAATTGTCCAGTACTCTTCCATCAGTTAATGGCATAACTGCAGCTCTTTTTATAAATTTGAGGAGGATGACAAGAGGATTCTCTTTTCTTTTCATTTTACAATTTTAGTTAGCGTTTCAGATTCTGTGGATTGCCTCCCGTCTGTCCAAGCTTCCCGCGTACTCTTCAGCGCTAGTGTTTTCTGCTGGTCAACCACAACATAATCCACTCTTTCATCCGCCACACTGCTGCCTGAACCGCTGCTCTTTTTCTGGAGACAAAATGAAGAAAAGGGTAAGAACAAGGTAAGCTAAAACAAGTCTACAGGTTGGCTTCAGAGCATCCTTTTCATGAAAAGATAAGACTTCTTTGCAGAAGGGACTAAGATTCAGCTGAGTCTCCCAGCAAGGGAAGGAGGGGGCAGTTTTGGCCAATCTACCCCCCTGCCCTGGCAAATCCTCAAGCCATCAACTACACTGTTCCAGGGAGACCCCAGCTCTTGAGAACAGCTTTTCAGGGGGCTGCAGGGGTAAGGAAGAATCTGCACATATTTCCTTCCCCCACTTTTTCAAGTGAGAGTGTTCAATGGGCAACTCATTGAAACTCGGGTCCTGCCAAAATGTAAGACAAATGTATCAGTGAATATAATTATTTGCACTGTACCATTTTCATTAAAACAACACCTATTCACCTCACCTATCCTCAAAGCATGGTACAGTATGTGGAAAACTGGCTGCAAGAAAAGCCTAAGTGTAGCAATATAATGGCAGGTGACATTAAAGATTCCATGGTTTTCCATAGGGTTTCCCAAAACCTAGTCTCCAGCGTTTCCCAAAATTGAGTCTCCAGCTGTTTTTGGACTACAACTCCCATCATCCCTAGCTAGCAGGACCAGTGGTCAGGGATGATGTGAACGGTAGTCCCAAAACAGCTTGAGACCTAAATTTGGGAAACCCTGTGCTAGATTACTGGTGGCAAGTTTTAACTGATAGATGAAGCTGGTTTAGTATTAATAGGCAGAAGCCAATTTTAATTAGTGAGGCTGATGATAAAAGTCATTTAGTTCTTAAAGCTGTATTAATTGTGATGTGGTAATGTGGAATGAAAAAGCAAATATTAAATACAGCATTTTCTCCTAAAAGTAAGTAGTTGTCCTGGGACAATTTAATAAACAAAAATTTACCTGTATCTTGATGGAGAAAAAAAATCCCCTGACACAATGACTGCCAGATTCATTGCCCAGCTGAGAAGGGAAGTTTTTCACTCCCATTGACTATAATGAAGGTAATGAACTATAGTAGCCCATTTCACTGATTCGTTGTAGTCTGCCAGTTCTGCAGGCATGGCAAGGGCTGTGTTATGTGGTGTATGCACAACCACACTCCATGGGCCTCATTTACCCCTGTTCTGACAGTCTGACAATGCTGGAAGAAAATCTATACTGATGAAACATTTCTGCCAGTATGCCAGGGAACCTCTAGCAACATATCTTGTTAACCCCAGAAAGGCACCTATATTGTAACTAATAAACCACTCAGTTTTGTTTACCTTGCGAGGTGGGGTAGATTTTCCAGAATCTAAATCCAGATCTAAATATTCCACTTGCTTATCTTTAGGTTTTACCATAGGACTACTTCCCCCATCGAGACTGTTGCTCCCAAACAGAACCTGAAATTATAATTAAAATGTTTAAGTCAGCAACGGTGACAACTTTAATGGAATGTAGTGCTCACTGCACAGCACGTGAGAAACTGACTAGACACATCACATTTTGCAACATGCCTTGTAACATAGCCCTGAATATAAGCAATTCTGAAAATGAGGTAACAAAAATGTCATTCTTGAACCGTTTAACTACCTGTGTCCCATACTAAAAAAGCTCTATCTGTGCTATATATTTTATAGCAGTATCATACCTCAGAAGGTCATGGATTCATCTCAAAAAGTTATGGGAACTGTAGTTTGCTAAGGGTGTAGAGAGTTATTACTATAACTACAATTTATTACCCCTGCCCCTAAGGTCCCAGAGCAGGTTACAACAATTAAAATACAACGCTAATATTAATGTAATATTACACAATATTTAAAACAGCTTAAAACAACTAATAATTACAGAAATAAGGCGGGTCCATATCTATCTATCTATCATCTATCTATCTATCTTCAATCTAGTTAGCTAGCTCAGGCATCAAATGTCAGGGTAAAGAGGTGCATCTTCAGCATTCGCCAAAAGCTATATAAGGAAGGTGCCCGATGCACTTCTGTGGAAAGGGAGTTCCACAACTTAGGGGCTGCCACAGAGAATGTCCTCTCCTGGGCCACCCCCTACCCTGAGCTTCTGAGGGCAGTGGAACAACCAAGAGGACACCCTCTGCCAATCTTACCTCCCAAGATGGTATGTAGGGGAGGAGAGGGTCTTTCAGGCATTTGGGCCCTGCATCATTTAGGGCTTTAAACACTAACGTGAGCACCTTGAATTAGACCCAGAAATAAACCAGCAAACAATGCCGTTGTTTTAAAACATGGGATATATGAGATCTGAGAAGAACCCAAGCCAGCAATCTGGCCACTTCATTTTGGACCAATTGAAGTTTCTGAGTCATCTTCAAGGGTGGCCCAATGTAGAATGCATTAGAATAATCCAATCTGGAAGTTATCAAAGCATGTAGTATAGTGCCTCCTCCCCACCCAAAAAAGTTGTGATGAGTGGTATGATACCACTTCAAATGTATGGTGCAGATGAGGTCCGTGACATCATTTTAGAAAGAGCTGCACAGTAAAGAGAGTACTTAAAATGAAAACTACATACTGGATCATCACTGGACTGATTTGGATTCATGGGTACATAATTCTCTTCACTGTCATGTGAATCACTGCTGGAAGTTGTGCTATGGACTGAATCTGGTCGGGGAGACAAAGGAAACCTGGAGGAACTAAAATAAAGAGACACTGGTTTTAAAAAGTGAAACTGGAACCATCTTATGTATGCTTTGCAGCTGTATTATTATATTTGTTTAAAATGTTTATAATATTTATACTTCACCACCATACCTTTTTAAAAAAGAAATAAAAGTTCAATGAAGCAAAATACAATAAAAACCTCAGTAATAACCAAGCAGATTGAGAGATGATGATCATTACAGCAGTATCGAAATGTAATTTTTAAAATCCCATTTTTGACAATGCGGCATATATTTGTGTGTCTTAGGTTGTGAGACAGGATGCCAAGACACCAAGAAAATGTAGACCTTGGTAGGAAAACAGGTTCTCCATCGCTGCACTAGGGTATATGCTGCATTGAACATGTTCAGAAGTAATTCTGAATGAACATGTGTAGTCTTACGCTGCAAAAACACACCAAACCAAAACACACAATCTCAACACTGTGAGACTTGTTTATAAGTAAGCATACATAGAACTGGGGTGAAATGCTTTTTTTCACACCAAAGGTTTACTTGTATAATACACACATATGCACAAAAGCAAATATTTAATTTCTTAAAAGGGTGAGAAGACTTACTCTCGTGTAAAACTTCTGGTGATCGGAGATCTAACTGGAGCTGGCAATTCTTCCCATTCAGGGAGAGGTTTTATTTCTAGTGGTGCTGGTTTCACTATATAAAGAAGCAAACAAGTTTTTAAAATAATGTACTAGGAAAGAACTACAGTTCCTCAAAAGGAATTCTTACAATATTATTGCAATTCCCATTATTTTAAGGTCGGTGAGGAAATAATTTGGAATAGGAATGTGTTAAAATTAGAGAGCTTCTTCAAATACTTGAGTTTTATATATATAATTTCAGTTTACTATCAAACACTAACTAATGGCTACTGCTAATTGAATGATGTAACAGCTAACAATTACTACATTTAGAAACATTAATGTACGAATCTACTCTATGAGGTGCCTCCAAATCTCACCTTTTTAGGCTCTTGTGACCACAGTGAGTCATTAACAATCTAAACTGAGTCAAACTCTCATATAAACAGCATGGTTTCTGTTTTGTACACAAACTGCTTTGCTACAGAAACTAGGAAGAAAAGGGCTTTTCTTTGCACCAATGTAAGCTCTTCAGGTCTGTTTGTCTTCTCTTACACATGCAGAATTTAATAGGTTTCATTAATGTGCATTAATAGGAAGAAGTAGCTTTGAGCCTTGAATGCTCTCCCTTCCACTCTTGTGTAGCAGAAGTTCAGTAGAATTTAGTTTTACTTTCCATGAATCCAGACTTATGATCCAGAGATCATGGTTTAAAATAAACTCTTATTTACTGAATGGTTTATTTTAAACCGTTTTAAACTTTTGTCAATTTCACAACAACCCAACTTCAAAACATCTTGTTTTGAAACACGCTAGAAGTTGTTTCAAACCATGATCTCTGTTTCATAAGGTACAACAAGCCAGGATTCTAAATGCTGCCAAAGTCCTTCACCCAACCATGCAGGAAGAGAAAGAGATGGGGAATGTACAAGCCTGAGATTTATAGCAGCTCCTTCCTGCTTATGTATATAGGGCTAAGCCATGGTTTAGAATGAAATGTCAGTGCAAACACTGCCTTTCTGCATATTTATTTACTTTACAAATTTACACACCATTTCACGGCCTGAAATCTTCAAGGGTGGGGACACTGGGGTGTATAACCAAGCAGAGTTATATCTTGCAGGTGCATTTTTTTAAAAATTGTCTTGATGTAGCATGATTATGTAGCTATCTTAAGGCTCTGCTAGTTTGGGGGAGGGGGCAATACTTATTGGCAATTGAAAACAGTCCATATTAAAAATGCATAACTGCTATTTTACAAAATGAATAGCTATGGGTAATATTCAATGTTTGTCATACTCAGAGGAGCCCCATTGAAATCTGAGCATGTTAGTTGCACATCACCCTATATCCCCAGCCTTATCCTACAATAACACTCCCCCCCCCCCCGAAATTGATCCCACCTTTCTAGGATTCATTGCAGTGTATCTGCAGGCTAGTTTATTTAGGATTAAAGAACAGTTTTAAGCACTTAGGTCAGTCACATACAGTAAATTATCTGCATATGGTGTTTCTGACAGACCTAATAAGTATGTACTCATAAGTACATCACCCTGTTTAGGGAAGTTTTTAAGAATTGATGTTTTTATTATATTTTTAGATATGTTGTAAGCCACCCAGAGTGGCTGGGGTATAAATAATAAAATTATAATTATTACAGTCGTACCTTGGTTTTTGAACAGCTTAGTTCTCGAACGTTTGGCTCACGAATGCTGCAAACCCGGAAGTGACTGTTCCAGTTTGCGAACTATTTTTGGAAGCCGAACATCCGATGGGGCTTCTGCGGCTTCTGATTAGCTACAGGAACTTCCTGCAGTCAATCAGAAGCCATGCTTTGGTTTCTGAATGTTTTGGAAGTCGAACGGACTTCTGAAACGAATTATGTTCAACTTCCAAGCCACGACTGTATTATAAGTAAGAACCACTGACTTCAATGGGACTTATTCGTAAGTACAGTCATACCTCATGTTACGTTTGCTTCATGTTAAGTTCTTTCAGGTTACGTCCTGCGGTGACCCAGAAGTACCAGAAAGGGTTACTTCCAGGTTTCACCGCTCGCACATGCGCAGATGCGCAAAATGACGTCACGTGCATGTGCAGAAGCGGCGAATCGCAACCCACGCATGCACAGACGCGCCGCTGCGGGTTGTGCTCTTTTCATGTTGCGAACGGGACTCCGGAACGGATCCCGTTTGCAACCAGAGGTACCACTGTCTGTTTATGTAGCAGTACAGCCTTAAGCACTTTTCAGTATTTATGAGACTAGATAACAGGGGTCTGTTTTGCAAATGCCCAAACAGAGTAGGGGACTGCACCATTCACAAGCTTTCAAGGCACTTGGTTTTCAGAGCAGTCTGAAGTAGCAGATTGTATTTAAAAGCGTCTTAAAACCCTCAGACAGATTCTAAAGTGTTCGTGTGGTGATGGGGAACATCATAACTGTGAAGCACTTTTAACAAGTCCTCTGAATCATTTGAAAGTATAAACATGCAAATGTATACTTCATATTTTCACATCAATGAACTTCACAGGAATTTTAAATTGTGCCTACACAAATATACCTAGGAGCAAGTCCATGGAAATGTAAGTGCTATGATATATACATCGTAAAGTAATGGTCTACAGTGAAAGCCTTTTCCTCTGATTCTTATTACCTAGCGGAGAGGAAAATACATTCTGCATATACCTAAAGGGACAGTTCTTTGTCACATATTCCAGATTCTGGGGCTGCAGGAACATTGCCTATCTCAAATGGAGCTCCACACAGCTGCAAAGTCTCCAAAGGCACCAATATTTTTTGAAAGCAGTATGAGCAGCAACTTGTCCACTGATTGAGGGCAGCGACAGTTGACAACTGAAGACCTTTAGTAGATACATACTAGGAGCGGAAAAACTGTTTCATTCAAATGACAGTGAGATCCACAGCTAAGGTATGTGCTAAATGGTGATTTGGCCATTATAACACACTACTTTTCTAGCATTATTTAAAACCTCCCTCTCCAATGGGGCAATGCAGTAAACACTAGCCTATCTCAAATTTTCAGTGCTTGTTGTATATAGTTCGTTGGTTTTTTTTTAAAAGTATTGTAATACTAAAGCAGTCCTATAAAGATCCCAATAGCTGCATCCCAATAGCCACACTATCTGCACCTTCAAGCATTTCACATTAGAAAACGTTAGTTAAAATAACCTGCAGACTGGAAATATATTTGAAAACAAACAGTTATACAATCATTAAGCAGGCAGGGCTAATTGCTGACTGAAGGAAAGATGCTTTTATGTACAGCATATTCCATTTTCTGTGTGCTAAGAATGCCTCTTAAGCAGGAAATATTGCGGCTAACAAATAAGTGGACCAATAAATTGAGATAAGAGTAGCGACGACCATGTTTTTATAAGAGTTCCCCTTTTAGAAAACATTTCCATACACAGCCCCAGATACCATGCAGTGCTGAAGTACATACCCTTTCTTCTTGTAGTAAATTCACCTATGGTTTGGGAATCTGTTCGCTCTAAACCATGTGGCTTAGGTCTTAAAATTTTAGGGCTCTGACCTAATTGGTAAAAAGAAGAGTCTCTCTTAATATTTTTTTTTTTTTAAATAATAACTGGAAAAAATGGAACCCTATAAACAAATTGCCAAGCCCCTTGCAGAAAGGTGATGCTTAGAAGCGAAAGCAAGCAGCTGGTGAAAAGAGTCCTGCAGTGTGGCAAAAGCACATGCTAGTGCATAAGCACGACATTCAGAATGCATGATGGAAACATGCATGGAAGAGACAATGTAAGAAGAGATGGTAGAATGCCATCAACTGATGGGTCTCCTTAATTACAGGAAGGAGGTTCACAGGTGGTGTTGTCATATCCCCTGAAAGGCCATGCACACAGTTTGAGAGTGCTCCTAGATTTGGAGCTGACTGAGGAAGTGCAGGGGGCATCGGTGACCAGGACCACTTTTCACCACCTTCTGCTGGTATGCCAAGTGCACCTCTATCTGGAGGAGCTGACCTTACAGCAGCAGTCCACGCTCTGGTCACATTCAGACTGCTGCAATGCACTCTACATGGCACCGCCTTCAAAGATGGTTCGGAAACTTCAGCTGGTCCAGAACTGGCCAAAAATGCACATCCAAAATGTATGTGAAGGGTCACTGTGGGTCACAATCTGTAATGGCAAGTTCATGCTAATTCCTGTAGGAAAGTATCTTTTCTGTGTTGCCTTAAATACTGCTCTTTATGCCATAAAGCAGATTTTGGGATAGTGGGGAAAGTTTTCAAAGAGCAATAATCACGCTTCGGATTAACCCTATTGGCTACAATACTGCACTGCACTGGATACTGATGCATTTCTGGGATCAGTTTAGTTTCTTGATCCTGAAAACCCACAATGATTTGAGCCCATGTTGTTTATTGGACTGCCTGTACCAATGTTATCCTGCTCACATTTTAAGAACTGCTTTTGAGGCTTACCCTGGGATGCCTGTCTCCTAGGTTGGTAAGATGGGTGGCCACAAGGGAGATGCCCTTCTCTGTGGTGGCCCCATGGCTATGGACTTCGTTCCCCTTGGATTATGTCGGATTTCTATATTGTAGGCTTTTTGCAAGGCCTATAGATCTGGACTACCGTCATGTGCTGGACTACTACCATGTGGATGTCTCCACTGTCTTGTAGGAGAAAGATGATTAGATCATTATATTGGAAAAGATCATTATATTGGAAAAGACTTTCCAGCAAAATCAGTCTTCAAATACAAATGAAGCTGTTCTCTGGCTGCAGCAGCCAATGGGACCTCATATGTTCATGTTCTTCACTGCAGGCCATCTCCTTAGCATGCTAAGCTTAGAATAACTTTATGAAACAAAATTCCACATAGAAAAATGCATGAAAACAGTATGTGATGATCAGACATGCATTACTACTAGATGTGCAGTGCACATGCTCAACCGATGGTGGTGGAAACCTCCTGGTGAATGCATATCACACGTTCTGTGCACAGGTACTGATTCTGCCTCCGTGGGATGACTGCCAGTGTCAGGGTGAAACAGAGTGACTGTGCAAAGAATTTAATTTTGCCCCAAATGAGTGGATGTCTGCCACTAAAGATGGGGGGGAGGGATGAACTCTGGGGAGAGTGAACTCTGCTATATACCAATGGTATGGAGCTAAACCTGCCTCCTATTCCTACTCCTGAGCCCCCAATTTTTAACATTAATATGCTGTAAAAAAACAAAACACCTGTTTCTGATGCATTGGCCTGGCTCACACATCACTAAGACAAACTATGGCCTTCTGGGACCATGCAAATGTATGGGCTCCTAGAGAGGAGAGGCGCTCACAGCCGCTTTGCTCCTCTCTGGCCCTTTTTACTCCTGTGCTGCCCTGCCCTTAGCAAAGCCATTGTTTGTCATCTGAACATCGGTTTCTGGTTAAGTTTTCTCCTTGCTAATTATGAATAAAACTTGTTTTGGAGCAAGAAAGTAACTGCGCCAATTGGTTTTCTTTAAATAGGTATCTGTAAAACTGTGTATTGCTGCAATTTAAAACCAAACAAAACCAAATCCAGGCATAATTTCTAATCCCCAAGATGCAGCATTGGTTTACAGAGGACATCCCTTTTTAGCTGTTAACAATAGACCTGACTTCCCTTTGGTGAAGACGCATTCACAAACTTGTGCTTGTCCTAGTGTACTTACTGTATCTTATTGTGCTGAACTGTATCAAACCATAGCTTTTAATGCATTTATTGTTGATTGATTATATGCATTGCCATTTTAATTTCCTTGTTAACAGCCTTGCGGATCATTATTATTTGAAATGCAACCGTATATAAAATAAAAGTTAAAAAAATGTAGAAGACTTTGTTAGCTCTTCTTTATATCCCTTATATTGTCTTGAGGTCACAAGTCATTCAAGTGGGGAACAGTTCATTAGTCATACTGAACCATGTTAATATCCATGTACATCTGGCTTCAGCAGTTTGTGGGTTACAATTCTATTCTAGTCTACTCTACCACAGTAACCTAAAATTGTCAGTCATCTTGAGGGCTACAGAACAGAATATAAATTTTAAATAAATAAAACAAAACCTTATCAAAGAGACTTTCAACTTAGTTACCTACTATTAAGATTATTTAATACACAGAAAAAGCAATGCTCTTTACCAGCCACAGGGAAAAGTTATTTATAAACAGGGTAAATTAAAATTTAGTCAGGAGTTAACCTATAGTATTGGACCCTAAGGTAAGTTGACCTAAAGAAAGTCATGGAAGGAAAGTTCTGTTCTGCGCGCTCTCTCTCTCTCTCTCTCTCTCTCTCACACACACACACACACACAGAGAGAGAGAGAGAGAGAGAGACTCACTTACAACCTATTTCCCATTGTTGAGGATAACTCCCAGTCATCCACAGAGGCCTTTCAGGGGTGCAGGTTGATGCAAGGAGGAGAATGAGAAAGGAGCTTTCCTTCCATGAACTTCCTTAATTAAGCGTCTCTTGATATCCAAGCAAGAGGCACTTTAAAGATCCAACCTAGATATCTCTAGGGCAGAATACGAGACAGCTGTCATTAGTTAAGCAAGTTAAAAGTTTCCTAGCAGTGCTCACCATGTATCACTGCATATGAAATGCTATGTTACTATCTTGACAGGTATATAAACTAAAAAAAGCAATGTTACATCCTTGTTTTAACACAGCTACAAAGACAGGAGCACAGGACAAACCCAAGAACCAAACTTGAAAGTGAAATTTGCTTTCTGTTTTGCCTTATATAAAGGGAGGGGGACATATATGCATGTATATTCATATATAAAGTTATAGAACTGCTGTTATCTTTTCCAAGTCGGCACACAACAACTGTCTTTTCTCTATATGTTCAATTTATAAATGCAAAAGTATCAAATTCGGTGGGTGGGGGGAAGACCTCATTCTTCCACCTCCAGCATCAGAGGCCCTATACCTCTGAATACCAGTTGCTGAGGAACATGAATGGGGAAATGGTACTGTGCTCATGTCCTTCTTGTGGACTTCCCCAAAGGCATCTGACTGGCCCCTATGAGAACAGAATGCCTGTCTAGATGAGCCATCTTCATCCATATGTACTAAGAAACGTATTCTGAATTCTAGATTATATTCCAGGTTCAAAGCATGGTGTTTTTTAACCTGCGTTTTGCCATCAAATAGTTTTCTGTACTATTGGCTTACAGCTTAACAATGATCAATATGACAGCATCTCAATATAGCTCTACTGAAGGAAAAGGCCGATAGCAGGATAGACGGCAACAATGCTGAGCAAGAAAGGAAATGCACATTTCAAACAAGATCTTTCTGAGAACTTTGATCTCATCCGTCCCTCTAACTGCAAGCATGGTTCTTTTTCATTCTTTATTACCAACCAATTCAATACGGTTTGTTTTTGTTCCATTTAACTAATAGATTTTAGATGAATGCCATCCAGTAGTGCTGAGAGGTAACAGGGATTTTCCCAAGCTGAAATCCAATTTGCTAGCAATGCTGCTTGCAACATACCATCACCAACACATGCAAGCTTTGAGAGGTTTAAGCAGCAGAAAGCATAATTACCCCAAATGCATAATTCACTAGACACAGTGCTGTCAAAAACATTCTTGAAATGACATTTATTTCTGACACATATATACTTAAACATTTGGTGCCTTTTAGTTTTTTAAAATTAAGACTTGCTTGTCTCCGTATGGCCATTTCCCCTGTGAATGAGCCACAGTGAGCCTTGGGTTCATATACTTCCCTTGATCATTTCCCTCAACATGCAGGTCAGGTGTTGGTGTTTAGAAGCTTCTGCTTAGGCTTTTACTTTAATCACAGTTTGCCATGTTAGCTGAATGTTGCTGTTACCAGTAAATATGATTAGTTTTAAAAACCCAATTTCAATCAGTTATGGCGTGAATAGAAACTAGCCATACGGTTAATGTTCATCACAGTTTGTTGGTCTGGATGCGATTAAGCAAAAGCAGAAGCCTCTGCACTGCCGCTTCCAGCCACACGGAGAAACGTGAGAGGGTGCAAGGCAGATGCTGCATACAACACATTCCTCCTGGTCCACATTATGCTAAAGTAGTGTGATGTGTGAATGCAGCCATTAATTCACAATACATTACACTGGCCAATGCTGCCAGGTTAGGTAGCTTCTGGTACAGCCTTCCAGAGGTCTCTTCCTCATTTATGGAAATAGCTGTTAACTGGGAGAGGAAGATTCGTGATGCCAAATGCAAACAGCTAAGTATTTGACCCTTCAGAAAGGCATATGCGCATAGAAACTCATACATTTAAATAGACAGTACAGAAAATCTGACGGTCAGCTGCCCACAGGTTGTTTGTAATTGTGAATTGCGGATTTTATGTGAATGAAAAAGAATGCAAAACTGCTAATACTTAGCATATGCCTACCTGCTAAGGCAGGCTTCCTCAACCTCGGCCCTCCAGATGTTTTGGCCTACAACTCCCATGATCCTTAGCTAGCAGGACCAGTAGTCAGGGATGATGGGAATTATAGTCTCAAAACATCTGGAGGGCCGAGTTAAAGGAAGCCTGTACTAAGGTTTTTGTAAATGCTATTTTTAAAGCAGCAGCATCTGTACTATGCATGGAATGTAAGAATCGCAGCTATTATACTTTATATCCATATCATCTGAATGTGTACTTTTGCTAGCCTTACCAAAAAATAATAAAAAAGTATAAGTCAGGCTTCCTCAACCTCGGCCCTCTAGATGTTTTGAGACTACAATTCCCATCGTCCCTGACTACTGGTCCTGCTAGCTAGGGATCATGGGAGTTGCAGGCCATAAACATCTGGAGGGCCGAGTTTGAAGAAGCCTGGTTTAAATGGATTCTAAACACAAATGAAAACGCAGGTTCTGATCCAGTCACAGGTTTTTTCACATATGATGAGAAGTAGCAGTACAATCCAGTGATTAATCAAAACAACCGTAAATATAGTCAGTGTCGAGGTCTGTGTGTTTTAAAGGAAACTGTACACTGTTAATATTGCTGCTTCAATTTCAAGCAGGAATTTATTCTGTGGAACAAGATGGGTGGGTGGAAGGACAAAACGAGGATCATGAAACACTCAAGAGTGGTTGGGAGTGCATGCCCCTTCCTTACCTTTCCTGTCTGGCTTGAGGTTCCTATCCACTGGTGGTGGTTCACATTCAGCAACAGGCACAGGCCGCCTGGGAGGGGTCTTGGGACTCGACCTAAACCCCATGTGTGCTGGCGGAGGGACTTGCATTCCAAAGAGGGAAAAGTCAAAAGTGCCAGGAGTCATCGGCACATAGTTCGTCATTTCCTGGAAAGGTTCAGTAAAACTGCTAGAATGCTGCCGTGGGGGAGAGTTTGGGTTCATGGGGACATAGTTTTCATCCAATTCTTCACTTGAAACGCTTCCCACAGTCAATAGGCTTTTGTTTTTCTGGGAAACAAAAATGATTCCGAACAGCAAGAAATTAAACAACATTCTGAACAGGTGAACAGAAATTTAGCGTACATATATTGCACAACACCTGACCAGTCTCAAAACATTTGTGTGTCTTTTTTTCCCTTTTGCAGGTTCTATGGAATTGCTTCACCCCATTTGCATTGTACAAGCTCCAGCCAGGATCTACATTTTGTCTCTATCTTGTAACTGACTGCCACACTCTACATGTTTTTAGTCAAGTGCGGGGGGGTGATGTGAGCTTTGCAGCCTCCCATGTTCTTAACCGCTATCCCCATCACTTACCTCCCCTCCCTCCCAAGGCTCAATTGCCTCCCCTGTTGTCTCACACAACACTATGAACTAGCCTGCTTATCATATTAAGAACAAAGCATTCTGTGTAGAAGGATTTCACAGCCCTGCCTCCATCCGTATCAGAGTATATATAAGCAGATATGCCTTGTGCTAATGTTGAAAATCAAAACATACTTACAAAGTGGTTATGAAAACCTTCCAATGAGCTTGATCTGTCATTCGGAAATGTCCGTGGAATAAAATAGCAATCTTGAGAACCCATATCTAAAGAAAGGGGAAGAAAGAAAGCATTGTTTTCCCTCCTTTTTACACCTGGTGGCATAACACACACCATTAGCTGCAAATAGCACAAGGGGGGAAATTTCCTGGATGCTATCTTGCTGCTGTCTATGTCTGGTTATGCAGTCTGAATGCAAGGCACTGCCAGTCCTAAAATCTGGAAGTGACAAAAGCACCCAGACCACATGAAGGAGAAGAAATTGAGGAGAAATTTTAAAAAGAGGGAGATCTTACAATAGAGTATGTATTAAAAAAAACCTAGAAAGCAAATAACTGTTGTAGTAGTATTACATTTCTTACCACCATTCACCGCAGATTACAGCAGGCTTTTTTTTTTAAAAGAAATAGAAATACCAGGATAGGCAACATTTCACACACAACCATTCTGAAATGCACAGCCCAGCCCAAAGTGATACAAAACTGAACATCTTCATTATGAAAAACCATGTTGACTAGTGATTGGTCAATACATGTGTGTCTTATTGGACAACATATGGAAACCTCCCCTTACTCTCTCCTGGCCCCATTTCTTCACAGGTGACTCTGCCTGCCTCCCACCCACCCCACTTTACATTGCTAACAATTGTTCTATGTGCCGCCTTCTGGCTTCCCCTTGTTCCCCTTCTTAATTCTTTAAACTCACTTTTCACCCCTGGCATTCTTAGCCCCATACCACTCCCACAGTTTGTCTTTGTCCATTGTCTGAATATTTATCCAGAATCTGAATTTTACACAAAACCACACCAAGTAAATTTTAATTAAAACCTTAATTGCTTCAGAAAGCCAGGCCATCGCCGAAGCTCTCAAGCGCCTTTATAGAGCTGGGAAATGGTTGAGGGCATCCATATGTGTTATTTATAAGGTGCGATCCTTGCACATGGTACTTTGCAAATCACACAACAAACTCTTTGGAGTAGATTATTAAACTGGATAAAGACAAGGAAAATGCAAGGCAAGCAGAAAAGAAGGGAAAATGTAAGAGCTATATATAATGAGTTACGGGTGTGCCATTAGAAAACTTCAGTTTATATAAGGTTGGGAAAGTTTATTTTAAAATTGTGGAGGCCATCTTATTAGGTACCTGTGATTGATTCCAGACATCCACAAAGCATAATGTCAACTTCCACTAACTTCTGCAAACTCAGAAAATATTGTTTTAAAAAATCTGTTCAGGTTTAGTACAAAGTAGATCAAGAGTTTTTGAGGTCTATCACGTCCACCAATTTTTTTTGAAACAGATCCTTTAAAAACAACAACAGGGAGCTATAACAATAATCACAGTCTATATATCTTGAATTTCTTATAGAGTGTATCTTAGCAGTTAATGTAGCACATCTTTTATTTGTTTGTTGCATTTACATACCACCTTTCCTTCCAAGGAGCTCAAGATGCTGTACATGGTTCTCCTCCTTCCCATTTTACCCTCACAACAACCCTGTGATGTAGGTTAGGCTGAGACACTGTGACTGGCCCAAGGTCACTCTGTGAGCTTCATTGGCTGAGTGGGGATTCGAACGTTAGTCTCAGAGCTCATAGTCCAAAACTCTAACCATTACACCACACAGACACATCATACATCAGCATATTTGTAACATGAATTCAGAGTTGCACTGTCTTGATTCTTGCACAAAGAAATTTCTGCTCACAGGTTCCTGCTTCTCAGCTCCCAAACAATCCCCTATATTTAAGATCTTCACTGATTTACAAGGAAGGTGAAGTAATTACCTATATGAAAAGTTTTCCCTGGCTGGAAATCCTCTTTGTAAAAAAATAAAAATGAATTTCTGGTGATTCAGATTAAGTAAGAAAGGGAAAGGGAAAGGATTCCTGGATGATTAGGTCCAGTCAAAAGTGACTATGGCGTGTGGTGCTCATCTCGTTTCAGGCTGAGGGAGTCAGCGTTTGTCCATAGACAGCTTTCCGGGTCATGTGGCCAGCATGACTAAACTGCTTCTGGTGCAACGGGACACTGTGACAGAAACCAGAGAGCACGGAAATGCCATTTACCTTCCTGCCGCAGCAGTACCTATTTATCTACTTGCACTGGTGTGCTCTCGGACTGCTAGGTTGGCAGAAGCTGGGACAAAGTTATGGGAGCTCACTCCATTGTGCAGATTCGAACCGCCAACCTTCCGATTGGCAAGCTGAAGAGACTCAGTGGTTTAGACCACAATGCTGCCCACTCCCTCCACATTAAGTAAGCCAGTGTGGTGTAGGGGTTCGAATGTTGGACTAGGAACTGAGAAATTAGGGTTCAAATCCTCACTCAGCCATGAAGCTCCCAGAGTGACCTTGGGCTAGTCACTGCCTCTCAGCCTAACCTACCTCACAGGGTTGTTGTGGGGATTAAATGAGGAGGGAAAGAACAATGCACACCACCTTGAACTCCTTAGAAAAAAGGTGGGATCTGAATACAAACAAGCAAACACTTGGAAGCCAAAATGAGAGCTTTTGAGTCCACTTAACTATCTGCCAAAGGAAAACATAGCCTGAGTCAACAGGCCTCAACCATTGCAAAGCAATCTCAGAGGTAATTTGCAATGGAGAAAAGAATCCTGCAAGTAGCTTTTCTCCTAGAATATCCCTGCTTCCAGCTGTTTTTTTCGCTGCAGAGTTCAAAGCCTGTATTTTCAAGATAAACCCAGGTCTGGAACACTGCAAAGTGTATAAGCAGCTGGGGAAGCACCAGGGAGAAAGCAACTAGGAATGGAAAAGTTAAATACACCTTTCCTGTATTTAGAGAATATTGAGAATCAGTATGTAGGAACTGAGGTGTGATTTCTTACAGCTGAAGTGTAATGTGTAGTTTCCCCCCAAGAACCAAGATTTCCAGGGCAGATCTTGCTCTTTTTTTAGAGAGGCTGAATTTCGGGAGCACCGCAAGGAAGATTTGTGTTAAAGCATAGCCAGATGGAAGAACACTAACCTTTACGAAATATATTCAAATCCATGGTGGAAATTGTGTTGCTGCGCGATGGGGGCATTCCACCAGTAGGGATGCAGTAGCTGCTATCAGTGTCTGAGGAAGTGCGGGAGATATTGCACACCTCCACAGGTGAGCGGTCTGAAGGATGGTGAGGTTTCGGCGGCCGAGGTGGAGGGACATCTGGAATAGTCTCTAGCTTCGAACTCTGAGCCAATGTTCCTTCTGGGAAAGTTCGTGGAATCTGGTACGTACTTCCAGGTGTTGGGGGAATGTCATAACTAATGGAGAAAGCCTTCAGTTGTGCATCAAGAGAAGATGCTGCAGATGGAACACTGAAAACATGTTGCTCTCCATCTGCATCAGTCCCAGAAGGAGATGGCTTCGGTAAAACATCATGCGAATAGCTCCTTGGCAAATTATAAAGGCTGCCATCCACAGATACAGAGGCAGCTCTCGGCGGGGGAGAGTCATAGACACTTTGCTGTTGAAAAAACCCATTCACCGCATGCTTGTTCAGCGACTGTACAGATGTTTTATGGGAAGGCACATTATCATTGCAGTCTGTTTCTGAAGAGGCAGTTTTTGCTGAGTCAGACTGTGACCTAAATGCAAGATTTTTTTAAAAAAGAAAATAATTTCTTGGCACATCCCAAGTTTATTACAGGAACTTTTTCACATTTTGCAAAATAATCAGCTGAAAACAGTGAATCACAACTGTAAACTATAACTAATAGTTTGATTTTATGTGAATCACATTCATGCACCTATAACATATGGACTCTTTATACTAGAAGGGGAAGTTTCTTATTGTGTTAAAAAGGGTGAAATCACAAAGGCTGCATATGCATACATGTCGATCTCATTCTAATGTTTGGATCCAAAGAATAGCTACACAACGATCCTCTATATTTCTGCACTGTACACTGCTAAAGTCTCAGTTCCTATCTGTCTTGCAGATTTCGGGTGGGAAGGGTATTACAAGGGTAGTTGGGGTGAAGGGCCAAAAATCACACAAGTTGAAAATAAATCAGGTGACCATTTCCTAAATTAATATTTGCAAAGCTGATTACAGTCAAAATGTGAGGATAATTTGGAACATGTTGGTTAAGTCTTAAATTCACCACCCTGGGCTCCTTTGGGATAAAGGGCGGGATATAAATTGAATAGATAAATAAATGTTAGGTACTATTTTTAGTCACAATATACACCCTAAATAACTGAACAAGAGTATTATTTTTCAGTTTTGAAGTATACTCATCAGTCATTTCAACCGTGAGATTTTCAATTTCAGTTTGAGAGCTTCAGTTTCATCCTTTTTATTTAAATACTGTTTGTTTTTAAAAGCAAGCAAGCTTGGTGCTATAATAAGGGGAAACCCTGTTAAGATGAGACAGGAACTGAGACGATTTGCAAATTGTAACCTGCTGCTACATGCAGTATTGATTGCATTTTGTGGCCATTCATAAAACCACTATATAACACATAGAGAGAAGATGTTTATGTTCTAAAATCAGCAAACCTATCTTGCTCACATAGCAGGGAATTAAAAGTGAAAAAGCCTGTATACTTAAAGGAGGCTGAGGCATGAAATGCTTGAATTTGTTAACCCAGGGCTGCATTGGCACATCACAGGGATGCTAACTCTTGGCACTACAAGAGTTGGTGGACTACAACTTACACCATCCTTTAATGAGGCCATGCTGGTTGGAGCTGATAAGAGCTAGGAGTCCAATGACATCAGGAGGGTCACAGGTCAGCCAGCCATGCAGTGTACCATACTTAATGTTTCCCCTCAAACATATGGCTGGGCTCCTGCTTCACTCTTCCCCTCGTATGATGAGCATCACCTCCTCCCTGGAGCTCAACCACGCCCCCTGGGTTAGTGTTACTTCCAAACTAGGAATTGTGATTTGCTTCATTCCAAACGAACCGTGATGTGGAGCCAAGGCTTTTTAATTGGCTTAGCAATCATAATTGGTTTGGCACAGAAAAACCACAGTCCCCATGTGGAAGTAACATTAAGCCAGGGGTCGTGTTTCTCTGACATGCTAATGGGGAGGAGCAATATGCAAGCCACCTCAAAGCCCACAGTGGAGCATTAACTACGGTTTACTATGACATGCTAACTGGCAAGGTATGAATAGCATAGCTACCTGTCATTTGGGGCTGGACTGGGAATGCAACTGTTGGATTTTTGTCGGGGGAAAGAAAAAAGAGCAGAATACAAAGAATGCAGGGCAGCCACAGCAGTCTTCAGTTATGTGTAGTAATAAAATAAATAATAATAATAATAATAATAATAATAATAATAATAACAATAATAATAATAATACCCTGCTCATCTGACTGGGTTGCCCCAGCCACTCTGGGCAGTTTCCAACATAATATACAAAAACACCTCCAAGGATTCTTCTCTGAATCATTTTTAAAAGCACCCCCCCTCAAAAAAAAATGCCCACAAAAGCACAAACAGCTTTGCACACCGAAACACAATCCTTTTTGTATGCTTGCATCCTCCAGGTGGTTATTATTTGCATTGCTTATTAAAATTCCACAGCACAACGTGCAACACACGCACACTGAAATTGATTCAAGCAAGTTATAGCTTTGAGGTTAAAGTCTAAACACAAGATCCCAAACAATTCACATTACACTCACTGCAAGGGAATCTTTTTACTTTCAAAATCCTCCAGCAGTAAATACTCCTCCCCTTCTTCCGAGATTATGTATGAACTGGTTTACAAGTGCGTGATAAAAATTGAGAGAGGTCAGCAACACAAACTATTTTGAACAAAAAGCAGCCTAGTTCTTGGAAAAATCATGGATAAAATTCATTGCTTTTTTCCAAAAAGTGTACCGATGTTAAGATAGGCAAGTAATCTGAAGGTATGTAGCACCTTGACCATGGTGTGCCATAGGGAGTAAACCCACTGAAATAAATGGGTTTACATATGCACTTATCCATTTGTCAGACAGGGGCCACGTTTTGTGAGGGGTTTTTAAAGGACCAAATAACATAGTAAAATTAATACATTGTCACTGTCAGTGGTTAGATGGCAGCACTAAGTCTGTCCAAGACTGATGAGCATCAAATGCCATTGCAAGTGGAGGAGACAGGCTTTTGCAAGACATGTTCAAACTGCAACAGCAGCAGCCAATGTCGGATTTGTCACCATAAGCACTTTTATGAGGGAGGAAGTTAACATTTACCTTGTGGGTTCAGGCTTCTTGCTCTGACAGTTAATTAGTAACAGGTAGTCTTGTGGATCTTCTTGACTTGAGGCAGACTCTGATGGTGGGATGTTAATTAGCTGGTATGGAGGAGGTAGGGATGGTTCTGCTTGCACAGATGGCAGGGAAGTGTTGACAGCCGAGGGCAATTCGGCAGGCGCCTGTAGAGAACTGCCAGGTAGCTTCACAGCATCTACAAATGCAAAAAGCATGCAGCAGCATTCAATCCTTGCTTAATTGCATTTACGTCTCTTTAAATCAGAGCCAAGCCCAACTGAAGCCTTTGAAAAATCAATTAATCATGAGATGCTCAGTCAATTAATGTGATTTGCATTTGAATAAATGCCACATTACTAACGGGGGGCAAATGACATTACAAGCCTGTAATGTAGCCTGCTGTTACTATCCCCATACTGGGGTGGATGCAACAAGTGCCCTATGTTGGAAGGAGTGGTGGCCTGTTCCTTGAAACACCCCTTTTCCTGCCAGTGGGTTGATCCAAAGCTCCATTTAAAGCAAGAGCACGCCATGGCTAGCCAAGCCATGTAAGCACCCCACTTTCAATGGTCTCTCCTGTCAGAAATTCAGGCCAGTTGGGGGAAATGGGTATGCCCTACTCATCATCTTGCCAGCTTCACTAGGCAGCTGCTTCTTTCTTCCACTCTTCTTCTTGCAGTTGGGAGAAGGGTCTAATCCTGTTTTAAAGCAGCGTAAATTGGTGGCCATCAGCACATCTTGTGGTAATAAATTCCATAGTTTAACTACCTGCCTTGTGCTGGGGGATACAGATTACCTGTCTTGAGGTGAGAACAGCTAGACCCAACCACTATCATGGGTTGTGTCTGACTTCTTACTGTTTCAAATGTGTCCTTTGGTGAATCTGCACGCTAAATTCTAACATCAGAAAGCCACAGCAAATAACCCCCAAAGACCTCTCAGAATAGCAAAATATTCATTTCTCTCCCTGTACTTAGTTGCCACCAACAACAATATAACATATGCGTGCTTCTTAAACACCCCCTATGTTGGTGTAGCACACTGTACAATACACATAAACTGGATCTTTCCCAATATCCAGCTTTACATATGAGCAGAAAATTACCACCAACCTTTTGGGAAATAATAAATACTTTAAAGGCAGAGTGAACATGTTTTAGATACCAGCTCCACCCCTCCACAATGATAAGACCTTAAGCAATGTCAGATTCAGACACAGAGATGGAGGCACACTTCACAGAACATGGGAAGAGGCAATGGAAAGTAATGAATCAGCTACAAACAAAATTGTCTTGCAGTGATTGTCTTGCACTGCAACTCTTTTTCAGGAATGAGTCACTTAGGACATCTGTACAGAAGCAAAACAATCCGACTGCACTTCAAATTGATACCAAGTAGAAAATATGCAGATACAATGGCAATGGACGTTAAGTGATTAGCTTACAAAGGAGCATGGGACAAAAGGAGTTTTGTCTGCAAGCTGTAAACCATGCAAATTCAGAGCACATCATCCAAAGCAGGGAGTACATCTGAATCACATGCATCTATTTTGATTAAAAGCCCACACGTTATTTTGTACAACATTGTGAACATTTGTACAGGCAACTTCCTACACCTCTTTTATCCTACATTCAATATCACTTTGTATCCTGTACAAAGGATACAATAATAAAGAGGCAGAGTCTACATACGCAGTGAACTAGGGGTAGGAATGAGGTGGCAGAACGGACTCTACTGCCTCAAGACATGTGTGGATGATGCCAGTTTCAAATGCTCCTCCACAATGAAAATGTGTGTTCATAGGATCTTTCAAAACAATCACATTAATGCTGTTTGAATCCTTCAGCAAGATCTGAACATCTAAAAATTGCATGTTCGCTTCTCAGATTTTTAGATGTGCAAATCTATCTCTTGCTGAAGGATTCAAACAGCATTTCTTGCCTTTTCTGCAGAAACCTTACAAAAATCAGGACACAATTTTGAAAAGCCTTCTTCGCATTTCAGAATCATACTAGGAAGACTTGGGCTAAAATCTCACCTTAACCACAGTATAGTTGCAAGGTCTTGGGCAAGATGTTGACTTGGTGTGGATGCACGGGCTCCTGGAAATCAGCTGACAGGTGCTTTGTGCCTCCCTTTTTGCTGCCTGTGGCCATTTGACCTAAGCCAAGGCTTGACTTAATGTGTTGTACAAACCGGAACTCATGGTTAAGCTCTGTCCTCACTAACCACGAGCTATAGCCAAGACTTGTTCCTGGTCACACCTTGTGGTTAGTCTGGAGAGAGCATAAACATAAGTCCCACTTCAGAGGACTTGGGGAGCATATGCATTTGTCCTAAGCCAAGGTTTAATGTGACAAGTGAACCAGGAGCCACATCCAACACTGTAGCTCCATACATGCACTGGAGCGTCTTTTTCCTCTCCTCTCCCCTCCAGCTCCCCACAGGTCTTTAAAATTAGCTCCAGAGGACACACCAGAGCAGATTTTAAGGGAACATAGGAGAAGAAGGGGAAACAGAAGTCCCAGTGCACCAGCAGAACCCTTCTATCTTAGCTTCCAAGCATTAATGGTGAAATGAGGGCAATGCGACATCTTGGAGACATTGATGGTGCGTTAACACAAGTCAGCTAGACATTCTTCATGTTAAAAGTGCCATTACATGGTCCAAGACATGCTGGGAAAGTCAGAATAGTCAGTGAATAAATTCTATTTTGTGTCTATGAACGAATAAGCAGGGGGTAGCCATTGAGATCCTTGGGGAATTTTGCAATGGTAGGTAACAAATACTAAGTCAGGTTCCATTAATTATTATTATTTTATTGCTGTGTACTAAAAGATCTGCTTTTCTGTGGCCACTGTTCCACTTAACCACAGTCTGGCAAGTCCACCCCACTGCTCAAGCTGCAATCAAGCTTTAGCTGCTCAGCTAGCTTATTACAACCACAAATATATATGTTTAAATCTACAGCCAGACAAATTATAAAAACTCGTAACTAGCCACTATACAAATACTGTCCTAAAAATATTCAAGCCTATAAAACCAAATACAGAACCTTTCTCTTTTGCTTCCAAAAAGGCAATGCCTTCTAGAGAAACATACAAAAATGTGGCTCTATATAGTGTAAAGAATTCAAAACACAACTCTTCAGTTGTTGACTGTGTCTACATGATGACCCAATATTTGCAAACTTCCAAACACTGTGCAGTTTTTTAAAACAAGCAAACACAGCACAGCAGACATCTGCACTGCCTTGCAATTGTCTCATAGAGTGCTTTGGGGTTCCTAGGGGAAAAGAATACAAATTAAATGGTGGGAGGGGGAACCAAGGGGGGAATCCTACCTTCTTCAGTAGCGTTGAACCCACAGATTTCACAAATACATTGAACCCACTTATTCATCTCCTCTTCACTGTCGGCAACCAAGTAGAAGACTCTGTCTATTGTGTTGATGTCAAAAATATAGCTGTTTTCAAATTCTTTTTTGTTAAATGTCAATCCAGCATCCACTTGTTGACACAAGTTCAAGTCAATGATACGAATTGGTTTCTTGGCATGGTCATTTTTGTAGTATTCCAACACATCTGGATCCCCTGTCAGTCGACCACTGCGGAGCACAAACCATCTCCTCTTCCACGCCTAGAGAAGGGAAGGCAGAAAAGATTCAGGCAATTCATATTTTATACCAGTGCATTACTCGACCAGCGCTGGACACAATAAACAGTTTTGTAAAATATTCAAAGCTGTAAAATTGTATCTTAGACCAAAGTTCTGGAAATCTTAAATATCATGAATTATTATTTAGTTCACTAAACCTCCACTAAAAGGGACAGCAGCGGCCTAAGAGGGAAAAGGAGGCACATGGTTGGTCCAGAGTGCAATCTGTTACTAAGAAACTCAGTTCGACTGGAACTCTGCACATGCCCAGAGACATTGATCCAGTTCACATGTAATGCTAAGCGAAGCCACAGATACCCATCAATGAGCAATCATAGGGGTAAGCCAAAAACAACCCATGTCTTGAGCATACAAACCATGGGGGTCAGGTGTGCAGCCAACTCTAAGCCAAATGATGACTTAGCTCTTGATAGCACGGTGTAGATCCAGGCAGGGGCCACAATTTTCCCTCTGTGTTCACTTATCACGCCAAGCCATAGCTTGGTTGAGCAGTACGTGAGTACTGTGAACAATCAGTGCAGTGCCATTGCAAGACAATAAGAGGAAACTGTGGCAGTTCAAGTTTAGTCCCATCATGGGGAGCTCTAGTGGCTTCTACCAAATATCTCTACAGTAGCTGCTGCATAGGAGAATTTCCCTGCAAGAACTGGTATGCACAATCAATCATGAAAGCCTAATTGCTGCCCCCTCCCCCCCAAATATCTCAGCAACATAAATTCAAATAACATTAATCACTTCTAGGACACCTTCCAGCAAGCACCTACGTCTGGTAATTGAATTAAGTCGAAATTTACAGTAAGTCTAACTTTGAATGGGAAATGCCTCCACCTCTCCCCACAAAAGTCATCTCAGTCACCAGGTTGGACAAAGACTCTTCGTGACATCCCTGCCACTATGCAGCAGGAAACTTGCATTGATAAGCTTGGTAATGACTCAGCAACTGAGTTAATTAGCTCCCAATGTTCCCCTCCATCTTGCTTTGTCCCTAATGTAACTGTCTTTTAAGACTGCTTCCCTCAGGAAGTCCTGTCCCCTCAGTTCCCACTTTGTTCAGTCTTCTGGCCAGGAGCGTTGCTCCACAAGTTAAGTGTTTCTCCCATGAGACTGCCCCATTCACCACACTTTGCCTAGTCTACTTGCCGTCAAGGATCCCCATGGGAGCAGACCTCCTCCCTGCCTCTTCTCCTTGTCTGGTGGTTTAGGCAGGAACTTTAAGGGAACGCAAGTTTCACATGCTCTCTGGACAACATTTGTACAGTATTTTAAAATCCTATTTGGCTGAGCGTTCCAAGGACATCAGAGTGCATGCTTGGGACCTCAAGGAAGCCTCCCCTTCTTTCTCTGGGACAAATAGTGTTTGGCATTTTATTCCTCTCACTTCTCTCCACCTGCTTCATTTCTTAAATCTTGCCATCTTTCTGCCCTCCCATGGTCCAAGCCCAGGTCATTTGCACTTGATAGTTCATCCTCCTGGCATGCCTTAGCCTGCAACATCCCTGACAATGCTTCTCACTTCTTACACGACAGCAGCCATTAGACTCCCTGCCTCCATCTTTTGCTGTCTCTAAGATAGTAGCAACCTAAGTGTCAGCTACTGGTTCAGGCCATGTGGGTTTGGATAGCCTGCATATAGTTTTTCAACAACCAACACATCTTGCAATTCTGTAATAGTGCATTTGGTGCTTCAAACCACAAATCAAATTACTCACTCACCACAATTTTGGCACACAAATAAGTAAATATTATTGTGTTTAACTCCAAACTGGGACTGAGTTGTATTTGCTAATTCCCCCAAGTGATTAAAAGTGTAAGTACAGTGCAATAACCTCTGTGACATATAGCAAACTTTGGAACAAAGATTTCAAATATCATACCTTAATGGTTGCACTTTTAAACACATGTGTTCATGTAACATAAACCAGGACATGTGTAGGCTTGGTAACAATAATCCCAATAGGTAACTGGCAGATCTAAGTAGCATGCTATCTAAACTCACAACTGCAATACAAAGTGCAAAATTCTGAATTCTGAATGAAAACAAGAATGAAAATTCTTCCTCTTCTATACTATAATTTACATGACCACATACTATCATTGGAGCTCTCATTGTGCTGCTGCTAGACTAGACTGAGACTCCTGTGTCGCCCCGGCAATTCTTCAGTTTGCTTGGACCAGAGATGGCAACTTGGCACAGCCTGTTTTAAACAGCTTTGAAGAAGAAGTTCCAGTACAACTCATATTTGCACAGTTTATAATCCAAACACTTGTTTAACTTCCAATTATGTGGCTTTTGGGGGGGGAGAGGAGGGGGGAGATGCCTACAGGCAGAAAAAATATCTGATCTGGGTAGAGAGTACATCCAGGGAGGGGTTGCTGTCTACTGAGACCAAGAAACCAAAACTGCCACTAACAACAGCAAAGGAGGAGGGTCACTCCATCAAACAGCATTCTGTGGGGATTCCAATGCTGTCTCAGTGCAGAAGGAACAGTCCTGTCCCTCCTGACCCAGAAGTTGTTACCTGCCCCACTCCCAGATCTGATTGGGGAGGTCATTTTTACTTGGAGGGGCCTGAGTTTGCTTTCCCCCTCCACACCCTTCAAATACATGAACAAAACTGTTAATAAGACAGGAGTGATCTAATAAAGAATGTTGTAAGTCCTATGTTGTTGGTATACCCTTAATAATGATCAAGTTCTTTGGGTTGTGTAAAAAATGCTAATGGGGAGGAAGGCAGGAGAAGATACAATACAGAATAAAATGCTGCACAAAACTGAGTTGCAATTTGTTTAATGATGTGGTTGCAACACACCGAATGAAGGTAATTTGGAAGTTTACTTCCTAATTCTGCACATTCATGAGTTGAAATCGCCTCTGTATTTCAGTGCTAACAGAGACCCAATTCAACATGGAGGGCAAAATACAACTCTCACTGGAGCCAGTTTCATAAACTGATAATCCAAACAGACCTTCTTTTTAGCCTGGCAAGCCACAAAGTACCAAGTATCTGAAACAGTGACCATTAACACCTGCTTCTGTGCCCCCTCCCCTTATCTCCCCAGAAGATTTCTTTTTCCACATAGTGAAAATGGGAATGTTTATTTCAGTTGCATAATGAGTCACTCACACTGAAACTGGCACAGACTATCCTCAGAAACAAAAGCAATTCCATAAACTACACACTAATAAGGCAGACACAAAGCTTCTCTGGATTATAGCACAAAAGCACAATTTAGCAGCAGAATAAAGCTTGAAGCTAGACAAGAGAACTGACATCAGCACGCGTGCTAATCATAGTACAAAGGCCCTTCTATGTTTTGTCAAACTGAAAAGGGAGCCCACATAAATCACTCTTTGTTATCTGAAAATATCTGGCATTCTTGAAGCATGTTCTATTTTTAACATTTTAGTGTTGGCTGCCTGGTGGAAGCTCTACATTGCCTTACTGAGAAGTGCTTCAGAAGCCCATGCTACACAACAGAAGTTAAGGAGTACAGCTTTGGGAGGTACTTTCCAAACCCAAAACATTTGGGTTGCTCCCAAACAGAATTCTTACAAAGTTTATATGTTCATTCGTCCATGAAGAGATACTTCACAAAAATCCATTTACGTTTTGCAGCTGGGACACCTGATGTTGAAACTGAAAAAGCATGCTCAGAAAGGCTAAACAGATCTTTGCTTACAGAAGTGTTACTACAATAAGCAAATGTTAACTTTTCCTCCAAGACAGAGAAATGAAACAGCTTAATCCAAACCATAATTAGTGTTTGGTATTGTAGGGATGTTACACCACCAGCCCTAAAACTGAGGATCAGAATATTGATCAGTGAAGACAAAGGAACAAAAGCTCTGAGGAGGAATGGGCTACAAACAAAACAATTTACAGCACAGTAGCATGCACGACTACTCGAAAGTAAGGCCTCCCTGTACTCAATGCGGCTAACCCCCAAGTATATGTGTATCGGAATGAGCCTCAATCTCTCGCTTCCTTGCCTTTTAAACAAGCAAATGGTGAGGTTTTCCCTATTTTCCCTTTAATTAAAATAGTTGCTTTGTATCATTTTAAATGTGAAAATTCAATGCAATTTGCTTTAAATATTCTCACATTTGTTTTATGGAGTGCTACTTGACAATAGTATCAAATGTCACAATCAACAGAAGCCTGATTCAGGAATTCAATCATGAGCTTTAACTCCCTACACAGCGCAAGGCTGGGGCTGCGACCACTGGCCCCACGTAACCACCTGGCCTCCCTGTGGTATGCATGCAGGATCCTCCCCACTGAAACAACCAGGGTTCCACATCATGCGCAAGAGCAGGAGGCAATGAGCATACAACAAGCTCCCGCTATAGACATCCCCTTGCCAATGTGGGGGTAGAGACAGCCCCATCTTCGACTCCACATACAACTATTATTCAGGCATTCAATAGAAAGTTGTTGCCAGGTTGGTCTTAGAGAATGGTGAAAATATTATTTGAGATGAATGGAGTTCCATGTCTCTTAATGCCTTTTGCAAAATGTTTCACAAGTATGAATGAACTGTGGAAAATATCCAGTGCACCTTTACTAAGATATTGACCAAGATATAAAAACACTCTGCACTCACACCTCATAAGGCTTGTTTTCCAGGAAGCCTCATCTTTTCTAGCAGGGGAAAATAAGGAAAAAACAGTCTCAGTGGAAGTTTCCACTCCACCAGCTATCATCCTTATAATCTGTTCAGAATACACACACACACACACGGCCAAAATTTCCTGTTTTCAATCTATTGTCACCATTTGCTAGTTTTGTGTTGGTCAGTTCTAACTTTAGCTTGCTTATACAAACAAAGAAAACATTGAAAACAGAAAAGCAGCATTGAAGCGCTTTGTGCTTAGCAATCTGAAATGGAATTTGTTCAATTACACTGGAAAAAATAATAGGAAAAAAACAGTCAGAAAGGCAAGAAGAACAAAGAGAGAGAGAGAGAGAAAGTTTGCTATGCTTTGCAGTTGTTACACGCTTAGCAATTAGTAGTTTTTTATGCAACCCAAAGAACTTTATCACTATTAAGGGTTTACCAACCACATGGTACTTAGCGCTGTTATAGCATTCTTTATTAGAAGCACTCCTAGAATGCTGCTGTCTAATTACAGTTTTGTTCATGTAATAAAAGACTATTCTAAAGGCCACCTCAACCTGTTGTAGCCATGTGGCCAGGGTTATCCAAGGATTGTATGAGAAGCACAACACGCTAAAGTAAGTACAGTGGTACCTCGACTCTCAAAATTAATCCATTCCAGAAGTCCGTTCCAAAACCAAATTGTTCCAAAACCAAGGCGCGCTTTCCCATAGAAAGTAAGGAAAAATGGATTAATCTGTTCCAGACTTTTAAAAACAACTCCTAAAACAGCAATTTAACATGAATGCTACTATCTAATGAGACCTTTGATCCATAAAATTAAAGCAATAAACAATGTACTGCAGTCACACAATCAACCAATCAGCAGCTGAACGGAGTTGCACACAGTCACAAAAGCAAAACAAAAAAGCCACAAAAACAAAAATGCAAAATAAATAGCAAAAACAGACAGACCTCAGCGTAACATTCAAAATGCAGCATGTTCGGCTTCCCAAAAAAGATCGCAAACTGGAACACTTACTTCTGGGTTTGCAGTGTTTGGGTTCCAAGGCGTCTGAGAACCAAGGTACTCCTCTGCACAGCTAAAAACTTAGGAATCCACTTCCACAATATGTGGTGGTGGCCATCAACTTTGTTTTAAAGAGGCATTAGACAAATTTATGGAGGATAAAGCTTTCAACAGTTACCGGTCATCATAGCTATGTACTACCATCAGAATGAATGTGTCTCTGAATACAAGTGCTTGGGACTGAGCACCATCTCCCTCATGTCCTGCTCTTGGGATTCCCACGGCAATTGTGGAAGCAGGATGCTGGACTAGACAGGCCTTTTGGTGTGATGCAGTATGAAGGCCCCTCTTACGTTCACGTATGTGCTAAAACTCTACAGTTTTATTATTCCATGATTCTAAGGTACAAGTTAGAGTGTTCACAAGCTCAGTTTCCCATCGCTGTTAGTATCCACATGGTATGATAAATTATAATGCAATAACTTTAAACTAATCTTCCTATGTACCTACAGTTACTCATTAACCCTATGTTCAAGTTATTAGCTTGAACAGTAGCAAAGGTAAGGTTTAACGTCTGTGACACCAGTCAGGATGACTGAGAAAATGTCATCCTGACCCCATCAGTGGTGCCCAACAAGCAGGAGAGCTGGTGTAGTTCAGTGGCTAAGAAATTGAGCTGTGAATCTTGAAGTCTGTGGTTCAAATCCCACCTCTTCCAAAAACTCATTAGATTGTATTTGGCAGGTCACTCTTTCTCAGCCTCAATTCCCACACCCCATGGACAATATGGGAGATAATACTAACCTTATAGAGTCGTTCTAAAAATTACAACTAGCTAACGCATGTTAAGGACTTGAAAGCACTATATACATTTTAGATATTAATATTAATAAGCTTTGCAATCTTCAGTGGTTCCCAATCCACTCCCAGACCTAAATCAAAAGTTTTTAACACCCAACACTAAAGGGAATGGTAAATAAGAAGAAATACAGGTATGCCAAGCTGCCCTGGGATTCTCAGTGTATTATGGGTTACTCATAGAATCAGACCATTTTTAATAATGGGAATGATTTCAGAACATTCCTTTGACTTAAAATCACAATATGAATATCACTCCCATAATATCCCATCTCATTATTGCAAAAACAAGGGTAGGCAAACCTGTGCTTTTGGCCTGGTTCAGATGTAACAGGAAATCATGGTTTCCTAATATGCCCAAATTGGTCTTACCTGTGACTTTTTTTTTAGTTGCATGCTATGTTTCCCTGTGCTCAACAATAGAATACACCTTCAATTTTATTTTCTGTTGTTCAAGAAACGTTTTCTATCTCTTCTACAACTGTTCTCATAACTAGATGAACACATTGGAAAGATGTATTGTTTGATATCATGTTCCATTCCACATTAACCTCCAAGTGGTTCATTCTGGTGGCATTGCTGTAACAGCAGTTCGGAAGCCACCACATATTCTGTTGTTTTTGTCCAGTGGTTTCCTTTTTTATATTACGACAACTTGGGGGGGGGGCTCTTTCAAGTGTTTCCCCTCATTACTCAACTCTTTATTAATGCCCCTGAATAGAATTGCTCCATATATATCCATTTTACCAACAGTGCCAAGTCTTTTTACAACTCACAGCTATTTACATTACATTCTCCTAAGTTTCAACCCCTTTCTCTGAATAAAATGTGCAAGCTTTGGTGTAATCTGCTCTCATCAGGACTCATTAAAAAAAAAATAACATAAGGAAAAACCAAAATACCCCTCCACCTTAAATGCACAAACTTAGATATGAAGAACAAATGCACTAAAACCAGTCTGTGGTCAGGTTTTGCTTTGAAAACCAGCAGCTATCACATAAACTTCCAACCTCTCAAAGGGATAAAAACTACATTTTAACAAGTTTAATCCAAGTTTACACCTTTCTGCTTTTCAAAGCTTTTTTATTATTATTCACATGCATTAGCAAAATTTGTTATTTATACAGACCAATGCTGTATACTCAGAAGCAACACTGTTTTCAATGACACTTAATCCCAGGGTAACGGTATAGGATTGCAGCCTTAATCACTTCATTGTAGCCCCTTTTACTTTCCTGTCAATTTTTAAAATTGTAAACCTCCTGCTAGGATTTGTGTTCATTTTTACTTTCTGTACAGCTCCTAGCAACTTTAAGAACTTTATAAATAATAAACAGCAACAACAACAACAACAACAACCGAACAATACAGCAGAGATGGATTGCTAAGAAAGACAGCCCCTCCTACGTTATCTTCTGCCACTGGTCATTTCTTCCTTTCACATTCCGTTTCAGTACGATGAATGAACATTTACTTTAAAAAGTACAGTAATTTGTTATGAAGCCACACTCTTACATATGAATTCATGACTGTGCAGTTAGAGACCTTGAGAGTAGGCAATTCAAAACAACCTCAAGTCACACAACAAAAAACAACTTTCTTGTGGATCAATGAGTATTACAATCTACCGGTTTCATTTTAACAAAGTTACAAGAATCCTCTACTCTGATTTCCACATGTAACATGTCTTAGGCAAGCAGCTGTTTCTCAATAAATGTCATCTAGATTAGCTCTTAAGAACACTGTTATTCAACAACAAACATTAAAAGGTGGACATTACTGTACTTTTTGAAAGTGTTCTTTCAGGTTCCAAGGCAGTTGTATTACACACTATCAACAAAGGACTGTTCTTGAAGTCTGAACAGTGACTATTTAAAAAAGACCAAATATATATCATTAAACCAAACAGAATTGCTTAGGAGGAAAAGTTAACCGTAATTTTCTAAAAGACATTTTTTTCTATTAAATAAAGTAACGTTAGAGTTGCTTTTATTTGCCACTGAAACAAGTTTAAAAACAGGACTGTGCATATGTACAAAAGGACCTTGAGACTGGATAATAAAAGTACCTCATTTTGTTTTCAGCACAGCCACAAAATCCCGACCATTTCAGTAGTTGTGTCTACCCCAAAATAAGCACAGCGTTAAGTCTTCCTGTCAGCTTTCCATCTCGTTATACACCACCCTATTCTAATAACCTTTGACCAACAGGAAGTAGACACAATAGAATGAAAATAACAGCAATTGTATGCATTCAGAATGATTTAATGTAAAGGAAAGAGGTACTTATTTCACTGGTGAACAAACTGCCTAAAGCTGATTTTATCCTTGCATACCAAATACTATTTTTGTGCTGTGAAGGGGGGGGGGAAGGACAGTGAGCACGGGCAGTTGTCATGCACAGTAAACCTATAAAGCTTAATGCCAAAACTCTTATTCTGTTGATTTGTATCTTTCTATGGATTCTCTATTATAATTATTGCTTTAAAAAAACCCTACATCTCTACATACAGCATACGTTTTATATTTCATATGCAGTCCTGCAGGAAAGTTTTAATTGCTTGCAAATGTTGGCAATTATTTCCTGAAAAGAGGATGGTCTGAATGGATGTGGTTCAGTTCAGCTACTGGAGCTAAGTGGGGAAGAGAGTCCACAGAGAACCATATGTAAGCCACTCTGTACTCCCTGGAGGGGGGACGGGGACCAGGGTACAATTGTAGTAAGTACCGTATTTTTCGCTCTGTAAGACGCACCAGACCACAAGACGCACATAGTTTTTGGAGGAGGAAAACAAGAAAAAAATATTCTGAATCTCAGAAGCCAGAACAGCAAGAGGGATCGCTGCGCAGTGAAAGCAGCAATCCCTCTTGCTGTTCTGGCTTCTGGGATAGCTGCGCAGCCTGCATTCGTTCCATAAGATGCACACACATTTCCCCTTACTTTTTAGGAGGGAAAAAGTGAGTCTTATAGAGCAAAAAATACGGTACATTTCTTGTTTTTCACTTTTCATTTATTTAATCTCACGAGAGAGGGCTGGCGGAAACATGCACTGCCTTTCCTTTATGTAGCTCCCTCTTTGCTCAGTTTTAAGGTTTCCCAGTGTCAAATTCATTTATTTGACACCCGGCAAAAGAGCAGCTAAGAACCTCTTTAGTTCTGTGAGCCAAAGCGTGCTTGGAGAAGTTCAGAACACGCTTTTCACTTCCATCCTGAGACTGGAGCCTATGCTGCCATAACGCCAAGGAATAACTGAAAAAGGATATCCTGCTCTCCCCCACATGCCTTTAAGGAGACCAACAAAACCAGAGGATACTTAGCACAAGACAAGAGATACTAGGTGCTACTTTTTAACTGGCAAATAATGTTAACATGAAATAAGGTTCTAGTGTTGGATTAGCACTCACAAAACTGAGTTAAAAATTAATAGTGTACACTGAAAGTTAGGAAGGAAGGCCAGGAACTAATCATGTTGGGTAGAAAAGGGAAAAAAGACCACTAACTCACAGCCATTTGCATGTAGAGGGCTTCACAGAAAGAAGGGGCAGTGACTTTGCCACCCCATCGGCCTGACCCCTGGTATTATGTAGTTCCCTGGCCCCACACTCCCAACATCTTTGCATGAAAGACTGAAGGAAGTTCTATGTGTGTAATCTTCCCTTAAGAAGGCGTCCGTGCACAAAGTAGGTTATGGGGCGTGGGGGGTGGGCAGGGAACCATACACTGCCAGGGGCAAAGGCACAGACTCCCCTTACCTATGAGACCGTCATCAAATGAATAATGCCCAAAGGGGGCTGCAGTTGTGTTAACTTCTGCTGGACTCCACAATCTACCAAGAAATTCTATGCCTTATAAACTAAATTTACCATTCTGGGAAGCTTGCAGGTGCCCTGTCATGGATGAAAACGGTTACACAAAAGGCATCTTTGATTAAAATGTGGACCTCCTGACCCAGACTCCAACTCCAGTCCTTGGCTTCTGTTCCAACTGCCTTTCAACATACAGAGCTTTCTGCCATTTGGCAACAGTAAATCTAAGAGAAGGGAAGTGTACTGCACTTTCCTGTGATATAAAGGACACCTCTGTGCATTAATGCTACTAAAAATAGTAGTGCACATGAGTCCCTCACCAAATATACAAGTATTCCTGAACACTTCTTATTCATCTCCTTTCTCCCGTTCAGCATTAGAGGCCCACGTTTAATTTATGAGCCGCAGAACTATGCCTTCATGTTTCCTTTGTTGTTGTCAGTGCTCTGTCGCATCATGTTTGGCTGCTTTAGCTTACCCCCATTTGCCTTTACATTTACCTCAGAAGCAACTCCCAATGGCATTTTTTTAAAATCTAGCTTTTATTGCTTGGGGGCTTCTTGAGGCTAAATGTTTTGGCTCATTGCCAGTTATACACATGGCTTGTCGACCGGGCTTCTTAGGACAAATGTACACATGTGAAAACATAATAATATAGCAACAAAGTTTAGGTTTACATTCTTCACAGTCCTGAACACTGGTAGTTGCCTGAACTCATCTTCAAGATTATTTCGCCCATGTAGAGCTCACAGAACTAGCTGCATAGTTCCCTGGTTCCTGATCGTGATCTGTTTTGCTGTCCAGATGTGCATGGAATCCAGTTAGTCAAGAAAACATATTGTGGCACAAGGAAAGACACCTGCAGAACCTTTAAGTGATCTGAAGAAGCATGTTACATAAAACACAGCAGAAGGAGATGCAACCCTCAAGCGATTTTCACAAGTAACTTTTGAATTTATTTTTTTGTACTTCCTGATTCTGCAAGGCCAGCAAACAGAAAGGACTCCTGTTCCCTTTCAATCTCGTACTAACATCCACACGTGCATATCACAAGCAGCCTAAAAGGCCCTTAAAGATATACAAAATGGAATTTGTACCAACATACCTAACATAAGCCTTTTTACTGCACACACTGAAACAGTTGCCAGGTGAGATTAGGGATATCTTGTCCTTCCACCCCCTGAAAAAGTCCCCATGGTAGGTTATAGAGATGAGTTATTTAAAAAACAAACCATTTGAAAAAAGATATGTCAAACATATTACACAAATGTATTTCCCAACACTTAAAAGCCTTAGTATATTACCAGTCAAGTATGGATAACTGGAAGATATACTTTAATACCAGGTTCAAATGAGGCAGCAGGGCAGAGTGCCCTCATTCAGCTTCCATACAGCCATGCTCTTTCCAGGATAGTCCAATCCAGTCTCCCCACACACACCTCATTCTCAAATTCCCCCACAAAACTAAGTTAGCATTCTGTGATCACTGGGCCTATTTTTAGGTTCCCACCTACCAGTTTTTGCTTTTGTAAACCTTCTGCAAACCTTGGCACTCCCCAACGCCAGCGTTGGGGGTCAGCACTGTTGGGCACCTGCTAAACTTCACAACACTGCAGGTACTCCTGACTCCCAGAACCTCCAGGCTCTATTCACCTGGGTGGTTGTGTGGACTGGGAACAGAAGGAAAGGCCAAACAAAAGGGTTGCAGTTACCAGTGGCAAAGTAGAAGATGGAGCTGCTTAAGGTGGGGACTCACTGAGAGCATCTTGCCCAAGCTTCCCCTTCCCAGCAGGCTAGTATCTAATTCTTGTGCATGGATGCCGCCATTTTGGTTACAAAAGGATCCACACTGGGAGAACAAATTCTCTGTTAGTATACAGAATTGCTACATGAACAAATACATAAATATACAAGCATTCACAACATTGAACACTTTTGCCAAAGCGAGCATTACACAGCACAAATTTCAGCCCCAAACCAAACAAAGACATATTTTGCCTCAACACTTTTGACTCATTCTGATCATTTATTCTTAAAACCGCTGCTCACAACATTTGGCAGATGGTCTCAATCCTGACGCTTGTGAATTTTGGCAAGAAAACCCAGCACTTTCTTCACACTTCTTTAGTTGCATGCTTCTCTGAAAGGAGAAACAGATGCCGCCAGCCTCAGTAAGCTTGCCTTTCCCAGCTAAGGCGCTGCATCTTCTCACAGCAGAACAAAGTTTCAGATCTGGCCAGCCTGAGAGGATCAGAGATATTCCAGATAGCAACACACACACATTTTTAAATTTAAATGCTGGATTCCAAGCTGCATTCCTGTGCTCCCTTTAGCCACAGAAAACCGCTTAGAGGTTAAAATAGATTCTTTGCAGTCCACCCTGGTGAGACAAGTCTTCACTTGCTGCCAACTGTGCTACCTTCTCATTCGCACAGCTCACTTATATGAATTTGACATTACTATTCCGAAGCAACCGATGCCAATCGCTTAAAAGTCATGTCCGCCACTCCTGCCTTTTGCTTCAAATTGCAAACAACCCATCAACAAGGTCTGCTCCTTCAATACAAGTACTATGGAACTATGGAGTGGCAGTGGTTGAATATTGCAACAGCTTCAGTGTCAATAATTTAATTATGCTGCGGGGTCGGGTACAGGCCAGCTTCTTCATTTTAGCATATATTTGGCTTGTTTTGCTTATACCACCTTGCCTTAAGGCTGTTTCTGCCCTGTTTGGGAAGCCAACTCAACAATTAATTACAGTGACAATAGGCACCTTCAGATATCCTTTTTATTGTGCGTTCATTATTGGTGTTCAAGTTGGCATCAGGCGGTAATACCCCAGCCAGCATTCAATAGTGTTTGCCCACCCAAATGTTTTGGGGCAGACATAATGCTTCGTTTCCAATTAATTCATGTCCCATAACTTCCTGCTGAAATCCTGTAACTCTTATACCACACATGTTCTGGTTTATGACTACCCCCCTCCAAAATGCAATGACACTGGCGAAGCATTGCAGAATAACTAATAAAACAGGATGAGGTGTGGATGGTCAAGTATAAATCCACCTCTAAAGCAGTATCGTATCATCAATGACATGTTGCAGAGTACAACTGCAAAGAAAACCCAGTCTGGAGAGGACCATTTTGATTAGGTATTGCTGAGGCAATTGGCCCATGCCTAGGAATGATTAGCTGAGGTCTGTTTGTCTAGCCAATCTATGAAATCATCTCTTTTTAAAATATGAACTATTATGTAGTACTGTCTCCACTCAAAACAAGATAATTGCAATGAACTAATTGCAAACACACACAACATGGATAAAAGCAATGGGAAGTAAGGTGGGGGAAGGAGAGAGAGAGAGAGAATGCAGCACGAGACCCCCCCGCCCCCCCAAAAAATTACTCTCTTAGATCACCTTCCTGAAACCGGGGTCTGAGAGTTCATGTGGCATTCCTGTCTATATACGTTGTATCTTGGGGGCAAGTAATAACAGGGAAATACGCTTCTCAAAAGCATTACCATTTGAAGTGCTCTAACTGCAGGTGCTTATTTGCACCTACATGAATTCTGGATCTTTTACACAGGAGCTCAGATCCTTTCAAGTTTGCAAAAAGAGCAACCAGGGAAAAGGAAAAAACATCACACACACAAAACCGCAAACGTAAATGTAACCTCAATACTTAACATTTAATAAACCCCATAGCTGGCATGGAGAGTCTGCGCCCCTCCAGATTCTATTGGGTCACTGGGTTCCCAACCCTGCCTTCAATGAACACAGCATTTATTACTCTCAGAAATTTGGCCTTTTAGGAATCATTAAGCTTGTACTGTATGTAGATCAAAACCTCACTCTTCAAACATGCACCTCCACGAAACCGTCTCTACTTGTCACTAAACCTATGCTGTTGTCTTGTAAGAAAACATCTAACAAGCTCATTCCAAGTAAATGAAGCCATCACAATTTTAGTATCTCTTCCCTGCTATAGAGCTCATGAAATGATCTTGAAACGCTCAAATCAAGGTTTCGATCATCTAATGAGATGAGGTAATTTGTGTGTGTGGTTTCACAGTGCACTCTGAATGGCAACCCATTACACCAGTCCCCTGGCACAGGGCTAATCAGCTTACCATCTAAACACAGCATTGAAACACTGCCCTGCAACATCTAGAAGCAAAGAGAAAGGGGTGGGGAGGGGGGGCGTAATTGATTACATGCCATTTCTAAGCCAGGTCTTCAAGGCAGTTTATGCATTTCACTAATTTTAGCAGAAAAACACACTTGCATGTTCTACTAAAGTTACATAATCAGCATTCCACTATTTACAGCTTATTCACCATTGTAATCATTATAACACTGCCGACTGACGAGTCCACCATATTTTATAGCAGATAATACACATTATTTATTGCACAAGTTAAATTACTGAAACAATCTCCAAATAAGATTCTTTATTTCACAGGACACTCTTGTACAGAAGTCTTCCACTAACGTAAGGTCTAATTTAACAGCATTGTTTCATGTCGCTGTGTCCTAATTTGCTTTGCATTCTAATGCATATTTCTTCCTACTTGTCTTAAAGCTACGTAAATCGTCATGGGAAGTAAAGTTTATGACATTCTTCCAGAAGACTAGTGGCAGCCCAGTAACATCCAGTGGGCCACAGGTCCCTCAACCTGTGGCCTGCCAGATGTTGCTGGAATAAAACTCCTATCTGGTCTAACCACTGGACAGAGAACATGTGAAGGGTCCCAGGCTCTCTACTTCTGCTGTAAATCTACGTTTTCCTCACAAAGCAGATCCCAAACCTGATTTTTGCCAGACAAAATTTCAAGTACCTGTACCCTGCAAACACATGTTTCATTTTCCTGACATTCTGAGGCGTCTCTCTGGAGAAAAACTTTAACAAATATTTTTAGACTTCCTGCTGAAACATCCTCCGCACATTGCTCAATATGGTCCACAAACAAACTGATTTAGTTTTGCAGTCATATATCCCAGTTGCTTTGTTGATCATTATAGGTTTCTATAGTAAACTTAACCAAGGGTACCATGGTCACTTCTGTGAGGGAAAAACCCCTCTGTTAATCAAGGGGGAAGGGAATCAAAACAGCAAATGAATTTAAGATGGACTCCCCCTCTGCTCCAGCAACTTGTATCATTTGAAATTAATATAAAATTGCACTTGCCAGAGCATTACATAATGTTGTAGTGCCTATTTCTGGCAATTGTTTCTTGTCACAGTCCCTGAGCAAAGATGGCCCAGACACAGATAGCAAACTACGTAATTCCAAGACTAGCAAAAATACAAAGGGCGACGTTGTCATCCAGAATAGCTGATGTAGGGCAAAGAGGTCAGGGATCCTTATGGTCTATTTCTGCATCCATCTTAGCACACAGCAACCAGATTCTGCAATTTCACACCATGGCAGTTTCCACAGAACCCTTGTAGCATCTGCCAGAACCCACAGATATCAAATGCCAGAACGTGAATTCTCCAGTCATTCTCACTTTATCAACATGTCACTAGAGAATAAATTGATCTGAATTCCATAGGATGGCCAAGTCACATTGCTTATTCATCAATAAGTTATGTTAAACTTTATTTTTCATGTTACAGTTACCTAGATATCAATTAGAGAGCCAGTCAACTTTAGCTTTTCTTGCAGCAAAATCTGAAGGGAGGCAAGAAGGTTCAGCGAGGCCTGACAATAGGGCTCAGTTTGATACAAGATGACACATCATTTGCAAAAGCTACCAGCATCACCTCTTTTTAAATACTCAATTTCTTAAAACGGAGCAAATGGCTTCTCCTCTACTTTCCAACACCATCACCAATCTGTAGAACAAATGCCAACAAAACTGCACAGAGGTTTGTCACTGGAGCACAGAAAGGAAGACAATCTACTTTCTTTAAAAATACTGAATGATCTGAACTCTTAACACGAATTAGCAGCCACAGATGAAAAATCATTACTCATCTAGAACAAGGCGCAGTAGACGTAGGAAGTTGCAAACTTCCAACATAAACAAGTGCACAGTTCCAATGATTTTAAAAAGGCCCTTTTTCAAAGTTAGCTACACTTTGAGTCTCTGCTTTAATCACTGTTAAATCATTAGCTTTAATCATAATTATCCAAGGCAGATGCTTACCAGTTTTTTATCTGGAGCTTTAACAGCTGTCATAATAAACAAAGAATTGTGTAAATGGTGTTCCCTGTGTTTAGATGAGGCAATCTACTGCAATGTGACTTTAATGCTTTAGCACAAGAATTTCAGACACATCCATCTCCCATGGTAGGCATCGTCCAAAAATGCAAAGATATAAACAGAAAGCCCTCAGTATCTATTTGCTTACTTTACTTTAAAAAATAAAAGCCTTATGCTGTGCAAACTGATGGCATTATTTCATTTTTTAAATCTATCCCCATAGAATCAAAGAATTGTAGAGTTGGAAAGGGTCCCTAGGGTCATCTAGTCCAACCCCCTTTAGTCCAGGAACCTCAACTAAATCATATATGGCTTAAAAACTTCCAAGGAAGGAGAGTCCACTACCTCTCATGGGATTCTGTTCCACAGTCGAACAGCTCTTATCAAGAAGCTCAGCACAGCACATGCTACTTCTGTTGTCATGATTACCTTGAATCAGAAGAATCTTTATTTCCATCAGCCACTAGCTGTGGCAATAAAACAAAACAAAATAAAATGTACTGAAGCTAGAGGTAAAAACTTAACTATAGAAAATACGTTTTGGGGGTTTACGTCAATAATGATTACCTTGAGACAAAATGGCTAGTCCAGGGTCCAACAAGAACCACACTTTATGCTCAGTAAGTGGTTTCCCCATTCTAAGCCCACCATCATCAATAACAACTCAACACCAAGATACATTAAAGCAATCACTGGATGACTTCTTAGATTTTTGTCCAGTGCAACTATAACCTCTATATGATCCTTCGTGTTCCCTGTTAGGACAACACAGTCCACTTTACACTAGATGTAAAGACTAGTGAGACTGAAGCAAACAAACACACACAGAGCCAGTATTAACTATTACTTACGGTTAAGAAATAAAATGTGTAAACACTAAAACAGTTAACAAAGACAGGGTAACAGGATTAATATACGTAGGAATAATTTTCAATGACATGAAAAGAAATATTAAAAGTATTCCAAAATGACAAAATTTCTCAAAGTAGTATCTGACTAAGTCACAACTCCAAGTAGATCCACTGATATCTTTATGTAATGAACAATCCATGGTTTAAACATATTTTTTTTAAAAAAAATTGCTCAGAAAATATCCATTTATCTATTTCAGTGGTGGCACACGTGTTCAAAAACTAGAAGTAAAGTTGCAAAGTCCTATTTCTTTAAGGCTGCGATTCAAACACTCATGTGGGAGTAAACACCATTGGCTACAATGGGCCAACTGTGAACAAACCCAGCATAAGACTGCCACATAACATCCAGGGATTCATGAATTTGATGCTTCTTGTCTTAGTAGAATAAGACACATCCATGTATAATAATCAGTATTTACAAACCTACTACATAAAAACTCAAAGCCGTGTATAAATAGGAAAGTCATAAGCTCAGTTATAATGCAATACTTTATTTACATCTATATTTATTTCATACCAAGGGATCTTGGGGCTGCAAAATGGCTTACATGGATTATTATACTATATATTACACGGTGATCATCTACCGATCTTAACTTACAAGGCTGTTGAACAAGACTTCTCTTCGAGCAATGGATGTTACTTAACAGAGGCAGACCTTTAGCTATCAAAGCAGCATCAGTTTGCCTAACAAGGAAGAAAGGAAAATGATTCCAGAGAGAGAGAGAGATGCAAAGGGGTGGAGAAAAGAGTGGAAAAATAGATGATATCAAGTATTTAAGCAGGGTTTTGAAGCAGCGAAGAAAGCAAGATAGAAAGAGAATAACATACCGTTCATCCAAGCTGAATCTCTGCTTATCTCTGAATCACATCATCATACTGTTCATTAAAGTGGTCTTCACAGAAGCTATACACAGAGCACAAAGTGGCCTTCAGCCAAGTCAGTGACTTCAACTGCTCCATATTCATACAGTAACAGAAGCAATACACAGGGGACAGAGACAGAAAATGGAGTGGATCAGACAGTTTGGTCAAGCCACTGTCTGCATTCAAAAGAGAGAAAGAGGGAGGGAAGCTGTTGCTGCACAGCAATTACACAAAACAGACTCAGATATTTTTTTTTTAAAAGAAGCTTTAGAGACACATTCATTTGTCTGAAAAGACTGCAAAGCTTTGGTTATCCCCCTCCCATTCCAAGTACTGTTTATATTGTGCATTTTTCAGTTCTGCAAGTGATGGTCAAAGTCACCACTACAACTGCATTAATAAGCACAACTGGGGGTGGGGACATGGTCTGGAAGACCACAATACCTAAAATTTGCACCAAAGTATTTTCTTGAGATAACAAAGGTGTACACTGCTTCAAGGCAAATTGTATAATGTGTAGTATCTCTCAAACTCATCCTAATTAGATACCTCCCACCATATTTTGCGATGTTCTCTGACACTGCTACTAACATCCTTCATCAAAAGTACTTGTGTCACAAGGAACCTTCAAATTATTATTATTATTAAATGTAGAACTTGGTCCCAAACTCTTCAGGTCTTTAAAGGGTACATTTTAACTTGAGCCCAGAAACAAATGGCAACCAAGGCAACTGATGGTAGTTTGGTGAAATATGATCAATCCCCACAAGCATTCTGATGGCTGGATTTGTGAACCTGGTGAAGTTTGTAGGCAGACTTCAAAGGCAGCCCTATGCATAGAGCATCACTGAAGTCCAGAATGTTGCTTTCACGCCCTGCTTGTGTGCTTCTCTGGCAGGCACAAAATGTTGGACAACATAAACCCCTTGATCTGACCCAATAGGGCTGTCCTTAATATTTATCCAGAACATTCCATTAAGACGATCATTATGGAAAAACAGAAGTGTATCCAAATTTCTGCTCATCATAAGCCAAAGAGGACCTTCTCAACAGAAGTCCCTATTCAAGGAAGTCAGCTGCCTATGGAGCTCACACCTCTTTGAAACTTTGTAGGCTTTCAGATAACCTAGCGAAGCATCCTTACACAGAAGGGCTTTTAATGGGTAAGGTGGAAGTTCAAACGGATTTACTTGCTTCTGTTGTTGCTCTTTAATGTCCATTATGCTTTATGAATATTGATTTTCATTTGTTTGCACGCTTCCGGGAATCTTAGGAATGAGGTGGGATATTAAATTCTTAAATAAAAATCAAATATATAAGCACCAGAAACCATGTTGCTGGCAATCAATTTCTAATACGAGGTTCTGGGGGTTGAACCTCTCTTGAAGACATGCTGTCTTATCATTTGTTACTGAAGGAGAAGAACTGAATGTGGTTACATCATGGGCTAACATGCTGTAAATCTTAAGAATTCTTTGCATCATAACCCTCACTTGTTACACCACATTTGTGCCCTGCCCTTACTCCAAAAGAACTCAAGGGGGACATATATAGGGCTGCTAGGTAATCAGGTCAGGTAACAGCCAATAAGAAGTTTGCTTAACTTCAGAGGCATAACCACAATTCGCCATTGGTGTAGTTCACATGCAACACCAAAGCATGGTTTGTGTAGTTGAACTGTGACACATTTGTCTAAATCCACCCCAACCAACTGAACAGAAGGAGATGAGTCTTGGCAGATACCGGCATACAAAATATTTGCAGAATCACTCAACAAAAATGCCTCATGCTTTGTACAGAAGCGAAATGCATTCCATCGCAAAGGAATGCATCACATCCACACCACACATGGCTTCCCTCAAAGAATCCCCGAGAACGGTAGTTTACTCCTCATGGAACTACAGTTTCTAGCACCCATAGCAAACTGCAGCTCCCATGATTCCTTGGGGTAAGCCACGTGTGACTTCTTCTGATTAGGACTTTTGGGGGCCATGTTCTCAGAACAAAAGCGATTTTGGTCCATCTGCTCGCCCCAAGTCATTTCAGAAGGATTCTTCAACCTTGATTTTGCTGGCACTGAACACTTCTTAGATGCAGATTTTTACAAACACAGAAATTTGTTGACTATTTTGCTCCTTCCAACACAGAATGCTACAGGGTGGAGGGCAGCACCGCAGCCAGCCTGAGATAGGGATGTGGCATGCCAGGGCAAGCATGGAACACACCAATGCACCCGCCCACAAACAAATATGGAGGCGAGAGAAAGAAGAGCACAGAAACCTATCACTTAGGCCCATTCACCTCTTTCTGATCATCCAGACACCCACTAACTTCCCACCCAACTGTTATTCCCATGCAGATTTTGCTACTTGCTTTAGGGTTAGAGCAGGATTATTTTTTTTACCTGCAAATCAAATTGGCATAGTGAAGCAGGCTTATCCACCTACTATGCACAGTTAAAGCAGGTGCATTTGGCATCTAGTATTATGGTGGTACCAACCAATGGAGGAGTTTGGTTAAATGACAAGGCATTGCATGAATTTGTTGCTGAGCATAAACATTGATGAGGATCCAGAGACATGTTTATGGTAAAAGGGTTACTGTCCCTTTCAAGGAGCTGGAACCAATGGGAGGGCAAAGCATCAGCTTCAGTACTGTCCAGTCACAAGCAGTATGCTTGTGAATACCAGTTGCTGGAAACCACTGGAGAAGACTGCTATTGTGCTCAGGTCCTGTTTGTGGGCTTCCTCTAGGCTTCTGGTTAGCCAATGTGAGAACAGGATACTGGACTAGATAGGCCAGCAAACTCTTTTTATGTTCTTATGGATCACACACTCAGAATCATGGAAATCATACTTAAGGAAAGGCCAAAAAGATAGGAGAGAAGGAAACAATGCTAGGCTCACCTAATAATAATAATAATAATAATAATAATAATAATAATAATAATTTATTATTTATACCCCATCCATCTGGCTGGGTTCCCCCAGCCACTCTGGGCAGCTTCCAACAAAACACTAAAATACAATAACCTATTAAACATTAAAAGCTTCCCTAAACAGGGTTGCCTTCAGATGTCTTCTAAAAGTTTGGTAGTTATTTTTCTCTTTGACATCTGGTGGGAGGGCGTTCCACAGGGGGGGTGCCACTACCGAGAATGCCCTCTGCCTGATTCCCTGTAACTTGGCTTCTCGCAGTGAGAAAACAGCCAGAAGGCCCTCGGCACTGGACCTCAGTGTCCGGGCAGAACCCTAGTCTTCTCCAACCTGGTGACCAGATGTCGTTGGACTACAATCAGTGGCAGACCTACATTTTGGGGGCCCTGAAGATAGAACTGTCATGGGGGCCCCTTTGCAACCAGCAATGAGGTCTGGGTAACCACTGTTTTCTTCAGTGCTGTTGTTCCATGGCAGATCACCACACCTTTACAAAATCTGTGCTATTGGCTCTCAAACTTCGGGATTGTTGAAATATATATAACAAAAGATGAATCAATTTGAGTTGCACCATTCAAATTGAGTCTCCTAGACCGAAAAATTGTAAGCAATGTGGACTAAGGTTGCTTCAGGGGCCCTAGGGGATTAGGGGCCCCGAAGCTTCAGATTCATTAGTTTCATAGTAGATCCACCCCTGCCTACAACTCCCACCATCCCTGTCCACTAGCCATGCTGGCTGGGGTAGATGGGAGTGGTAGTCCAAAACATCTGGTTAGGTTATGGAGGGTTGAACTAGTCTCTGCACAGCCCATAGCATTTTCTGCTTGAATTTTACACCTGCCACTGTTGTACTTAAATACAAGCTGTGGCCTTAGTTAACTCCAAGTGCATGTCTCAACTCTTCATTACAAGTACGGGTGGAATACATACTAGAACTAGAATATAGCAGATGACACCCTATGGTGTAGGAGTCTTGGTGCAGTTAGTGGAAACTAGAATGGCAGACAGGAGAAGAACCTTTTTTAGGAGGGGGTTAATTTCACTCAGAACAATGTAAACTATAAACTGTCCCTAACTGGGATGGTGGCGGAGAATGGAGAAGCTGTCTGTTCTTTTCCAACAAGTTGCAGGAGATTGGGGAGAGATACAGTGGTACCTCGGGTTAAGAACTTAATTTGTTCTGGAGGTCTGTTCTTAACATGAAACTGTTCTTAACCTGAGGTACCACTTTAGCTAATGGGGCCTCCCACTGCCGCCGCGCTGCCACTGCATGATTTCTGTTTTCATCCTGAAGTAAAGTTCTTAATCCGAGGTACTATTTCTGGGTTAGCGGAGTCTGTAACCTGAAGCATCTGTAACCCAAGGCACAACTGTATTGACTTTTTAAAAACTGTCCCTCAGAATGGATTTGCCCTTCAAGCACTGCCACTTTCATAAGGCCTCAGCTTTCCAAAAAATCACAAAGCATACATTTTGCTACATTGTGCACTCTAGAATTTCCACACAGTCATCAAAACTGCATTTCAGAACAAGCCTCGACACTACCTATAGCAAGAGTTAGCTATACCAAAAGTACGTCATCTCAGGCCCACTCTAATAGTACAAATGCATTCATTTACCACTCATTCAAGTGTCTGATGTCTGGAGGCAGAAACAGAAACAGAGGGAGAATGTTATTATAAACTTAGCACAACTGCCAATAATGTAAAACCTTTCCATGTACCTCTGCCACTGTCCTAAGCATCCTTTCTCAGCCTTGGGTTACTAGATGTTGTTGGACTACAACTCCCATCATCCCTAGTCAGCAAGAGCAGGGGTCAGGGATGATGGGAGTTGTAGTTCCAAGAACATCTCAGATCTAGATACCCAAGGTTAAGAACAGCTGGTCTAAAGAGGCATCACTGCGATGCTTATCAAATACCAATCATCAATCTGAAAATGGTCTAAAGAAAAGAAATCTCAACCAAGAGAATGAATTCAGTTGGTAGGATAAAATTGCATTAAAATGGACATCAGTGCTTATCTTTTTTCAAAACAACGAAGTTTTCACAGCGGTTTCAATCAGGATACAAGTATTCCCCTCCAAAAATATGGAATTGTATTTATCCTTTTTATATAGGTTCCCTTAGGAGGATTTTGCTGTAAAAAGATGGTCTACAAATCTAATAAATAAATAAAACATGGCTATCCTAAATTTCTTTTACTTTTACTTTTTTTTTTACTTTACATGAACATGGAGAATTGCACTTTGAAAAGAACATTTTACTCAAGTATTTTTGCCAAAAGGGTAGCAAAAATTATATTCATATTTTCCCAAAAGATTTAACACTGAGAGAATACAGAAGAACATTTCACAAATGATAACTAGCTGTAGAAAATAACTACCATATTTTTCGCCCTATAGGACGCACTTTTTCCCCTCCAAAAATGAAGGGGAAATGTGTGTGCGTCCTATGGAGGCGAATGCAGGCTTCGCTGAAGCCTGGAGAGCGAGAGGGTCGGTGCGCACCGACCCTCTCGCTCTCCAGGCTTCAGGAAGCTCTGCGCAACCCTTGGGAGACCGGCGCGACTTCACGCCGGGCTCCCGAGGGCTGCGCAGAGCTGTCTGCAGTCCCGGGCTTCGCGCAGCTCTCCACAAGCCTGGGGAGACTGGCGCAACTTCCCGCTGGGCTCCCTAGGCTTGCGGATAGCAGGCTGTTCTCGGGGCTCAGGTCGGGGGAAGCTCGGGCTTCCCCGCGCCAGCCCCGCGCCTGGGGGGGGGGAATAAATTTTTTTCTTTATTCCCCCCCCCCAAAAAACTAGGTGCGTCCTATGGGGCGGTGCGTCCTATGGGGAGAAAAATACGGTAAATAAGCCAGTATTGTTTATAACAAAGTTACCACCTGGTAAATGGTCATTGCATCACCCTGACCCTTTCCAGCCATCACAGCATAAAACTAATCCTGGACATTTGTGAAATGATATAAAAACCATGCTAACACCAAACCATCAAGTGGCAGGACACATGCTGCACTCAAACTGTACCAACATCAAACTAATCAGCCAAATATTCTGGATGTGTTCTGAAATTTTAACAAATTCTTAAACATGAAGGACCTGTGCAATGAGAACAACGGGAGCAACCTCACTGGGCTAGAAACAAAATTTAGGTTGAAAAATTACATTTAATATGCTGTAGAAATTATTTATGATGAGCAAAACGCACACAGAGAATTTCTGCTTGCTTTTTTCTTCTTCTTTTGAGTGAAAGTGTTTAATCCTAAAAAGCACAAAAGGTCAGATAGCCACAAGACAGGAGCATAACAGAAAAGAAGCATTTATTACAGAAGCACAAATGGTAGAAATGTCAACTTTTAGCTGAACTTCTAAAGGGGTGGAACAATTTTTGGACAATCTGTTCTTTGCATAATTCATTAGCTGCATAATTCCTATGTTGGGTAATTTATAAAAGGTTACACAATCAACTAAACACCACTGGATAGCTCAGTTGGTTAGAGAATCGTGCAGGTTCAATCCTCATACAGGACAGCTGCATATTCCTGCATTGCAGGGGGTTGGACTAGATGATCCTCAGGGTCCCTTCCAACTCTACAATTCTATGATTACATAATTACCAACATTTGCAGCTATTATGTATTAGCTGTTCCAATATTTTTTTTAACTGTTTATCTGTTCAAAAAGGCAGGAGCTTTGCCAGATCCCTCTCAAATACCAACCAGAGCTGATATGTAAACACTTACATAAATTTGCTTTAAAGACAGCCAGCCATCAACTGCAGAAGCAGTTTATTTATTAGTAATACTACACAAAGTTTTGTAATAAGAGATGCAAATTGCAGGCGCTGGGAAGAAAGAACATACCTGAAGTTTCAAACAAGTTAATCCAGTTTAAGTATTTGCTCTTTGAACTGATACAGCATATATAAGGTGTAATGAAAGGGGAAAATGCAAACATGACTATTATAATTGGATTGTGCTTTCTAATTTTAGCTTTATTTTTTTAAAAAAAACAAACCAGCAGGGAAATCATACTGTCATGAATGCGAACCCCACCCTGAAATCAACAGGGCTCCTCCAATAATCAAGAGTCCTTTCAAGCTGCATTTTCATAACAAAATGAGATATTACTAAATCACGAGACTTGCTTCACTTCCCCCTTTAGATTTCTGTTTATAAATACTGGTTCTAAACTTGAGCCCAACTCTCTTAAAAGAATGCCTCTATACTGAAAGCAAAGACAAAGCAAAACAGAGATAGCAACTTGGAAAATTTAACGATGGAGGCCTGGAAAGAAACATTTAAGCACTAAAGCAAAAATTTTCCTTAATGGAAAATTCTTGTTTCCAGACAAAATGAGAACAAACCACCATCCCTTTCCATGAATAAATTCAAGGGAAACAAAGATCAAATACACTGTGGTTCCCAGCCCTTCATAGTCCAGTGTGGATATATTCCTAGTTCTCAAAACCATAGTTTGGAGGCTTGCTAAGTGACACACATTTGTATACTTCCTGATGACCTCAATGCTAGATTACTGCAATGCATTATACGTAGGGCTGTCTCTGAAGATGGTTCAGAAACTTCAGCTGATGCAGAATTCAGCAGCCAGGTTGCTCATGACAATTAGAAAATATTACACCGATCCTGGTCCGACTGGACTGGCTACCAATTGGTTTCTGGGCCCAATTCAAAGTGCTGGTTTTGACCTATAAAACCTTAAACGGCTCAGGACCGCAATACCTCAAGGACCACCTCTTTCCATATGAACCTACCTGGACCCTGAAATCCTCTTCTGAGGCCCTTCTTCGTGTGCCTCCTCCTTGAGAGGATCGGAGGGAGCAACACAAGAACTGGCCTTCTCTGCAGTGGCTCCCTGTCTGTGGAATGCTCTCCCCAAGGAAGTTCGCCTGGTACCTTCATTATACAGGCAAAATGTTAGGCACCAGGCAAAAATGTTCCTTTTTAACCAGGCCTTCAGATGATCTGATTGACATCCAAAGCCCTTTTAAAACATGGGTGTTTTGTGGGGCGTTATTGGGTTGTTCTTTTTATTTTGAATATATATTTTGTGGTTTTATGTTGATTCCCTCTCTCCTTGCCAGGCAAACTATGGTCAATGTTACATGACTTATCTCCACAGTCAATATCTTTAAGCCATGTGATCTGGCCCTAAAGTGCAGACCCTTCTGAATCATTTTGGACTCATGCATTAAAGACCAATGGCCTCAGAAGGAAGGTAGGAATGCCGGTTATTGTCTGATCAAGGCCACAGAGTTTTACAATCCTAATCTTATTTTCACTCCAGCATTTGTTTCTATTGTACCAATAGGAATCTGAAAGATAATGACTTGCTAACCTAATGAATACAAAGTTTGGTGATATTTTAATCCAGGTTTTCTGTGTCTACGATCAAGCTTATCTAAGCATGGAGCCTAGTAATATACTTATTTAGAATTTAGACTGTAAGTACACTGATCTCTCCTACTTTACCAAAAGCACACTAAAATAATCACAAAGGGGCAGCATTCCCAAAGCTGGCTTATTCTTTACAAAAGAGAGAGATAGAATAAGATTGCTATGATGCTATTTGCCTCAGAATTGCACATATGCACACATAATGACAATAGCCGTAGATGAAACAAAACAAAAATATTCCTTCCAGTAGCACCTTAGAGACCAACTAAGTTTGTTATTGGTATGAACTTTCGTATGCATGCCCACTTCTTCAGATACCACATGAAGTACCTGAAGAAGTGTGCATGCACACGAAAGCTCATACCAGTAACAAACTCAGTTGGTCTCTAAGGTGCTACTGGAAGGAATTTTTTAATTTTGTTTCGACTACGGTAGACCAACACGGCTACCTACCTGTAACAATAGCCATAGATGGCGCACTGTAAGAATGTGCTTTGGTAATATTACTATCATTCACTTTGCAGTTTTGGAATCTTAGCAGTACTTGCCCAACAAGATAGGCAAGTTTGAGTTGTACAATAGGGTAAACAAGCCTCAGAGAAAACATGTAGCAGGACAAGTTGAAACACTTAGTTGGACCTCAGTAACATGAAGGCACTTTCTTCATTTAAATGCATTGCCACTGCTTGTTAGGAAGTTATTAAGATCTGAGTTCAGATGTTCCTCTTCCATTAGTGTTTCCCCCCCTCTTGCAGAACTACTAATGAGAAAATAAAGAATGCATAATGGAAACAGATAAAAGTACGTTCTAGAGAACTTAAGTATTAACTCTTTGTTAGGTGTTCCATTCCTGTGTGATAAACCTGTGGCTTATTGTCATTTTATCACCCATTAATTGTTTTAGGCTTATGCATGTGGCAGATCACATTCACAATGGCGATGCAGCAATAAAACTGCTAGCACATTTGCTATGGCTTCAGTCTGGATAGTATTAGAGTAATTTCAGCAGTAAGAATTATTGGGATATAAAACTGAGAAAAAGAAAATATTGGGGAAAATCAGAATATGTAGTGGAGAAGAAAATTATAAAATGAACCATGGAAGGGGGGAAGGGAACTCAAAATCAGTTGTATGTTTTACATCTGGATTATCGTTATTGTTACAATTGCAAAAATAAAAAATGATTAATTTTTTAAAAAATAAAATAAAATTGGATGGGTGTTGAAATTCTAGCATTGTAGGGGGTTGGACTAGATGACCCGTGGGGTCCCTTCCAACTCTACAATCCTATGCCACACAAAAAGCAGGCCTCTGACAATGCACATGAGCTGAAGGAGTTTCGTGGCAACAAGAGGGTGACAACTGACAACATCTTAAATGCTAAAAGGGGACATGTTGTACTTTTGTATATTTCAAGAGGAGCTAAGTCTGCCATTTCAAGAGCAGCGAAGCAGACAGAACAGCCAAAAACAACGGATAGAAGAGAAAAGCTGAAACAATGGCAGTGAAACCAGCAAAGACTGCAGCAACAAAGGTTTTACCCTGCCAAATATAAAGTGGAATACAAGGAGGACTCTTAGGTTGGGTATGCATGTTTGAGATAGCACACGGGAGATGTTTTAAACTAATGGATGTGGCAGTCATCGCATGGTAAACTGTTCTTCTAAAAGAGCTCACCCCCAAGACTGGGCAATCTGTGTCTTCCCAAAGAAGTTGGTAGTAGTTATGACGAATTACTGCACACATATGGCTCACCACATAAAAGAACAACTTAAAATGGCCTCCAAACGGCAACAATCATAGACACACTGACCCAAGGTTCTTGAACTCATTCTTCCTTCCTCTCAGAGTCAATTGATCCATGTCCCACCAATAACATCTGGGCCTGTTTGAAGGTTGGCATGTTATCCTGTTCCAACCATCTGTGTCTTGTATGAAGCTCACTACATGTACAGACCTACTAGTCTTCAAGTACATTTTTGGGAGTGGGGCAAAAATTCAAGTATTGATTTAAACTAACCACTCAATTGCAAGACTATAGGTTTCTTATGGTTTATACTCAGTGAAAACAATTTACATCACTTTAAATGCGATGATCAGCTTGGGATTGTTTGATTACTCAGCATGACATAAAATGCTTGAGAGCACAATGTCACGGTAACGTCATTAAAAACAATGAGTGCATGTAGTTTTATTTGTGAATATGTGAAACTGTGTTGCAAGATCTTGAAGAACTGCAGCCTGGTGCTACCCAAGCATTGCTCTTCTATCGTGGGCTGCAAGAGGAATTGCAATGGACTTTCGCACATTATTAGGAGAACTGCACTCTTCCCATTTGTGCATTCCACTGTGTTCCATTCAAACCACTGGGCATGGCACAGCAGCTGTGGTGGAATCGTACGAAGCTCGGCACACATTCACTATGGCCTTTGTGAGGGTGCCATTTTATAACCCAGAGGAAGTGCCATAAGGTTCAGTAGTAGAGCAAATGTTTTGCATGCCAAAAGGTCCCAAGTTCGACCCCAGCATCTCCAAGAACAGCTGGAAAAGGCTTCTGTCTGAAACCCTGGAGAACCACTGCCAGTCAGTAGACAGTACTGAGTTCAATGGACCAATGGGTCTTTCTCAGTTTAAGTCACCTTACTACGCTCCAATATAACCCAATTCTTAAATCAATATTTTAATTATCACAGTAACACATTTTGAGGTGTCTTTTAAAAAGCAGGAAGAAGAGAGGTATAACACTATACAGTGGTACCTCGGGTTAAGAACTTAATTCGTTCTGGAGGTCCGTTCTTAACCTGAAACTGTTCTTAACCTGAGGTACCACTTTAGCCAATGGGGCCTCCCGCTGCCGCTACGCTGCCAGAACACAATTTCTGTTCTCATCCTGAAGCAAAGTTTTTAACTTGAGGTACTATTTCTGGGTTAGTGGAGTCTGTAACCTGAAGCGTCTGTAACCTGAAGCACCTGTAACCCGAGGTACCACTTGTCAGGGAACTGCCATCGGACGGAAGGGAGGTGAAAGGGCTCACACAGGTTGGGAGAGACGCAGCAGCTGAAGAGGGAACCAGCAGGGAGGTGAAAGGGCTCACACAGGTTGGGAGAGACGCAGCAGCTGAAGAGGGAACCAGCAGGGGAGAGGAGCTGAGCTGGAGGGATGGCTCAGAGACACTTCCAGCGAAAACAGTGGGGAGGTTTCAGGACCTCCTGTAAGAACACCCACTCCTCGCCGGAAACTGTCACGCAGAGAGTCCAGAAGACGTGTTTCCGTTAAGGAGCTTTTATGTTGGAAGCGATTACGAAAGCAACCACTGTCGGAATCTGCTAGTGACTAGAGGAGCCATGTCTGAGGGGCTCCGTCACAGACAGAGGTTTGTGGACTTGAACAAACTCTGAGGGGATACGATTTTACGCACAAGCAGCTCATCATCCCATCACACCACTGTAATACCAAAATGCTATGGTTTTAATTGTTTTTAAAGCCAATTTTTAAAACTCCTTTCACCACTATTAACCACGTTGCTAAAATGGTGTTAAACAGAAATTTAGGGTTTTTTGGGTGGGTGCTGAAATCAGCCACCCCCTCTCAAGTAGAAGTTTCTTTGCTCATGCAAGAGCACAATCAGATCCAAGGACAATTTTTAGTTTGGGCTTTCAGAGTTACATTTTCCTTAGCTAAAGGAAACAATAAATGCTTTAAGCAGTGTTTCATGGCAATAAATTGTATTTCTAGTTAATCAGTATCCATTAGCCTGTAAATTTAATTTTCTGCTTCAAATCTGAGTTATCAAATTATAACAAGGTTCTATTGAATTCTACTAGTTACAGTGAGTAATTGACTAAATTAAAGGGCATTCCCACCCTCCTCAAAAGTTTTTCTTTAATTAAGAATGGAATCACTGCCAAGATCTTTGAAAAACAACTCTCTGTATTGCCTCTCAGGTTGTTTTTAAAATTCTCACTGCAATCTTCCGTCACATTCAGACATTTGTTGGGAGCTTCATGGAACCACAGAGAAGCACAGTGGCTACGGGCTCCTCTCTTATCTTTCTCCTCCTCCTACTGCATGCTGGCTTCAGTGTGGAGATGCTGACATAAATTAAGCCAGAGTTCATTACATTCAAATAAGGCAACTGTGGCTTAGGTCAGATAGCACAACTGGGTAATAAACCGGGCTCCAATCATGAGACAGTGTAAAAAGTCCTTGTCTACTCTGGTAACCCCATTGCTCTCAAGGTGTGTAAGGGAATAGCTAAAAAGGCATGAGTTGGGGGAAGTTATTTAGTGACCACTCCAAGATCAGATTCAATATGTGCCTTGACTTGAGCCAGGATGATTCTTCTTTAGAGATCACACTCTTAAAGGCCATAGTATCAGCACAAGAGCAAAATGAACACCCCAGCAGCCACACTTGGGTTCATCAAAGATCGTGAGGAGAACTGGTTTCATTCATGCAACATTATTGTTTACAGCAACCAGTGCCACTTCCCTGGCAAAAAAACTTAAGCATTTAAGCCATTCTGAAATGAGCAAAGCCAGACGGAACATTTCAATCCTGCTTCATCTGACCAGCACAAGGTGCTCCTGTATCCATGGCAGATCACCACAATATGTTAATAGGGTAATAAAGAGCAGAATGGCCTGGTTTGCACAAAATGCTAAGTTACTGCTTAATAAAGCATAGCTTAACGTCTTGTGCAAACCAGGCCATTCTGTTCTTCTTAGCAGTACGTGCTAATTCTGCCCAATATGACTGCCAACAAACCATTATCTGAAGCCATGGTTTGTTGCTGGCTTACCAGACTTGGTTTGTTTTAATTATGGTTTGGTATTATGTATGAACTCAGCACCCTTCTCAGTTTTTGAACACTCCACCCCAACATTCCAAGCTACAAAGGCACAAAGCAATAGCAGCTAATAAACTAAACTAAACTTTGGAGAACAAGCCACTTTCTGGAAGGCTCGTTCAGGAATTCTGGGAGGGCTTCAGGACATTTCCTGATAAATGTTGAGCATGTGTGTTCTCATCAGTCCTGTAAGTGGCTATTTCTACCATTGGGCAGGGCCTGACCAATGGGGTTTCTGTCCCCTCTACATTTCTTGGATTATTTTGCAATGGATTTACATTCTTCCTCACTTCCTTTCCAGTGTTAACAATATGTACATGTTGTATTTTACCATGCTATTTATCAATAACTATATGCCAACAAAGGCTTCCCTAATACAAAGATACCATCAGATAGATTTTTCATCCCATTCCTTAGGCAGGCTCTTTTTAGAGCAGCAACAACAGACACTGCAACACAGATATGTCCACTTTAGGATTTAACATCAGTGCCTCATCTTTGTGCACTCTACAACGCTAGGAGTTCCAAGAAACTAGCATCCCAATATCGAGAAATTGCTTCTCTACACTTTTGCCCTGCCTTTTAAAAATCTTCTTTGGAGACACAAATGTTGTAAAGCCATAAGAGATACATGCATTAATTTTTAATGACTTTCATCTAATACAGTAAATTATTCAGCAGTGCAATTTCTTTCAGCAGATTATAATAAGGACAAGATGGTAATCTATAACTCGATAACAGGGTGTTAGAAGTTTGCTCCTTACCAAACTTTACTGCAATAATCCAGAGCTAAAATGTTCACTCTCTCTTATTTAATAATAATAATAATAATAATAATGATAATAAATTTTTATTTGTATCCCACCCTCCCCAGCTAAGGCCGGGCTCGGAACTGCTAACATGATAAAAACAACACAATAAGCATAAAAACAGGTGGTTAGTACACCTGATCATCAAATTCCTTAAATTTGATACAGACCGTATTTTTTAAAATAGCCCTCTCGGTTCCTTTTAGATAGTTCTAATTATCATAAATTTAAGACCTTTATCCCATAAAATTAGTAAGGCCCTATGCAGCTTCAACAGTGCTTACAGCAAATATATAGCTTCTTCTATCAGTTAAGTGAGCACTGCATTCCAGTCATCGCCCTCAAAACACCTCCTACCTCAGGGCAGGGCACTAACACTTAATTCCTGCATCACCATCCTCAAAGCATTCATCATATTAGCAAAAGAACAAACAAGCCTTCAAACAGATCAAAAGTTCCAACAGGCTGCACGCCACAGAAAAGTTTTATACAGCATGCCTGATCACCACTTCTTCAGTGCTTTCTGATCATTATCCTAAACCTTAGTTTTCTTTCTCTCTCATGTGGAATGGTCAATGCCAGTAACATAAATGTTTCAGAAGAAATTGATAATCTCAAAACCAGTATCTTAGGCCCTGGATATTTTGTTCTTCAATGGAGGTTGATGGGAGGTGGCACAAAGGACATCATTGCTAATGGCAGTTCAATTACAATTCAAAGTGAGCCATGCATCATAGTAGAAAAGTCTGCCTGAGATAGGCAAGACTAGACTTGCCCAAATTTGGCAACAACTCCAATGTGGTATATTACAAGTGCATTGTTACAAACCCTGGGCTCAGCTATGAACACAGCTCTTAAATGCTTGGTCACAAAACACACTTCACAACATATCCTTAGACATTTTCCCCCTCCAATCCAGCTTCAGATGCAACAGAAAATTGTGGTTGCCTGCCTCAGGCTTGTGTGCTTCTATTCCCCTCTCCTCCTCCTCCTCCTAAAAGAAAGAGAAGAAAATAAAAATATGCCATCTTCAAATGAAGCAGAGCTCCACATGATGCCCACCCAGATTCAAGAAACTGTGGTTTGCATGAACTATGGTTAATGGGACCTAAGATCTGAAACCAAGTTTAGGCTTGTTCTCAACAACCAGATTTTACAACCATGGTCTTTTGAGCTCAGATGTCACAAGAGACTGTGGTTAGTTTAAAAACAAAAGCACAATCCTTCTCTTTTCCTCTAGCATATGAAAGTAAGAGGAGAGTGAAATGGGAAAGCAGATAATGGGGAACAGCAGCCAAAGCAGATGGTGAACAGGGAACAAGCGGGGTACCTGCACCTAGCATAATGGGCAAGATGTTGGTTATCGTACAGCATCCTTTTTTCTTTTCCAACCATTAGTGGGGCAGATACAGAGTGCAGCAAATCCTCTGTTGTGGCTCCAGCCGCACCTGCCATCTTCGGTGGTTCAGAGACACTCTGGGGATGTGAAAATGGTGTCCATGGCTGCTCTCAGCCACAGCTACTGCACTTGCCCACCTGATAAATGTTAAATAAAAGAGCCCTACCAGCTTCCTGGTAGAGTATGAGAGTAAGACAGAGCATTGCAAGGTGTATGGGGGGGAGTGGGGAAGACAGTGTGGTGGCAGCAGTAGAGCAGCCAGAATGGCAAGTAGGGGAGCCCAGAAGGCAGTTTATTCAGGGCTCTCTCAAACCTGGCAGCACTGCTGTCTTAAAGCATCATCCAAGGATGAGTTCCAATGACAAAACTTTTCTCAAATAAAAAAGAGAGAGGCTGAATTCGGACCACATAGCAAAAAACCCCAAGGTTATACATCTTAAGGTCTCAGTTACATGTTGTAGATGGCGCTTTATCCCCCTATTCAGTTTTTGCAAAAATGAGCATTTACGTATTAGGGAACTATAAAATTATTTGCTCTGAGAGACAAATCTATCTTCATCTGAATTACAGCGCCACTTCTCAACATGTCTAACAAGGTGCTGCCCCCACTTCCAAAGAGGCCACAGAGGCCTACATTAGCATAGGTCACTGGCTTTTACTAGCCACTGGGGGCTGGAAATCAGCGCTACGCTACATAAAAACTGAAGTTGCATCAATGTTTTATGAACATCTGTTTTTGTACGTGGGTTAGATTCCAGAATAAATTTGATGTGCACATAACCAGATTGCTAAGCCCTCTAAATGCAAGAAGGCAGGAGGCTGGGTGTGTCTGAGAACAAAGTGGAAGAAGCCCTGCTCACTTAGTCACTACTACTGCTCTAGAGTGTGCAGTTCCTGGGCCCACGTCACCTCAACAGCCCCTCACCTTGACTGCCCTGCCCTGCAGAAAGTATCCCACAATTCACTTTTGCCTCCATATCATTTCCTTACCTGCAGCCTCTTCACGTGCAACAGAGCATAGATCCTGTATGTGCATCCATTGCTAAACACTGTATCAGCCCTAGCTTGCTTTCTGATTCTTCTGGTGCAGCCTTCCTGCTCCTAAATAAGCCGCTGGGACTAGCCTTGTTAAAATACTTATAACCTGCTTACATGCCTATCAAGGATCCCCTCCCAATGGTTAAGAAAAAATTGTGTGTGTGTGTATTCTAAACAAATCAGAAGAAACATCTGGCATGCATCAAACACAGCCCAACTTCAGCAACAATAAAATAAAGGATATATTCAGTTGTTACCAAGAAAATGCACCCCCCACCCCCCGAAAAAGCAGGCCGCTGAAAATGAAGCAGTGAGGAAGCCAAATGGACCACTTCTCATGGAAGAGAATTAGAGAGCCTAGGGGCCACAACCAACAAGCCCGTATCTTGCAAGCCTAGCTGGCACATTGAAGATGGTGAAATGATGTGGCACAGGGCCTTGAATGAGAGTCTGACCAAGGAGGCAAGTTGTTTTGATTCTGATTTGCCTCAGCTTGGCAGGCTTTCTTCATCAGACACAGAAAGACTGGCTTGTTGTTCACTGTTTAGACCCTACACTAGCTCTCCTATAAAGACCAATGAGCCCTTTGGGAAAACTTATAAAGAAAAAATGGTCCCAATTTGGTATGTGACCCAGATATGAAACCTCTAATTGAACACGGTGAGCAAAACCTTTGCCCCAGAAAAACAACAAGCTTACACTAATGTTTAAAAAACTAAATTGTAAAACTGATATTAATGGCATGCCAACTCTTAGCAGAAGCACCATTATTGCAAGTTTGTTACAGCTACATTTGAAACCATCAAAGAGGGACAACAAAAGACTTGGAGAAAGCAGGTGAATGCCAAGAACTTCCATGCAACCCATAATACCCATCTCTTTAAAAAAAAAAAGGCTTTCAGAATCTCAGTTTTCACCACCCAAAAAGAAAATGTCTGCAGCTGTCATCCTGGTAGGGAAAAAAGGCTTTGAAAATGAAGCGTGAGGTCAAGAAGGCTGGCAGACCCTCACATTTATCTCTCAAACCACAAAGGAATAATGAATGAAAAACTTTGTCACGTACATGCCTGGGGAAGGCTCTGTAACAATGAAGAAATTTGCTTCATTCTAACTGCCAAAACTATAATTCCAAATGGACTTCTCTCAAAGAACTCATTTTGTACAATCCTAAATCTCAGTTAAGCATATATTGAGATCCCAGTTTACGAAGCCCATGCAAACCTCCAACATGCAGCATTCACTGTGGACAATCAAGAAAAGATAGTACCATGTATACTCTTCAAATTCCTGCAAATTCTACACTATTGTGATACTTTTTTATAGTGTAAGGAGGCAGGCTGGACTCTGGCACCATGCTAATCCAAACCAAGACTTGGAACAAATATACAGGATCCATGTGAAATTTGCTCTCTGGTTATTCTGCTGCTTGCACTAGGGCATCGATTTGCCCTGTGGGTTATGGTCTGTCTGGGAGAGCTAAACCATCGCTTAGCTTGGCGGAACACAGCAGCAGTAGCAGAATGCAAACTCCCTACCCCAGTTAACCCTAAACTGCTAGCACATTTGCAAAGCTAAGCAGGGTCTGGTATGGTTTCAAATTGGATGGGAGACCTCATGTTGAGATTCCTACATTGCAGAGGGTTGCACCAGATGACCTCTTGGGATCCCTTCCAACCGTATAGTTCTATGATCTTCTATGATTAATTCTTGTTGACACAAGCCAGCTTCATAAATCATGGTGTAGAGGTAGCTTCTTTTAAGCAGACCACCATCAGTGATGTAGGGTAGAAAATTTTTCTTTGCTTTATGTATTTGTTTCCCAACTTTTTTAACAACAATTGCAAATACAGCAATAGGCAAACTTGCAAGTTTCCTAGTTTTTAGCTTTTTTGCAAAATATAAGTGAAATAAACATGCTGAATTAGATCCTGTTCTAGGCCAACATAACATTTTCTGATGCAAACTGAAAATGTTCCTATGCAATTCACTCTATGCAAATTAGGACTTTTGATATTTTTCCAAGGAAACATCTTCCAGAAATCCCACGTCACTGACCCTAATTAAGCTGAACCACAACGTGTTTGGTTCAGCCAACACAGCACACTGTGGTTAATTTTTTTTAAAGCAGCAAAAACTTGCAAAGTTCTCCTTGAGGCAACATGCTGTGAAGTAAAAGGAGAGGGTGCACGTGAACCTGGAGGGAGGCTTGACATATTTTTGTCACAATAAACCATGGTTCATCATGACTTCCAAAGGCAGCCAATGTATACACATACTAGAAAGCTGCACTCAGTCACATTTTCCTGGCATGCATATATGTAGAGAAACAGAAATATAAACTACTGTACACACATGCCACCTTTTTCTAGATATTGGTGCTTTCTGTACAGGAAATACATCATGTTGAAAGTAGCCTTTGGTGTTCAAAGGAACAAGACTGAACTCATCACACTCAGAGGAAACTGTTGTTAAGTTGCAATTCAGCTAATAACTCCTGTTCTGAAGTAACATTTCTTCTACTGCTATTTTTAAAGCAATCCCTTTCTGGAAAAAAACTGGCACAGCAACTACCATTGCTGTCCCTTACAAAATATGCTGTGTCACCATATAATTATAAGACTTTCATAATCCACATACACGAAAGGACAAGTCAAGTGTTTCCCAATTTTGGAGGGCTTAACTGTAAAGATTAGTTGTCTTTGAATACTTTTCGCAGTGCAAGATGATTTCCTCTTTTCAAACCAGCTTAGCGGAAGCTAATACAGTGCTAATATGATGTTGCTGAACTACAATTCTCATCAACCATTGCTTTTGCCAGCTGGAGCTGATGCGAGTTCTAGTCCAAAAACCTATGGAGGGAGCCATACTGGCAACCCCTGTAAGGTCAGCCAAACATCCCTCTTCTCCAAAACACCAAGGACTCTAGGCCTCAGCATGTAACTAGTCACACGGGAGAGATGAGACGCTCTGAAAATACTTTTCACAGCTATTTGCTGACTGTCACAAGTCTAAGGTCACATCTACACTGAACATTTAAAGCACTCATACAGCTTTAACAGTCAGGGCTTTCCCCCCAAAGAATCCTGAGAACTGTAGTTTGCTAAGGTTGCCGGGAACTGTAGCTCTGTGAGGGATGGTTAAACTACAAAATAATAGAAATTTACTCTATTAAGCCTCATACTGAATTTTCTTTTAGGCACTCCTACTGAAGGTCACTTCTAACAAGATGAAGCATCCTTGTTAAGTAGCAAGCTTGATAGGTGTCTGTTCAGAACAGGTAATGGAAGTCCCCACAAGAATCTCAGATTTTTAATGTACTGAATTTCAATCCACAAATAGGCATTTTGTCCAAAGATGGGGAAAAAATGTATGAATAAATGAACAAAGGAAGGAGTTACACCTGTGCGTTTAGAAATAGAGTCACCTAGCATGTAGAGAAATGCAGACACTCTATCATATCTATCAGGGAACTGACATCGGAGCGAGAGGCGAAGGGGAGGCTCCTAGATGATGCTGGCGAAGGACCCAGCAGCAGGGGGAGAAACAGCTCAGTAGAGGGGGAAGCAAATCAGCGCAACACCAGGGATAAAGGGGGGCAGATGGGCAATCGGAGAGAGGGCTCCAGGACTCTTCACTGGACCTCAGTGAGGAGGGCACAGGTCCTCCGCTACCCACGCCCTCCCTGCGCAGAAGACTCCCGCGCAGTGAGAGGAGGAGGAGACTGGGTGTCAAACAACTTTTATGTTGGAAGAGGTTCAAGAAACGCCCACTGACGGATTCTGCCAGCGACTGAGGCAGCCACGATGAGAAAGGGCTGTGCAGTCAGAAAGGTTTAACAAGGCAAATTAGCCTAGAGAGGCACCAGTTTACGCACGAGTAACTCATACTCATTACAATATCCTTTGACAATCTGGTGTCCTGCAGATGTTTTGGAACCAAACATTTTGCCTTGTTGGAAAGCACTTTTATTATCTCTCTCACCAGGACTGTGCATCTCAAATTCATGCAAATAATAATAATAATAATAATTTATTATTTGTACCCCGCCCATCTGGCTGGGTTTCCCCAGCCACTCTGGGCGGCTTCCATAGAAACAAAAAATACAGTAAAATATCACAGATTAAAAGCTTCCCTGAACAGGGCTGCCTTAAGATGCCCTCTAAATGTCAGGTAGTTATTTATTGCTTTGACATCTGATGGGAGGGCGTTCCACAGGGCGGGCGCCACTGCCGAGAAGGCCCTCTGCCTGGTTCCCTGTAGCTTTGCTTCTCGCAATGAGGGAACCGCCAGAAGGCCCTCGGCGCTGGACCTCAGCGTCCGGGCAGAACGATGGGGGTGGAGACGCTCCTTCAGGTATACTGGGCCGAGGCCGTTTAGGGCTTTAAAGGTCAACACCAACACTTTGAATTGTGCTCGGAAACGTACTGGGAGCCAATGTAGGTCTTTCAAGACCGGTGTTATGTGGTCCCGGCGGCTGCCCCCAGTCACCAGTCTAGCTGCCGCATTCTGTATTAATTGTAGTTTCCGGGTCACCTTCAAAGGTAGCCCCACGTAGAGCGCATTGCAGTAGTCCAAGCGGGAGATAACCAGAGCATGCACCACTCTGGCGAGACAGTCCGCGGGCAGGTAGGGTCTCAGCCTGCGTACCAGGTGGAGTTGGTAGACAGCTGCCCTGGATACAGAATTGACCTGTGCCTCCATGGACAGCTGTGAGTCCAAAATGACTCCCAGGCTGCGCACCTGGTCCTTCAGGGGCACAGTTACCCTATTCAGGACCAGGGAGTCCTCCACACCAGCCCGCCCCCTGTCCCCCAAAAACAATACTTCTGTCTTGTCAGGATTCAACTTCAATCCATTAGCCGCCATCCATCCTCCAACCGCCTCCAGGCACTCACACAGGACCTTCACTGGTTCTGATTTGAAAGAGAGGTAGAGCTGGGTATCATCTGCATATTGATGGACACCCAGTCCAAATCCCCTGATGATCTCTCCCAGCGGCTTCATATAGATGTTAAAAAGCATGGGGGAGAGGACGGAACCCTGAGGCACCCCACAAGTGAGGGCCCAGGGGTCTGAACACTCATCCCCCACCACCACTTTCTGAACACGGCCCAGGAGGAAGGAGCGAAACCACTGTATAACAGTGCCCCCAGCTCCCAGCCCCTCTAGACGGTCCAGAAGGATGTTATGGTCGATTGTATCAAAGGCCGCTGAGAGATCCAGCAGAACCAGGAAACAACTCTCACCTTTGTCCCTAGCTCGCCGGAGATCATCAACCAGTGCGACCAAGGCAGTTTCAGACAAGCACTGAAACAAAACTAAAAAGGGATTTTCAAATGTAGCCCTACCTGTGCTGAACACATGCAAGCCTGGATTAGTTAATGACCTAACCACAAGGTTGTTCTGAGTGCAAACACAATAAAAGACTGCAAAGCACTTCCCAAATTAAAAGTGTTACATATGCATAGATAAACAGTTCTATGATATATATGTGTCCCCTTGAGAGTTTTCCTGTTTACATGAATACAGGTTCTTGCAAGCAGCTTGTAATTTAAGAAACTGCCCCGGAGCAAAGTTGCTGAGCTACACTTTGCTTTTCCAAGCCAAGCTTTCGTTAGAATAAGTCACTTTCAGTTCTTTAGAGGAATGACAACATGAAGGGTTTGAAGAACTAGCAAATGATGCATTCTGAAAAAGCCAAGGTAAAAGTCTAGGTTCAGTTGTCCACGACCTCTTCCCAAATCCACTTCACATATCAGAGAGGAGGCTCAACTAAGCTAGTCTATGTGGAAGTGGGGAGATAGGACTGACTGTATTTTAGCTTAGAGGATCAAGCCATCCAGCCCCTACGTGCAGTCTGAAGTGGTACAACCCAGACACAGACTTACTGCAGTTTGTTTGAGCCAGTGTAGTGGTCAGAAAGTCCGACTAGGACCTAGCAGACCAGGGGTTCAAATCCACACTCTACCACGAAGCTCAATGGGTGATCTTGGGCCAGTCACTGCTGCTGACTCTAGCTTATAGCTCACGAAGTGGTGAGGATAAAATGAGGACAGGGAGAACCACGTACACCACCTTAAGCTCCTTGTGGGAAAGATGGGACACAGATGTAACAGTGAATGAAAATAAATGTTGCGCAACTTGATTCAGACTGGGTCATATCTCCCTTTTTGCTATATTTCCGCATCTAGAGCCTATCACTGGAACCACTGACGTTATCCCGAATCCCTCCCAGTAGCAATAATGGCACTAACTGCACAAACACAACATGGAAAAAAGCCTAGATAATTATTCCTTACTTGATGGCAGAGATTACTCCAGCTAGAGGCCCACCTAAATAAAATGGCAGTCAGTAGCCTCCAGGAGGGGGACTAGGCACGTCTTGCAAGGGAGTTGTAGAGATAGGGTACAGCAACTATGGATATAGGGATGACCAATGGATATTTTCATTGAGTTACTACACTTGTGGCCTAGCTTTCCTTCCAAGTTGATGTTCATGGTTCTCAACCACGCCCATTTTTCTGCACAACAAGCTTATGAGGATTGGGACATTAGGCTGAGAGTGTGTGTCTAGTCCAAGGTCACTCAGGGAGCCTCATGCTTAAAGAGGGATGAGAATTTGGGTCTCCCAGGCCTGGTCTAGCACACTAACCACTACATCACATAACTGGCTCTTCACACAGGTAACAGGAGCAAAACATCAAGCTCATAGAATTGCATCAAGGTTCATCTCAACACCAACAAGCCAACACTGCCTCCCAGATTGAGATGGGAGATATCCCAGCTTACATAAACGTTATCCACTGGCACCTTAAAAACAAGTGGACAAATCTGCTAGTCCCAACAGGACAAAGTTGACCTGCTACTCACAAGAGATGCTGCTGGAGTTTCTCCCCAGCGTTTTCAGCATCTGTTTAATGGATTTTAATGTCACCTATACACAGGATGCTTTGCTAGCAATTAATGTTGCTTCTTAATGGGCAGAACAACATCACAGTTCAGCTTCAACACGAGAAAAAAGTGGGTCAGAATTCTTTAACGCAAATCCAGGCAATTTTTCCAATTGTAAGGAAATTCTTCAGTATAGCGAAGCTTCCAGGGCTTAGACATTATGAGTGCTGCGTCAGATCATTTTGGGAAGAGAAAAAACCTGAAAAACACAACAGACCAGATGTCTGCCTAATAGCTTCAAAGTATTCTTCCTCCCACTTCTTAAAACAATGCACTGAAACCACATGTAACAAGTGCAACTTCATACTTACCATCTTCAGCCCAGATGGAATTCTGAATTTTTTCTAACACGTACATGCATTCACTAACAGGGTGTGAAGGTGCAATTTTTCTAGATACACATGGAAGTGAGCTTTACAGAATTAAATAAAAAAATATTTCCAATGGCAATCAGACTTCCCCTTCTCCCAAGACAGACCTTTGAATAATCGCCAACACAGGCTATGCTTTCAACAAGCTCCACACATACATTGTTACCACGATGCATTACATTTACTGTAGCCAAGTCTATTGGCCACCGGCTTTAATCAGGTCTTTGTACAGAGCGCACATGATCAACCTCATATTTGAAAAAAAGAATGTTGGCATCGAAGATACGCCTCCTCCGAAAAACAACTGAGCCTTAGAATATAAAACCTCCAGTAACTTTTCCTCTGAAGAACACCACCTTTTGTTCTAAAGTGGCCTTCAGACTAACAACATAGAGCTTATGCAAAATATGTAGCTATGGAGTTCACAAATCAAAGAAGAGAGAGAGAAACTGAGCCATGCAAGAATCCACCAAGAGCTGGGTCTTGCTTCTTATCCCAGAACTGTACATCAGTTTAAAACAGGGATGGCTAACCTTCAATGGTTGGAAGAGCATCCTGAGCAACTCTCCAGCGGCTGCATGCCAGCATTGGATGTAGCCACCACAAGCACACCCACCCACACTCCCATGGACACCAAATGCCAATATACAGGCTCATGGAGACACACACACACAGGCATACATGGTTCCCGCCCCCTTCCTGCCAATCAAATTGCTCACTGACAGTGTAAGAAACTCAGATATATAAGCCAATCACCAAATAGCACATTAAACCTAGGTTTTGGTCATCACAACAGACTGACTAGTCACCATCAACTCCCCCCAACAGGGACTGTTGTTGTGGTGCTGTTATTGTTGTTATTTTCATTTATATACCACTTTATATTTTAAAGGGGAGGTGGAGCTCAAAGTGGTTTACAACACATTAAAACATTGAATAAAACAATCCAGAACAGTGACAAGACATCTCCACAGATCGGCCAGTTGACTGGCATGGGGACGTGCGCCACTGCAGAAAATACTGCTGTGCACCAGTAAGATGGTGGAGATGTTAGTCGCCAAACTTGGAAGCAAAACATCTTCAGTTGTTCGCAACTGGACGCACGCCAGTCGCAAAACGAGTCTGGTGCCTGAGGGATTTTGAACATTGCTCACTGGATGAGACAGAAGGAAATATTTGCATCTCCATTGTGACAGGGGGCAAAATTTTGACCTCACCACCCACCACAGTACCATGAGATTATAATTGCCCCCTCTTCACTGATCAGGTGGTGATTGCTGGTGGACCACATCTTTCTAAATAACATATGCATATATTGGGAAGTCGCTTTAGTCCTACTTCAGAACATCGTATTACATCCTTCTATAAATTTGAAAGCACACACATTCTATATTCTGGGAAGTCTGGCATGTACATACAGCTCCCAATCAGGCTCTGACCATGTTCCAGTGGAGCACTAAACCACTAACTATGGCTAAGCAAATTAGGTGAGGCACACAGTTTGAGATCTCCTTCTTCAATCCTTTCTTTTGCGAGTGGGGAAACAAACCACTGAGCAACTGGTTCAGCACTGTGCCTGAACCAGTGCGCTCAGGTTTCTCTCCATGACCTGGAGATAAGATTCATGTTTGTTATTGGCTTCCCTTTTGTGGCTTGTTTTCTCCTACAAGTTATGAGCATTGGTTCATATGCAACACTAGGCCAGGGTTTTTCCCCCCTTCCCCTTGTGCATAGGCTCTTTTGCTTAACCATAGTTAATGGCTTAGTGGATGCCCAAATGCAGCCTCTGCTTTAGTCAGGATGGAAGCTTAGCAAGCAAGCATCAGAAGGAACCAAACCTGTTTGCAGCACAGTCAAGAAGCTACAATTACATGTGATGTACAAATCTATAGGCAACGTCTTAAAGTCTGGGTAGACAAGTCTATTAAGCAGCTCCTCTGACCAAGGAAGCGTAGCAAGAAGAGCTATTTTATAGTGGCAGGAATTGTTGGCTAAGAGGAGCCACCTGGGTTATGTCTCATCGTATCTGGAAGCTGAAAAAAAGGTTTTATGGCTGTAGAAATTTAGCTAGAATGCCCATGGCCATGGCTGCTATCCTTGTAGTTCAAACTTAACAGCGGTTCTTATATAGTCAGCAACACTAATTTCTCAGGAAAGGCTAGCAAGTAACTTTAGTATGAACTATAACAATTATTATGCAAGTGTTCACTGCAAGATATGCACAGAGGCAGAGTGTTAAGTCACACCACCCTGTGGGTATAGAATTAAATTTTCCTTTAGCTACACAGCCAGAAAACACTCACTAGTGTAAAAAAGAATTTTCTCAGAGATGCCAAATATCAAGATCCTTAGTCATTTTGAAATAAGATAGGTTTCACTTGTCAATAAAAAATAAAACTGCCCAATTTACTAGTGCAAGACTATATACTTCATTTATGAATCGTTCCCATGAAACATTCTGAAGTGATTTGCAACATACTGTATAATACAATTTGCAACACTTATAACACCTTTGCCAACAAAGGGCGGGGGGAAGACTTCAGACATAGCATGCTGTTATAAGTTTGGGGTGGGGAACCATCCTAAATGCAAGAAATAAATGAATGTCAGAATCTAGCTAATATTTGGGATAGGAAGGGGAAATGCAAGCTACAGAAGTGTGCCAGAAACACAGGGGATCCCTGAACCCGCTTATGCAAACCAGCCTTGCCAGCCTGGTTGAATGCAAGCCTTTATGAAACAAGGGCCAGGCACCTACACTTCAAAGAAGGTTCTCAGGTCTGTGCAAAACAGGGTTGCCAAGGTGATGGGGATGGGTGTGAGGTGACAGTAAAATGTGCTGTTTTGCAGAAGGCTTAGGTTTTTGGTGAGAGGTGTGCTGGGAAGAACCAGAAGACAGGCCAGACCTCCATGAGCTGCTGGGCAGGCCAAAACTATCTTTGCTGATGCCTGAAGAAGCTCATAGTTTCAGAGACCGGGAACCATGACTGCTTTGGACTCAAGCTTGCTGAAACTATGAGAGGAGCAATAAGAAACTCTCTTGGGGGTATAATGACCTGCACCTGCTCAATTGCAGACTTCCAGGGGCAAATACGTGTTCATAAACCATATTTCACGAAGACACTAGCCTCCACTGTGCTTTGATTTTCCCAATGGAAACATAACCCTGGGTAAGTGCCTGAAATCCCTGAAATCTCACACAGCTTGTGGGGATTGGGGTGGCATGAAGCTCTCTCTCTCTCTCTCTCTATATATATATAGATGACTATACACACTGAATCATCATCACCATCAATTTATGGTCTACAAACCAAAAATGAGATCCAAAATAAAACCATACAAAACATCATCATATTAAGTACAGAGAAAATACAAAGCAGGTTAGAACATAAATGCTATCTGCTCAAGTATGAATATATAAAAGGCAACAAATGCCCCAATAAAGACCAGATCAAAAAACTTACTTTGGAAGAGCAAGGCCAGAGCAAATAAAAACAACAACAGTTAGCTCCAACTGAACCCACTCCTTATCACTTCATGATAAGGTGATGAGTGATGTGAATGTTTCTTTTTCTCCCTGTTCCAATATTGCTTATATTTATTACTATCTGCACAACAATCCCAGCTTTCACAAACTATTTAATAACTGTTCCTTAGTTCAAAATCCTCCACCCTCCACCCACCTTGCTTCCCGTAAACAAGGCCAACACTCTTGACTGCAACGCTAAGCGATGTCTTGCATGTGTGAATGGCCAGTACAGATCCAACACAACAGACTGAACTTGAATTTCACCTCCAACGGCACATCTTTCAGCAGGGTTAGTTGACACACTCAGCTGCCAATCAAATATAGAGGGATCAAGCGGTATATATGGGTGTGAGAACCAGACCCTGTTTCTGTATGAGCAACAACTGCCTGCAACATCTGTTCACGAATACAGACATCACCTAGTCCACCTTGGAATAAACAGCATACAGATGGAACATTTCCTGCAAGATCCATTGCCCAAACATGACTAGACAGTTCCTGAAAAAGGTCTGAAAAGCTGCTAGCACACAACAGCATTGCTATTCCCATGTCAAGGAATCTGCCCTCTCAGCAAACAAGAAACAGTTTCATGCATCTTAAAATGTCAGATCTACTGTAGCCTATTAAAATATTTACACAGGAGAAACGGTAGGGTGCTATAAAAAGAAAAACATTTTCTTGTCTCTAGTCTCCCACCCCCACCCCGTAATTTACAATCTAAACATTTCTATCCCAAGGGCAAAGCTTCTTTCCAATGAACTGCATGCAGCCAGCAGTAAGGGCGGGGGAAAGTGTGCCTCTCAAATATCAAGTGTTAGGGAACAAGTAATCCTGTTGCAAAAAACTGGCATCAAAAATTATGTTTAGAAAGGGGTAGAAATCAGATCATCAACATGAATGCGGGCAAACTTTATTTCCCTCCCTACCCCCAAAATAATCAGAACAACAACTCAAAATGTACATTGCACCTATTTACACACATAGAGGTGTATAAAAGGACAGATAAACAACAAATGATCCACGGCTAGGAAGAGCCAAAGCCAACGACCTGCATATCCAAGGCTAAGATCACGCCAGCCCATAATTATTGCCATAAGAACTGAAAGGATGGCCTACTTCCATATGAAACCTGCACCGGCATTAAGAAAATCACAGTAGCCTTTTCCCACATAGGATAAGAGGTCCTTTTCAGTGTTTTGTGGTGCTGCATTTTTGGAATGACAACCCCATAAATCATCACCTGGTGCCTTCTTTGTTGAGACTCAGGTTCCAAATTAATACCTTTCTGTTTGTCTGTATTTCAAGTGGTACATATGAGCACTATCGTTTAAACATCTGGAAATACAATGAGGGAAGGCAAATTTAGGTTGCTGAATAGGATGTTGAAATCCAGGTGACATTTTCAGAAATGTTACCTGTTCTGCATGCAAGGCCAACAAGGAATCAATGCACAAGTAGCAGTGGCACCAGGAGGAAGGATTTAAATTTTTGTTAGGCACTGGGGAACATGATGGCATAAGCCAGACCAGAACAAGGCACCAACTTCAGACTATTGGTGCTCAATGTCTAAAAGGTTGCAGCACAATTTTTAAACCATCTCTAGGTACGGCCAGATCTAAGAACATGGATAACAATGACAGCAACTCCAAAAAGCTCAAAAATTTAAGAGGAACAAACTTCACAGAATCACTGTGAGTAGAAATACTAGACCCAACAAGTAGTGGGGACATAGTGGCCTGTTTTGCAAGCCATGCTAAGTCAAACCATGGCTTAGCGTGATTGTACAAGCCCCCCACAAAAAGAGATTTCAGCCACTTCCCTCCTCTCTAGTCATTCTGCTGGTGCAGAATGGCTCAGTGTCTTATCTGAACCTGGGCTCACTGTTTTGTTCTCCTGGCAAATCACATGCTGTAAATCATAGGATCAATTTTGGTTACAGGTCATGGTTAGTCCGGAGAGAGCTAAGCGACAACCGCAGGTTCAGACAGAACCATGGCTTAGCTCAGCACAGCATTAGAACAACTAGTGAGATGAACAAAACAGTTGCAATCTCCTCTCCCAGAGCCAAGTATCCATGCTAAGCCATCACTCTTATGACCGAAACATTGAAGGTGATCTTGAGATAGAGAAAAATTAAGGGCACAGCCAAAGGAAGAAACTATTCTAATGTGAGACCTTATCTATATTTACACTGACTAGGTACATACACATCAGGTTGCAACAAGGAGGTGAAATTTCTAGATACAACAAATAATTGTCCCTTATAACCATTAGCCGAGAAGCTGGCTCAAACTTGGACTTAATTCTGAACAAAGCCCATAATCTGGTGAAAGATGTAAGAGTTACTGAACCACTGGGGAGCAGTGACCACAATGCTATCCAATTCAACATGTATGTAAATGGAAAGTTGCCTAGAAAGTCCCAGTGCAGTCATATTTAATTTCAAAATAATTGAAGTATTAGCTAGAAAGAAGCTGGAAGCAAGTCTGTTAAACGGGTCAAATCTCCCCAAGATGCTGTGAGGTTATTTAAAAATGAGAACAGAAGCCTAGATAGGGCAGATAAGAAAAGTATGAAACAAGTCGCCAGTTAGCAAGCAGAGTCAAGGAAGGCAGAAAGAGCAAGAAAGTTTCCTCCAAAAATGTTACATCCTTGCCCAGCTGAGGAAAATTTAAAGGAGCAGCAATTCTGGCAAAAGAAAATCTATGCTGGCAAGCAAAAGCAAAAACAGCAGGAGCTCCTTGCTACAAACATCAAAATGGCCAATGAACTTTTCTTTAAATATATCTGAAGCAGGAAACCAGCTAACTATGGAGGTGGCGGTCTATGAATTGCAGTCGTATTTAAGATGCCATCCAAGTAGTTAGCTGTGAAAGGGGTACTGAAGAAACTTGGGAAGAATGCAGAGAGAGAGAATGAATTCTTTAAACCAGTATTCTGTGTGGAAGATGTTGGACAGATACTTGTGGCTGAACCTCTTTCCCTACCCCCAAGAGGGCAGCTGAATTAGTAAGAGGCAACAGGAACTAAGAGCTATGGCTGCAATCCCATCTTCACTAGCCTGGGAGTAAGTCCCACTTAATTTAATTAAACTAACTTCTGAGTAGATATGTATAGAAGTACACTGGAAAAAAACACAAAATATGACACAGAAACACTGAGATTAGACCTATTATCAGATGGTTGGGAGGTAGGCAATGTAGCACCAATTTAACAGGGGACAGCTGTACAAAATTACAAGCCCATTGCCCCAAATTTGTTCCTCATAAACTAGTGAATATTTTTATTAAAGTTAGAATTACTGAGCATGTGGAAGAATAAGTCTCACTGAAGGAGAATCAGTATGCTTCCTGCAAAGGGAAATCCTATTTGAGTAACCATTTTTGCAAGGGAAGGGATTGAACAACAGTGCCAGAAGCCAGGCTGGCACAAGCATGGGGAACCTGCGACTCTTCTGGTGTTGTTGGGCTCCAACTCCCATCAGTCCCAGCCCCCAACTGGCCAGTGCTGATGGATGATGGAAGTTGTAGTACTTGGAGGTTACCAAGTTGGGGAAGACTAGCTTGCACACCTGCTCCCAACCTGGCTCAATACTGCTTCTGATCTTGACACCCTCTGTCAGATGCACTTCGCTTCTGCCTCTGCCCCTTCTGATCTCCATACGCCTTCTCAATAAATCAATTAGAAGTAGAATCGACATAGGCAATGCGCAACACATAATTGAATTGATGGCATCTGCTGTCAAAATATGTGTTGATGGCAGCTGGCTTACATGGCTTTAAAACAAATGGCTTTAGACAAATACATGGCAGCTAAATCTGCCAATAGCGATTATCCTTAAAAGGAACCTCTCCATGTTAAAGAGACAGCAAGCCTCTGGTAAAAGTTGCTGGAGGAAAGACATCACTTCACATCCTATTTGTGGGCTTCCCAGAATCATCCTAGCTGTCCAGTGTCAGAAGCAAGGTGCTGGTTGACCACTGTGAGAATAAGGATGCTGAACTAGTTGGGCCTTTGGCCTGACCCACCAGGTTCTCTTTTGCTGGGATAAAGTAACCATCTCAGGAAAGTCTAGTGGAGTTTCTGTACAATGTTGACTGTGTGCTTGGGAGTCCCTTTAGTTTTTTATGTTGTCCTCCCTCCCCAATATTTTTGGTACTCCATAATAGTTGCAAATTTGACAGATCTGCAAATACAAATCAAGAAAACCTGGCATCATAAAAGGAAAACCCAGATCTCACATATCTAAGATCTTCTTCTGATAGAATGGGGCATGGAAGGAGGAGGAGGATACACGAGGAAAGAGCCTTCTGTTGCTCCAGTTTTTCGAAAGATATACTACTGCTCATTCACTTGAGTAAGTTTACATGAGAGATGGTACAGCAACACATCTTTTGAATCTGTTTTGAATCACTTCGGTCATTCCAGTAAATTTATTCTAAGTGGCTGCACATAATTTAAATCCCCAAGAGCACTGTGGAAAAATGAAACCTTGGGAGAACCCAGTGACATTTAGCCTGATCAAACCTACTCAAGAAAAGGTGTGGCAACTTGCTTTCTGAATTTTTCAAGCAACAGTTTCCTTTAATGTTGATTGGGCAGAGCAACAGTCTTAGGCTAAACACAACCACAACAATACTTATCCCAAATCCAGTTCGCAAAGCCCTCCAGGAGACCTTAAGCTAAGTCACAGGAGACAAACAATTTATCAGAACTTGTAAGCTAAGCAAAAGAGGAGTCCATACAACCAGTTAAAGGACGGGTTTGAAGGGAAGATGAAAGCTTGCTTGAAGTTGTGAACGCCAAGTAGGGGATTTTACTGGATCACAAAACATGTGAGGCAATAAAGTTCCACACTAGTCAGGAAAGGAAATGTGAAGTGAAAGTCTGCCATACAGCATTTCTAGAAGCAACCCTGAAGAACAAATATGCCTGCAGTAGGCACTAGGAATACTGCACGAGAAATTTATATTTATCAGCCTGGCCTCTCCTGCTTTTGCCTGAACATAGTTGCTTTAGCCCCCTCATCAATATGAAGCAAATGAACAAATATCTGCCAGAAAAATGGAAGGAAATCCCACATATGTAGTCCCACTTATTAAGTTAAGCATGATCATCCACTTTATCTTTCAGTAGAAATGCCTCAGTAGGGTTGACAGAGGAGAAAAGTAATATACATTGAACCAAAGCACGTGTGACAGTACTATAAATAAAGGAGTTAATGATTACCTCAATTTATTGTACTAATTGCTCCTAGGAGCCCGCCTCAGAAGAAACAACAACTGGATCTCTTCTACCAAAAACAAACCATACACCCATTCACCACACCCAAATAGAATACTTCTCTGCCCATAGACACAGGTTTTATTAACTTCCTTACCACCCTCATATAATAAAGTGGTAGGCTCTTTCTTCTTGATATGATGCTTCACAATCTACTTCCCAGAGGCCAGAGATGGAGAACATTTAGAATATGGATGACAAATCACTAATGAGGAGATGGAAAGAAGACTTCAAAACTGAGGGGTAAGACCTTTACTAGTTCTAATTAGAGGCACTTGAGGAGCTCAGTCTTTGCACATTCCAAAATGGACTGGATTGATCTGCATCTCCCAAACCAATACGCAAATTGGAACATAGTTATCCACTAGCTTTCACACTTCCTGAATGTTCCAATGCAGTTCTTAGTTCAAAAAACAATATAACCTATATTGACAGCACAATCTTATCCATGTCTACTTATAGTCAGTCCAATTAAGTTCAATGGGGCTTACACCCAAAGTATAGGATTCGAGCCTTAACAATTTTTAAAAGATATCTTACATTTCAAAATTCATTTTAGACAAAAAATATACTCAGAAATGTGTGTTTAAATACATATTTCTATTCAAATTGGTGGAGTTTCTTAAGCAGATTAACATGGAAACAGCATGGATTGATGGGGTGAACACAAAGCAAAAGTGATGCAAACTGGAAATAGACTTATTCACCCATCCTTGCTTATAGTATAATATTTGAATGATTGATATGTGTATTTTTATAATATTATTTTCTGTTGAAACACCCTAAAAAGAGGCTTGCAATTGAAAGGAAAATAGGAAAGTATATAATATACTGCAGCAGCAAGACTAAATGGATGATATCCTACTGAGCTGAACTCAGAGTAGACCTATTAATATTAATGGACAAATCAGTCATGCCCTTTGACCTCAATGGGTCTGCTCCAAGCATGACTTAGTGGGCTATTGCCCTATAAATCTGATCCAAAGACTGCCTTCCTTCCTCCAAATGAAGAGGCCTTCTCCATTACAGGAAGGTAACTTTTGAAGCTAACCCAACACTTCACCTAAGTCTGACACTATGATGGTATTCCCTCAATTTTTTGCCTGATTGCTTAAATGTCAACCATAGAGAAGTGATTCATCAGCCTAGTTGCTTCATATACTGTTCCTCCAAAGATTATTTTGAACTGCTATTCCACAGAGACAAGCTCATGTCCTTGGGCTTTTTCACATGTGCCACTAACCCTATTAGTCATTAGTTCAGGTCATGGCCAAAGCTTTCTCTATGCAGAAGCCCAATTTCATCTCATCCCAAGATTCTACTCAGGTACTGTTTTTTAAAATCAGACTTGCTTAAACCACTTATCCCTTTACCACTTCAAACCCAGATTTGCTTAAAGGATCAAGGTGTTTAACGGAGCTTGAAGCAAGACTTAGGGGCTTCTCACTCCTGTCCCTTCCAAGGATAAATATGTGATAACTTGACGATCACCACTGCAAGACAACATAGGTGACAACATGCAAGGAAAGAGTTATAGGTTAATAAGGATATTTAGGTATTTCTAATGTTAGCATGTTTACTCATATAAACTACTTGAATGCCTCCATTACTGAGACATTTCCTCTGTATCAGAAAATGATGAATTATCTACTTCAACAAGCCAAACTCTGCTAAGCATTTAGAGCCCACCTACAATGTATCATACCACTTTAAACAGTTGTGGCTTCCCCAAAAGAATCCTGGGAACTGCAGTTTCCGAAGGATGCTGCGAGTTTAGGAGACGCCTATTCCCCTCAGGGGATGTGGGTGGCGCTGTGGGTTAAACCACAGAGCCTAGGACTTGCCGATCAGAAGGGCGGCGGTTTGAATCCCCGTGACGGAGTGAGCTCCCGTTGTTTGGTCCCTGCTCCTGCTAACCTAGCAGTTCAAAAGCACGTCAAAGTGCAAGTAGATAAATAGGTACCGCTCCGGCGGGAAGGTAAACGCTGTTTCCGTGTGCTGCTCTGGTTCGCCAGAAGCGGCTTAGTCATGCTGGCCACATGACCCGGAAGCTGTACGCCGGCTCCCTCGACCAATAAAGCAAGATGAGCGCCGCAACCCCAGAGTCGGTCACGACTGGACCTAACGGTCAGGTGTCCCTTTACCTTTATTCCCCTCAGAGAGCTAGAATGGTGTAACAATCAAAATCTCTCTCTCTAGGGGAATTGCAGCTCTGTGGGGAGATAGGGGGCTGCTAACAACTCTCAGCACACTTAACAAACCACAGCGCCCATAATTCTTTGGGGGGAAACTATGACTGTTTACAGTGGTTTCATAGCGCTTTAAATGTCTAGTGCAGATGGGACCTTAGTCAGGGCTAGACAACTCTTAAAAGGTGAAAATGGTTGCTTTTTGTTTTCTAAGGACAGTCTCTCTTTTTGTTGTATTAACTAGAGTACTTAGTGATTTGTTTCTGTTTCGTTTAGAGACCAGAATCCAATGGTGTAGCTTGAGAAATGTTATGCCTGAAGGTATGAGAGAGAATGGGCAGTCTCATTCGCACCCCTAGGAGTGAAGGGATTAAAATAACATGTATTGAAATGTAGAAATTTAGGAGGCAAAGGTTTGGTATTAAAACCAAAGGCTTCCAGGAGTATTTGGTCTTCCTATCCTAATCTGAATGGCACTAGGGATAACACAGTTCTGCCAATTAGTTACATCTCACTGCAACTAAAATACATAATCTATAGAGGCACCACATATTAGAGACGGCTGCAAAATCATCAATGATATATGTAAGAATCGATGTCACAAGCAGATTTTATTCATACATGACTGCACAACTCAGATAAACTAGATTTGTGCGCATTTCAAATGGACTAATACACCTGGGAAGGAAAATGAGGGAATAATCTGTGTTTTTTAAAAAAAAAATCCTTGGTTTCTAAGCATCTGTGGTACCACCCCCACCCCAAAATCACTGCGTTACTCTGATACTCTGGCTTCCCCATTGGGTGTCCTTTGAGTGGCAATGCCTGCTGCACATACAAATCTTAAACAAACACACAAGCTCAGATAAGTTGTGTTATGTGCACACTACACTAGGAAGCCATATGGCTGCAGGTTCACATGTAGCTCCAACAACACACCTACATGCACGATTATGGACATGCGACTATCTGTTCACAGCCTGCAGGTTATTTATTGCACGGGTGTCCTTTCAGTGGAGAGGAGGGGGGACCCAGCGCCTTATATTTGTATTTTATGCTGCAAATCGGATTGGACAGACATCATATACAACGATAACCAGCGGAAGTTCGAAGAACAAAATTATCACCCTATTCCAAAAGGATCTCCCGTCTTCCACCCCTTTTTTTTCTTTTTAAGACAACCATTCCTGGAAAAAAACAAAAACTTAGCGTCCTCTGGACTCAACTTCGCCCGCTCCCCCACCGCCATCCCCTGGCAAAGGGCACTGATAAAGAAGAAGGTGGTAAAAGTTGTGTCCGCTCAGGGCCTTTTGCAAAACGCTGAGAAACCAGAACTGCGCACTTGGCAGTTTTGAAAAGTACTTGGGAGGCTGACGGGCTCCGCGGCTGCCCCGAGCACCTTCGGGTGGGCAAACCGAGCAGCCCCGCTCGCCAGGGGAGCCTTCACCGCAGCCCAGGTTGGGTGGGACGCTCCGGGGACCGAGAGAAGCTGAGGCGCAGGAGGAGGAGGAGGAAAGGGAGAGCTGAAGAAAGGACAGAGGGCGAAAACACACACACAGGAAGGAAGGAGGAACGGAGAGCGGCGGCGGCGGCTGCAAGCCGAGGGACGCCCCTGCCAGCACAACCCGCAAGCCGCGGCAAAAAAAAAAGGCACTTACGTAGCGTTTCAACTTCTTCTCCGGCGGCGACTTTCGGAGCCAGCCCGAGCAGACCACTTCGCCGCCGCTCATGGCTGCTGCGCACCGGGCGGAGGGAAGGGAGACTCTTCCTTGGGCAGCTGCGGTGCGCCTGGGCCGAGAGGAGGCAGCCCAGAGAGAGAGAGAAAGGGAGAGAGGCGCGCACACAACAGGAGCACCGCGCCTGCCTGCCTGCCTGCTCCGGCCTCCTCCGGCAACTCTGGGGGAAGGGAAAGAGGAGGGGAAAGAGGAGGAGGGAGGGAGGAGGAGACGGCCGGGAAAGAGCAGGAGAGGGAGAGAGGGAGGGACGGGCCGAGAGAGGTGGTGTATTTATGTGTGTATCCAAAGGCACACACAGGGAGAGAGCCCACGTCGGGCCGGAGGGACAGAGGCGCGCCTTCTCCTCCTCCCAGCCGACGGGTAGGGAAAAGACACAGAGCGGCCACCGTAACTTTCGGCTGGCAGCTCCTGGGCAAGCCTGGACGCTGCTACAGCCTGCGCTTTGTCCCTTCCTGCTACAGCGGGGAGGAGGAACCCGGCCGGTTAGTCTCGTCCCCGCTTGAAGTGCTGCCTCGACGGTCCTCGCTGCAGCTGCAGCGCTGAGCCAGTTCAGGAGACGCCCCTCTGGAATCCTGAGGGCGGCGGAATTCTGCGCTCAGAACGTCAGAACTGTTTAAAACCCGGGAAGGCGGGGACGCAATTCCGCGTGTCCACCGCGGGCGAGAGGGGCGCTGCCCCAGAGGGGCTCCCCCGCCCCTGTTCAGCAAGCGGAAAGTCCAGTTTGTAACAGCTCGATCCTAACCTATGGCTACCTGGAAGTAAGCTCTGTTGAATTCAGCGGGGCTTACTCCGAGGTAACGGGGGTTAGGATTGCAGCCCGAGTGCCCTGCCTTTGGAGCCCGCTCTGCTGTGACGCTTCCCACCCCTCCCTAAACCTTTCTCCCTTCTTCTTCCCCCAGCGTTGGCCTCTATAGCTCTTCTGCGTGCTTTCCGTCCAAAGCAGAGGAAGCGAGTGTTTTCCCCACTCTCTGAAAGTCGGCCAGAGGTTGCTCGCTCGCTCGCTCTCTCCTTTTGCTAACGAATAAGGGAGGGAGGGGACTCAACACTACGGAAGGGATCCTGGGATCTGTAGTGCGCAAAAGTAGTCGATTGCACAGAAGGGTAGTTGCCGAAGCAGGCCTGGGAAACGGAGAGAAACTTCTTCTGGAGAATGCTAGATTCTTGCCAGGATTGCTCTGGAAAGTTTCTCGGGAGCTCGAGAGGACGACTTTTGGATAAGGGGAGGCGGGATTGTGTCAGTTCAAGGAAATGAAGCGCCTTGTACAGACGGTGGGGGTGCTCAGCCTACTTTTCATGACATGGGTGTAAAGCTGAAAAATATAATTGCAGAAATTATATTTTGAAAGTAGGTCAGGTGAAACTCTTTGGAGTAAAATGCTTATGCAACAGATGGTTTTCATTACCCAGCCTCCTTTTTTTATATTCCTCCATTCCACACATTTTCAGAGGAGATGCTGGGCTGAGTAAGAAATTAGAATACGATAATCTGGTGCACCTCAGATTATTGCTGGACTAAAACTCCCATCATCCCTGGCTAAGCTGATTGGACCTGAAAGGAGCCAGAGTCCCAACAACTGGATGACCACATGTTTCCCCTCCGTGCCATATGAATATTGTGTTACCCAACTTAAACCAAGCAATGGGAATATCAATCGCATTTCCCATCAACCTAAGCCATTTTCATCTAGTCCCCAAAGCTTTCTGCATACATCAAGCCAGATACACGTAAGGAAGATCAAAGTTGGCAAAAATACAGTTTTAATAATTTAACCAAGGCATTATAAGCACCACTCCTTGTGTTTGCAAATTGCTATGCCTTTGTGAGTATATGGAGGGAAGGCAGGGTAGGAGAGTAGGAGTGATGCAAAATAGAGGTGGGTGAGTCAGAAATGTGGGCACAGGGTTCTCTAGCCCTTAGCAAGCTGAAGCTGGGAGCTGAGGTGGCTGAAAAGTAACAGACAGTGTGCAACTTGCTTCCTTTTTTATTGGGTGGACTGAACTCACAAGACACACACCAATCTCCTGCTGCTCCTTTATTGCTGAAAAGAGCAGGGTTGAGGTCGTATCCTGAGGATGTGCTTCCTCCAAGCCCGATTTTTCTGCAAATGATTATTTAATTTTTAATCAAACATACCGCTTAATATAAAATATCTCTAAGCGGCATACACAAAACTGAAGCAACAACAGACAACTTAAGCAAAATATTACAAAAATACAGATTTACATATAAAAATGTTACATTAATACAAAGTTACTAATACTGTATATATAAAAATCAATATCAAATCATTTTCATTCTGGCGCACCTCATCTCTCTGCTTATGGGTTCTCACCCGGACCTCGCCTGCTTATCAGCAGAGTGGAGACGCGGGGAGGTCGACAGGAATATCTGCCGGTGCCTACGCTGTGGCACATTCCTCTGACCCAGGCAGAATTCCAACATTGGTAGCAGAGGATGGTTGCGATTCATCGGACATCTGCATGAGAGGCTGGAGGACAATCCACTGCTTCAAGGAGGAATAGAAGCGTCTGAAAGAAGCCAGAGGCTCCACAGACAGCTGATGGAAAGAAGAGGTGTTTTCCAGAGCAACAAAGTTCAAGGTATGCTGCATTTCGGGCTTAAAGTGTGAACGCAGGAAGATTAATCCCCTGGTTCACGGAGCTGCGTTTCAAAGAAAACAAAAGCTCCGGAGGAAGAGGCCTGCAGCTTGAAGGCTGAAGCCTGCATTCCACAAATTTTTGTGGTAGATAAGGAGTCCCATTGAAATGCATTGTTGCTAGGCAACGGTCCTGGAAAGTTACTGGCAAGGGGCTGGACTCTGAGTGTAAGCCTGGGAAAGCGAAACAAAACCAGAGAATGTTTTGGCTACAAGGTTTACGAGCTCTTGGAAGGGACTTTTCAATAGCAGCCTGAGTTTAGCTGCCAGGTGCAAAAAGAGCGTAAACAATTTGCAGTTTGCTGCGTGAGAAAGGAAAAACGACTGTTGGATTTTACAGTTTGTTTGACATTGTGAGCTGGAGGCTTGGCTTCAAGATGGATGCCAAGAAAGGGGGAGGTTTGCCTTGCCCACCTCCCTTAACCAATGACAATTATTCATCTTGGTCTGTAAAGATGAAGGCCCTGCTGCAGAATCAGAGGCTTTTTGATGTAATTGAAAACCCCATCCCTGCAGCACCAACCAGAGGTTGGGAGTCACAGAATGTAAGGGCCAGGACTGCTATAATTCTGTGTGTCTCAGATGATCAGTTGGTGCATGTTCAGCATTTAGAAAATGCGAAAGAGGTATGGGACACGCTGCGTACAACGCATCAGAGAGATGCTGGTTCTTCAGCGTTGCTGTATTTTGAGAAATTGACCAATCTGAGACTTGCGCCTGATGGAGATGTTCAAGCGCACCTGACAGAAATGAAGTTTCTGCGTCAACAGATGGTGGAACGCAATTTCCGTCTTCAGGAGGAAGTGTTTTGCTTCATGATGATAAACAGCCTTAGCCGCACCTACAAGGTTGTTGCCAGTCAGCTTGGTTCCCTACCGGCCGCGCAGCTGACCGCGGAGAGAGTTTGTGCTGTGGTCCTGAATGAACACGACAGACTTGCTGCACTGGAAGAAAAAGACAGGGGAGGGAAGAACAGAGTTCTAATTCCCCACTGCTGATGCTACTGGAGAGCATGGTGTAGCATTGAGTGCTGTCCGATGCTACAATTGTGGACAGACTGGGCATCTACAGCGAAACTGTAAGAAGCCGCGCCAGTCAAGAGGAGCAAAGAGCAGCTCTACGAAGCCTCAGGCGTCAGGCAAAAGCCGTACCAAGTGCCAGGTGAAACCTGCAAAGGCTATGATGGCGAAAGGAACCACGCCAGATGTTGGGAACTCGTTCATAATTGACACGGGCGCAACGGTTCACATGTGCCCGCACAGAGGACTATTTTCGACGTTGAAGAAGCAAAGCTTCACTGTGAAACAGGCCAACGGTCAGGAGCTGGAAGCAACTGGAATTGGGACTGTGTATCTTGAAAGTCTGAACTTGACTATAAGTGATGTTTACCTGGTTCCAGAACTGAGATTTAATCTGCTGAGCGTGTCGCAGATTGCAAAGAAAGGACTGAAACTGTCCTATGATGCTAAAAGCTGCAAGATCTACAAAGATGGAGAACTGTTTCTTACTGCCAAAGAGAAAGATGGACTGTATTTGTTGACTTTTGATCAAAGTGATTACATGAAATGTAATTCTTCTGATTCTAACGAAATCTCTCTTGCAGGTGTGACCAGTGTGAGCACCAGGAAGGTGACTAAGACCAAGAAGGTCAACAGAGCATTTCAGCGGGTGTATGCTGATGTGATTGGTCCTCTAGAACCATCTAGAGGCGGTGCAAAATATTACCTTGTGTGTGTGGATTGTTTCACTAATTATTCTTGGGTTTATATGATGGAGAAACTGCAAGAAACTTTAGAAAAGTTTCAGGAGTTTTGTGACAAGGTTAAAAGTATGCATGATGCTAACATTGATTGTCTTTTCACAGATGAGAAGCAAATTTTTCTGTTGCAGAAGTTTCAGAAGTTCCTGGATGGAAAAGGGATAGACCACAAAGTTGCAGTCTCGCAAGAAGCGTGGAACAGGGGGGTCTGTGTAAAAGTGAACAAAGAATTGCAAAAGGGGATGAATGCGCAATTGCTGAGTTCACATTTGCCACATGAATATTGGGCCGAATCGCTAGCGTCCTATCTTCATGTGTGGCTGAGAAAGGTCTCAACAGAGTTGGGATGTTCTCCTTTTGAGAAGCTGTTCAATAGAAAACCTTCTGTTGCCTATTTTAAGGTTTTCGGGTCTCATGTGAGAACAGAAGCTCCAGGTGGTGTAAAGAATGCCAGAGGCATTTTTGTGGGTTATGAAAAAGGTCTCTACAGAGTAATTTTGTCTGAATCTGGTCAGGTGATTCTCACAAAGTTCCTAGAGAGTGCTCCAAAGCAAGAGCGGATAGTACAGACATTTCCCACAGGAAACGATTCTGATGATGATGATGATGATGAGTTTGATCTTATTGAGTTCAGTAGTACTGATGATGACAGCGATAGCTCAGACAGCTCAGTTGTCACAGTCATTGAGAGGAAATCTCACATAATGACTAGACCCTCAGAAGAGGAGGATGAACCACTGATTGCTACTGGTTCTCAACAGAGTCCAAAGGTTGAACCAGTGAGCACAGAAGATCAGAACCTCATACGCAGGTCTGAGAGAGTTACAAAGGGTGTACCACCAAAGAGGTACTCAAAAGAGTTTGCTAACTTAGCTGTTGCATGTGTTGCTATTGTTAACAACTCAAAGCAGGTTGAAGCAGTGTCTACGTCAGAGACAAAGACACAACAGAGGGTAGCTAGCCAAGGTAATGCAGAAGCACTCATTCCTTGGAAGCCAGACAACCAGAGAGGTACATTGGTTAAACCAGTGGCGGGTAGTTCCAAGGGTGGAACTGAAACAACAGGGGAATGTTATAAATATAACAACTGTTTGTTTTCTTCTCTGGATGACGCTTTGCTCGCGGCACACATTGATACTTTAGGGGAGTATGTTACCATAAAGCACCAATGCTGCAGCAAGCAAAGGCTCTAGCAGCTCAGCCAGCTGCTTGTGGCTGGAAAGCCAGACAGGATGTTTGTGACTGTTGCCATGGGAACAAAGGGGCAGTCCATTCTGTACTGAGCACCGGATGTTAGCTCAGTGTGTGTGTGTCATATGACCCGTACTGGATGTACTTGGGAGGAGTTTCTTCTTGCTGTTGTTGAGTGCAGACATGATTCTCTGTACTGATGTAAGAGGCAGAAATAAATGATGTAAATAGTTTTCTGTCTGCTTCTTTCCCTCCCTGGGGACACCAAACGGGAGAGAAGAAGAACGGTGAGTTCCTCTCATACATCTGAGAAGAATCGCCGGACCTCGCCTGCTTATCAGCAGAGTGGAGACGCGGGGAGGTCGACAGGAATATCTGCCGGTGCCTACGCTGTGGCACATTCCTCTGACCCAGGCAGAATTCCAACAGTCCAAACAAACTCTCAGCTCACCCACAAAAGTTTTACAACAATAAGAGTTCCTGGAAACAGTGGGTATCATCCTAGTCTCGTGCTAGACTTGCTTGTTATGGGCAGGTCCAAGGTGGATGGTACTTTCTCAGGCTTCCCACAGCTGTGTCCCATTCAGCTGCAGTCTTCATTGCAGCCTCACACAAATGTGTTTACACACCCAGCACTCCCCTGCAATCGCACTTCAGAAAAGCTTCTCTGCCATTATTATTCTCTCATTGAGGACACATGAAACACCTTGAAGGAACCTTAAAACAGTTTGAAAGTGTGTGTTTAGGGGAGGGTTAAATATATTACTACATCAAATAGTTCATGCCTTCAGATGCTGTAGCATTCACCCGAACTTGCTATAAGTCTGTACAGTGGTACCTCGGGTTAAGTACTTAATTCGTTCCGGAGGTCTGTTCTTAACCTGAAACTGTTCTTAACCTGAAGCACCAGTTTAGCTAATGGGGCCTCCTGCTGCTGCCGTGCTGCTGGAGCCCGATTTCTGTTCTTATCCTGAAGCAAAGTTCTTAACCTGAAGCACTATTTCTAGGTTAGCGGAGTGTGTAACCTGAAGCATATGTAACCCGAGGTACCACTGTATTAAAAAGGAGTAATGAGACTGTGGTCCACCTAGATGTTGTCATCTCCACCTTCCATCAACCTCAGCCAATATGACCAGTGGTCAGGGATGATGTGAGTTATAGTTTTGGAACAGCTAGAAGGTCCCAGCTTCCACATGCCCACAATACAGGACTACTTGGTTCCTATTATACAGAATTTAATAAACCTTATGAAATTAAGCCATATACACATTTGATGTGCACTATACAGGTCTTTTCCTGCACACAGTTTTTAATCATAATTAATCAATTAGTCACAGTTATAAAATACGAGTTTTCCTTTAGAGCTGCTGTGTCTGAAAGGTTTTTCCAGTACAGACGGCAGCATTGCATTAAATAAGCAATCTACCAGCATGAATTTCCAAACAAGAACTTATTTGGGTAGCTGTCATCATCAGCGTCAAATATTATTTAACATGAACCAGGCCATAAGACTCTTTATGACTACATAGAAAATAATTTCAACTTGTAACAGCTGCTATTAATAGCAATTCCCTCTCTTGAGGAGAAATAGCCCCCCTCGTGTGCTAGACTATTGTGGGGAAGTGTTTTGATAGTCAATGTGCAGGTGAGTCGCCCAAGTTCACAACATTTCATGGTTACCAAATGCTCTTGAATTTCAACCATGCTAATTATAAAAGAAAAGCCAAAACAGTGCTTTGGGACTCTGAAATTAGTATCTTGTGACTTTTTAATGAGAGCAATTAAGAGTTTTTGCTGTCTAGTTGGCCTTAGTTTTTACTTCACCTTAAGTGCTAATAATACACACTTATATATTTGCATGGATGCATTTAAAGCAGTGGGGAGAGCCTTAGATCTGCTAGCCAAATGTGGCTCTACTGACCTGGACTTTGACCTGATCATGTCCACATGCCCCCCAGTGGTTTGTCATCCTTGAGTGCTTTTGCCTGGCTGGAATGTGTCCTTCAACTAATGCTTCTTCCTTGCCTGGATGGCGTGTATTGTGTGTGTGGAATTCCCTGTCATATGTGGCTGGAATGTAGCCTACTTTACAGAGATAAGAGTCACATCTGTTGCTCTGCCGGCTCTTGCTTCAGGCATGTGGGCCCTGGAAGGTTGGTCAGAAAGGAATGCAGCCCTGGAGCTGGAAAAGGTTCCTTACCCCAGGTTCACAATAGCATATACAGTGGTACCTCAGTTTATGAGCTTAATCCGTTCCGGAAGTCCATTCTTAAACCGAAACCATTCTTAAACTGAGGCACGCTTTTCCTAATGAGGCCTCCCGCCACCGGTGCCCTTCCACCATTCGGCTTTCATTCTTGGATTAAGGTAAAGTTCTCAAACCGGGACACTACTTCTGGTTTTGCGGAGTTCGTAAACCGAATAGTTCGTAAACAGGGCTGTTCTTAAACTGAGGTACCACTGTACATATGGCCTGGGTAATTGAGCAGAATCCTACTTGCTACTTTTAGGGACAGGCTAGTAAAGCTCAGTGGGAGAGTACATGCTTTGTTTGCAAAAGGTCCCAGGTTCAGATTCTCCAGTTTGAGCTGGGAAAGACTCCTGATTGAAACTTCAGAAGCCGCTGCCAGTCCTTGTAGACAATGCTAAGCTAGAATGACCAATGCACCATCCTATATTCCTTCCTGTGATAGCATTATCAATGAGATAATGCATACAAAAAACTAAGTGTGCCTACATCCTAGTAAAATCAATGGAATCAACAGCTGGGTCCTACACCTATCTACTTGTGAGTTCGGTGGGGTTATTCCCAAGTATGTGCTCATGGGTTTGCAGCAGTACAACAGTTCTGACATCAAGCTAGAACTAAAAGCTATTCAAAGAAATGAATTAGTAGGAGATTCGGGGGAGACAAAATACTTTCCCACACAATCATAGAATTGTAGAGTTGGGAGGGACAACGAGGGTCACCTACTCCGACTCCCTGCAGTGCAGGAATCTTTTGCCCAACATGGGGCTTGAACCCAAAACCCTGAGGTTAAGAATCTCATGCTCTACCATCTGAGCTTTGCATTGTGGATGGAATTTGCTGCCCCAAAATGTGGCCTTGGCAAATGGACTGCATGTGCGCCATTCCACTCATGCAATGGGATTTCCTCTGCCCTCCCTGCACAACCCCAAATCCTGCTCCAGAGGGGTCATCCAAACCTTGCGATCACATTTTGAGGGTTTGCAGGCCGCTGCAGTGGGAAATTCCATGCAGCAAGCAGAAGTCTGTTGCGCAAGCAGAACAGGAGAGTTGGATGCAACCCAGTAAGTCTACCAGTGACTGCCATTCTTGATATGGATGTTCCAGGTTCAGAGGCAGAATACCAATTGCTGGGGTGCAATAACATGGCAGGCTACTGCTTTTGGTGCCTTGTTTGTCAACTTCCCAAAGGCATCTGTTTGACTCTTGTGGGAAGCGGGATGCAGGACTGCGCGGACCTTTGGTATGATCCATCATGGTACAGTGACAAACCTAGACAGCATCTTAAAAAGCAGAGACATCACCTTGCCAATAAAGGTCCGTATAGTTAAAGCTATGGTTTTCCCAGCAGTGATGTATGGAAGTGAGAGCTGGACCATAAAGAAGGCTGATCGCCAAAGAATTGATGCTTTTGAATTATGGTGCTGGAGGAGACTCTTGAGAGTCCCATGGACTGCAAGAAGATCAAATGTATCCATTCTTCAGGAAATCATCCCTGAGTGCTCTCTGGAAGGACAGATTGTGAAGCTGAGGCTCCAATACTTTGGCCACCTCATGAGAAGAGAAGACTCCCTGGAAAAGACCCTGATGTTGGGAAAGATGGAGGGCACAAGGAGAAGGGGACGGCAGAGGACGAGATGGTTGGACAGTGTTCTCGAAGCTGTCCAAACTGAGTTTGACCAAAGGAAGGCAGTGGAAGACAGGAGTGCCTGGCATGCTCTGGTCCATGGGGTCACGGAGAGTCGGACACGACTAAACGACTAAACAACAACAACATCGTGGTGCTCCTAGTGCAACTGACTGCAAAAGTAAGCAAGCATATGCTCATACTGTAAATGTGTTCAGGGTTGCAGCCATTTAACTGCATTGGTTTATTTCAGGGGGATTGTATACAATGAATTTGAAACGATTAAAGAAAATATGAAATAATATCACATAAAGTTTATTCCACACAAAAAAAAGTCTGTGGTTTGTATGAGACATGTCCTCTGAGAACACCTTTTAAAATCCAAATTCACATGAAGCCTCAGTGGCAACTGTGCACCTATTAAAAAAACCAAGTAGAAAGTGTTGTTAGTTACATCTACTGTCTGTAGCTATGTTGCTGCTGGAAAGAAGGAAGAATGCCAACCCAAAAGTTCTAGTTTTACAGTTGGAATATAACCCAAGGTTCAGGGACCACCTGTAAATACACCACAAACCACAGTTCGGAACTTATGTACTGGGGCAAAGCACAAGACGGCTATGAGTTAAACATCTGCCAATTTCCACCATCAGCTAATACTTGAGGCCTCAGCCAAAGTAATATTAGTATCTACTATTTTCCTTTTATGCGTAAATAGTGTGCTTCCAAATGTGAACCCTCGGTACTTTTTGACTTCAACATGGGCAGGCCGTCTGCTAAATTTTTAGTGGATATCATCTAGGAGTTCAGCCATACAGAGGAATATTTGAACGTTTCCAGGTGTTCTGGATCCTGATGGGGCTATCGAGACATATAAAGGATTTTTCCAGTGTAACATTTTCCTCCAGTGAAGTGCTTTTAGAGTTGATTCAAATGTCAGAGCATTGCTGCTCAAGAGGATCTGTGGCTCAAGGTAAAAAAGTCAAAAGGCTATCTGCTGTTTCATTTGTTTATGTGTTTTGCTTGTCATTGGCCACTTAGCATTTCGTACAGATGAGTAATTTGGATAATAGAGTTTTAAATGCAATTATACAAATGGGCTTTGCCCATTACGCTATTTAATTTCCCCTCTGATGCATGTTAGTTAAGTAATTTTAACTAATAGATTATATAAAAAGGGAAACATTCAAGCTCATTTCAGCTACTCAAATCCTATTCAAGTTAGGTATAAGCTAGCTGGATAGCTCAGTTGGTTAAGCGTGTGGCGCTGACAATGCCAAGGTTGCAGGTTCGATCCCTGACAGCTGCATATTCCTGCATTTCAGGGGGCTGGTCTAGATGATCCTCAGGGTCCCTTCCAGCTCATAAACCTAGCTGAATGCAGGGTTGTAATCTTCATGTCCAAGAAGGAGTCTGGAGTGGGTAATGCACTGTACAAAAAAGATTATATTCTTGGGGGATATGCAGAAGAGCATTGAATAATCCCTTTGTGATTACACTTGATTTGGGATCTAGAATGGCTTGCATTTACATAGCTAAAGCAGCACCGGCCTCTGCAATGCACCAGTTCTGTTCTGCTTTCCTACCTGTCATTTGCAATCCTAATTTATAAGTGGTTATCACCAAGCACTCAGCTAACCCTGATGTCAATCAAATTCAAAATTTACTTGCAAGATTGCCTTAGCTCACATATGCCAACCTGACTATTTTGATGTGTAGAACTGGCATTGTTAAAGGTGTCACATAATAATACTTATTCCACATTTATAAGGAATCAATATTTTAGTGTTACAGCAGTCGTACTCTGGAACTGCCTATTGCACTCAGACAGGCACCTTCCCAGCACTCTTTTCGACTTCTGCTAAAAATGTTCTTTTTTTAGATAACTGTATCCAGACATGTAGACTATTAACATGTGTTTTAATATGGCTTTTAGTTTATTGTTGGTTTTAATTATTGTTTTTAATGTTTTAAATAGTTCTTCTAACTGTGTGTTTTTTTAACCGATAATTATGTTGTTTTAATCTTTTTTAGAACGGGACGCGGGTGGCTCTGTGGGTTAAACCACAGGACTTGCCGATCAGAAGGTCGGCGGTTCGAATCCCCATGACAGGGTGAGCTCCCGTTCCTCGGTCCCTGCTCTTGCCAACCTAGCAGTTCGAAAGCACGTCAAAGTGCAAGTGGATAAATAGGTACCGCTCCGGTGGGAAGGTAAACGGCGTTTCCGTGTGCTGCTCTGGTTCGCCAGAAGCGGCTTTGTCATGCTGGCCACATGACCCGGAAGCTGTATGCTAGCTCCCTCTGCCAGTAAAGCGAGATGAGCGCCGCAACCCCAGAGTCGGCCACGACTGGACCTAATGGTCAGGGGTCCCTTTACCTTTAATCTTCTTTAAACTTCTTTGAGGATTTATTACAATCGAGTGGTATATAAATCTTATGAAATAAATAAATGTTCCCCAATCCCTTCTGAATCTCTGAGAGTTAATTCCCATTCTTCCCAATCTCACTGCCTACAGTTCTATTCACACTTATCTGGGAATAAGCCCAGTGAACACAATAGGACTTCCAAGAAAACATGTGTACTATATGATTTTCCTGCATGTCAATCATTATCACTTTCACACTTGATCCCCCTTTTTCAAATGAACAGGATTGTACCAGGTCAAACTACTTGTCCAACTGCTCTAGCATTGTCTAAACTCACTGGTAGAGACTCTCCCAGATTCCAAATACATGGACGTGTCAAAGATTGAACCTAGCACCTTTTGTGTGCAAAGTACATAATTTACCACTGATTTTAGCCATTCTCCAAAGGAAATAATATAAGAACCGCTTATACCTGGTCAGACTATTTTCTCATCTAGCTTAATATTGTCTTCTCTGACTGACAGCAGCTCTTAAGCGGCCAGGCATCTTTTAGAATAGCTGCTGCCTTATCCTTATAACTGGAGATACCAGTGGCAGAACCATGGTCTCTGTGGATTAATTATCTGTACCTTTTTTTTAAAAAAAGTAAAGCAACTTAATGAACATTTTTTGATGCATTTCTCTATATAAATTGTATTCTTATTATATGAACCTGTTCTCGCCTGATTCACAAAGCTATACATTATGATTGGAACAATAATGTTTGCTTTCTGTCCTTATTCTAATCCCTGACCACTTGAATGGCACAGTGACTCAAACCTTAGTCCTCCAATCCATCTTCTCTAGGTTAAGTCTAGATAAGTCACTGAGATACCTCTGAAATCATTTGAGAATTGAAGCATGTAGGATCAATCCAAAGACAGGTAGGAGAGGAAAAGTGGGGCATTGCCTGCAGCTTTTGCCCAGCAGTTCCCACTGCCTAAGAGGTTAGCTGCTTTCTAAACTGAACAGCGGCTTGTCTCTGGCAGCGGGAATTTCTGGAATGAAAACAAGAAGCTAAGCTCTAGCCGCACACATAATTCTTTCACACACACGTGTGTGTGTCCAGTTGTTCCTATATTTTCTCTAGTGAACTTGGCCTTTTTCCTTCAGACCCGCTATAGAGATTAATTGCTTATCTACCCTGTCTAATACTTTCCGAAGAAGTATGCTCCATGCATGTTGCATAGTATAAACTTGACAACAGTGGAATAATCTATTTCACTTCTGGAACTGAATTCAATGTGCTTCTGGCAAGATAGTTTAATTTGGATCATTGTGCAGATTCCCATGTGTAAGCCTCTACTGGGCTGACTTTCAAAGGAAGAGAGAAGTTATAGCAGCTAAAAAGCCAGCTCCTCCTCCTCCTCCTCCTCCTCCTCCTCCTCTTGTTTCCCCTCCCCCATTTGATTTGATATAACACAGACAAGGACAATTGAAAGATAATGTTTATAATGAGTCATTTTGAAAATTATGAATTTGAACTTAATGCAGGGGAGTAAAAAGGTAAAGGACCCCTGACCGTTAGGTCCAGTCGCGAACGACTCTGGGGTTGCGGCGCTCATCTCGCTTTACTGGCCGAAGGAGCTGGCGTACAGCTTCCGGGTCATGTAGCCAGCATGACTAAGCTGCTTCTGGCGAAACCAGAGCAGTGCATGGAAACGCCGTTTACCTTCCCACTAGAGCGGTACCTATTTATCTACTTGCACTTTGATGTGCCTTCGAACTGCTAGGTTGGCAGGAGCAGGGCCCGAGCAACGGGAACTCACCCCGTCACGCGGATTTGAACCACTGACCTTCCCATCGGCAAGCCCTAGGCTCAGTGGTTTAGACCACAGTGCCACCAGCGTCCCTTTGCAGGGGAGTAGGCTATGATAAAATAAAATTGTTTTTAAATCCTGGAGGGAAAAGGTTGGGAGGATGTTGAGCCACGAAGCAGGTGACATATGAGTGTTGTTGTACTTAAACAAGCAAAACCATACCAGTCTTTTAAATAGCTCTAAATTACATACGACTGAACATTAAGAATGTGAATCCTCCAATGAGACAACAACAACAACAAAAAAGCAAAAGGACCGACTATGGAATCAAAGTGAAAACAGAATACTTCTGTCTTTTAAGAACAGTTTATGTATCATTTTTAAGTGACAATTGTCAGGCTGCAAGCCATGAAACAGCATAAAATATATTTAAATCCTGGTTAAGAAATTGAGGAAGTAATAGTGGAAGGATATGAAAGGGAAAATCCCCAGGATTTCCTTATGTGTGTTACCTCCAGTTTGAAACACTGCTTTAAATAAATTAGTAGGAAAAAAGTTTATGGTATGTTGTAGCTGTTGACTATTGTATGCTGCAGAGCTTTCCAAATTGTGTGTCGCAACACGGAGTACGTCGGCTGCAGTGTGTAGGTGTGTCGTGCAAACGCTCCCCACACCCCTCCAGGGGCTGGAAAAGGGTTTGTTTAACCTCCAGTCTGCAAGTAAAACTGAATTACTATGGCACGAAATGATGCATGTCTAAAAACTGTGTCACCAACGTGAAAAGTTTGGAAAGCTCTGGTATATTGTAAACTTCTTAATATAGATTCACTACGTTTTTACTCAGCACTATAATTTGTGGTTTCTTATTTTTCTCAGTTCAGTGTTGAAATATCATATGCAGGAATGGAGTGAGAATTGCTATGTGTTATGTGTAAGCTGTCATAGCAGAGGCTTTTCTGACCTTGGATTCCTTTAAAATCTAACTGTGGCACAATACATGGCTTACTTCCCCCGCACAGGCCACCACTGAAATGAATGGAAATTGCACAAGAACAGTTTTAACAGTCCTAAAGGTCAAGGTCAGAAAATATGGCAATAACCAAGATAATGTGTGTGTTTTGAAGCCTGCAACACTTTTCTTTCATCAACATTACATCATTCGTTTTGTGGGGATCCAGAGACTCTGGTTTGCTATTGGAACCATAAAAAAACACAAGGGGCTTCTGATCTCGTTGTCTCAATGTAGTATGAGGATTCACTCTTGAAGGATTTATAGAGATGTGCAATGCATGTACTTGTTGTAAATTATGCAAGACGGTGCTTAGCTCATTTTGCCACCTGCTTCACCTTTGCAAGGTAGTTACAGAGTTTGCAAATAAGTTTGTAATCTGTTACAGAACATGATTTGCATCCAGGGCCGGCCCACCCATGAGACAAGGAGAGGCAACCAGCCCAGGCAGCAGGATTCACAGGGCCAGCAGATCTGGCCATGGAATGCATCACCCAGAGCTGCTGCTGCTGCCACCATGGTGGCAGAGAAAAGCTGTATAAAACCTTCCCCACCTGTATATAGGTCCACTGAGGAAATAAGATGAGGGTAACCAGAGTCACGAAAAGGGTTCAGTATTTTCCACCCCCTACTGTGTGGCAGGCAACCTGTATCTAAAAGATGGCATTTCCCCCATTGTGTGTATTAAATCCTGATTGAAGGCAGGCTGAAAGCACCAGGGTCACTTCAGGAAACAAAAACTCATGAAGATTCAATTTGTCTATTTTCAGACAAATTGAAGACAAGACAAGTAGACAGGATAGCTGGCTCTGGCGTGCATGTGTGTATGTGTAACCTAGATAGCTGAATATCAGCCAGCTTCTCGATGAGAGTTGGGAGATTGTCTCCAATAAGTATCACAAAGGATAAGAAAGGACGGTTTCCCTGAGAAAACCTTGAATGTAACAACAGAAGCAAGAATGGTACATAGAAGACCTTTAATGAGAGGTAGCCCCTTGAAATAATCTTACAGAGCATAAGAACAGTTTGTTCAAACCCTCTCCAGCAGAAGCAAATGCACTGGGTTGCTTATGGGAGGGAGAGAGAGATAACCCAGAAGAAAATGTATTAACTTTTCATTGTTGTTGTTTTTGAAGGACACAATGTTAGGAGAGAGCTATTAGGAAGGAGAAACTGGGTTTAGGAACATGACGTTCTTGCCGCAACCAGTGGAGTTACTGAGGTTTAGAAAAGCGCAAGCTTTGTAACAAGACACTTTTCATCCATGCTAATATGTGCATAGATATCATGGACTGGCTGGACACAGAGGAATGGGGGGAGGCACCAGTTGGGGAACCCCCAGGAACAAAGGCTCGGAGCCTGGAGATAGGTGGCGGGATGACAATGAGTGGTCAGAGGGAGAAGGAGAAGCTTAGGAGGAGGAGGTAAGAGGTAACAGGGTTTAGTGAGCAGGGAGAGTCTGTGGTAGAGCAGTCCAGAAGCAGAAGCAAAGGTAGAAGCAGGAGAGGAGGGAGACCAAGAGGCAGAGATTATTCAGGCTGGTGAAGAAGCCAGGGTGTCTCCCCATCCTGTGGTGACAAGATCCCCTCCCTGCTGCTCTCCCAAGACCAGAAGAGGTATGAAGAGGGAGGAGCAGAGACAGATGCATAAGCAGAGTCTCAGATTGCTTGGGAAGGACCTGAGGAAGGAGGAAATTTAGGCAGCTGTGGAAAGGTGGGGGCCTTCAGCCTCCACAGCTGCCTCGTGGGGCAAGACCTGCCAAGAAGAGTTGCTGCGCTCATTAGGCCTGGTGCTCTTGAGCTGACCTTGTTTCTTCTAATAAAGATTTTACCTGCCTCTCCCAGCTTTGTGTCATCTACAAATCTGATAAGCATCCCCTTTCTTCCTTCACCGAACATTCCAAACAAGTTGAAGGAAACAGGGCCTAGGGCCTTCCTATGTTTAGAAAGAGAGTGGGAATTTAGCTATTTACCATGCTGCCACTTTGCTGAAGTTCACTCCTCAGCCAAGAAAACATAAACATGGACAAAGGGGACTTCAAACCATCCTTCTATATATTCCCAGTAAATAATAGCAGTTTACCCTGGGTGGCTATCCAAAGTAAGAATTCTTTACATTATGAATTTTGGGAGCTGCCAACAGCTGTAACTCTGTAACGTTTTGAGCCATTCCACAACAGTCACCTCTGTATCCCTTGTTCTCAGCCACTTGTCCCTTCCCTTCGCTGCCTGCCAGCATTTAAATTCCAAGCCAGCAGGATTTATAAAATGGCCTAGATAAACAGAGAATCAGCAATGGTCAGCTCCCCAATCAAAGTAAAGGTGCTGTTGCTCTAGAAAGCCTCATTAGGGTAAACCATGAAGTAATAGCTGCAAAATAGCCCCACATTTCTTGGGTGTGAATCGCCTCTTCACATATTCCAGTTGCATAATTTCCAATTTAAAGTTGAGATTGTTCACTCATGCAACTTCAGGCAATTCATTCTTACATGGAAGTAAGTCTCACTGAATTCCCAGACATAGCTGTCAACTTTCAGATTTGAAAATAAGGCATCAGCAGCCTCACCTGTTCCGGGGACAATCTATGGGATATCTAACAATCCGGGATAGCAGCGGGAAGCAGCTGGAAATGGCGCTGGAATAAGGAAATTTCCCGCCAAAAAAGGGAAGGTTGACAGCTATGTTCCCACAGCACTTCTGATAAGCCTGTTTAGGGCTGCAACCTTAGGCTGTGTTGGTTGGTATAAATCTTAAAGCCTCCATTATAAAATGCATCTCTTCAGCATCAGTGCAATGATATCAGCAGTGGGTAGTTCAATCCTACTTGGTCTGGGTGTTTGAGACAGTTCCCCAAATCTCACACACAAAAAAAGAACTTCCCATGCATCAGCTGATAAGCAGGGGGTTCAACCCTGCTTGGCCATTATTTGCTGCACCCCACAGGGTGGGGTGGGGGGATTGACATAAAAATCTGTCCCACTATGCCAAAAAGGTTCCTCACCCCTGATCTACAACTTATATGAAGAGGTCTAAACATAAGCAAGTAGTATCTACATTATATGGCACACATATACAAAATCCCTCAGGAATCTGATCACTTTCCCTAAGAAAGTAGGTGCCATCCTTCAGTTACATGAACTTGAGAAAGACTAATTACTGCAGGTTGGTGACCTGCAGTATTTTACTGTTGTTGGGATATTATTTATTTATATTCATTTATTTCATGGCATTTATATGCTGCGTTGTTGTTGTTTTAAAAAAATCCTGAGAGAGGTTGTATGTGCCTCTAACATTTTGATGATAATTCTGGGTCTCTTCATTTATTGTGTCGATCATTTAAATGAGCTGAAAACAAACATCTGGGATCTGGTCTTTGTCTTTACCTTTGTCTCACTTCAGGATAACTTAGCCATTACCTCATAAAAGCAGCACTGGGTGGAGTTCCCAAATCACAACCACCACACAGTGAGGCAAGAGTAACCCAGACCTGTGTGACTAAGTGTCTTGTTCTAATCGTGTTTCATCAGAAGAAATTCCCACCTATTTCAAGGGAATACACTTATGTTTACTTGTTAAATGTTTATCTTAGTCATTGAACAGCCTACAGCTGGCCCTGGATCTGTGGTTTATGCTGCTCTGCCTCTGAAGGAGTGTTGAAGGCTTTTCCTCAGAATAGGCAGAAATGACTAAGGTTTTTCACAGATTGTTGTGGTTGCCTCATCTGGGCAAACTTTTACACACCCTTAATACCAAACTCTTATTTTCATCAATATCTGTTACTAATTGGCTTAGTATAAAATGAAGAATCAAAGTAGGGAGGGAAATAGCTTTAAAACCAGCAGTGCTAGAATTTTAATGCACTGAATAAGAATTGGCCATTTCATTTCCTTCTGTATTTGGGAGACTGGCTCATTTTAAAGAACAACCATCTATATAATGCAGGTGGGTGGGGTTAGCCTATGTTGCTGGTGTTAATGTTTAAGCAGTCTTGGACCAAAGTACAGTAGTACCTCGGGTTAAGAACTTAATTTGTTCTGGAGGTCCGTTCTTAACCTGAAACTGTTCTTAACCTGAAGCACCACTTTAGCTAATGGGGCCTCCCGCTGCCGCCACGTGATTTCTGTTCTCATCCTGAAGCAAAGTTCTTAACCCGAGGTACTATTTCTGGGTTAGCAGAGTCTGTAACCTGAAGCGTCTGTAACCCGAGGTACCACTGTACTTGAAGGATTCTTCCTCCAATATGACCCCTTACTTGGCCCTTTCCCATGTTCCCTGCCCTGTACATATGAGAGGGCCTTTTCAGTGGTTGACTCCAAATTCCTGAACTGTCTTCTCCAGGAGGTCCACCTGCCTTTCTCTTTCTCATCCCCCTGGCAGAGGCTAAAAGTCATGTTATTTTAGAGCACCTTAGGTGCTATGGCAATCTGCTATTGTTTTAGAATATTTGTTGACCACCCATTGGTGATTCACACATTTTATTGAATACTGTGTGAATCATCTAGTCCTGTGGTTCCCAATTAGCTAAGTACTATGGGCCTCCTGTTTCTCAAAAACCAAACCATAGACTCCCTACTTCGGGGGGGGGGGGGATTGACATCTCTATGGCAGTTTTTGTTATGTGAATGGTATCACAAACCCCCTGGGTGGGTTACACATTAAAATATTAAACCACCAATAAAAACTTTTAAAGACTAATGAATTAGCATTAATAAACCATTAAATAATAAACATCTAAAGCCAATCTTTCAATGTCCTGCCTAAAAAACAACACAAGCAGCATTACCACATTTTAAACCCAGCAGACATATTTGCTACTATTTAATTTGCTGCTATTTGGTCATTTATCATTTAAAGCCACTTTGCTGCGACATTATGTTTTAATTCTCATCTTATGCTTTGTTTTGTTTTTAATTATTTTGCTTTTCAAATTTAAAAAGTTAGTATATTTTAATATATAGAAACACAGTATAGAAATGCTGTACTTTAGAATGAGCACAATAAATAAATGTTCACCAGGATAACTTGACAATGCAATGTCTGAGAACTGTTGATCAGTACAGGATTGGAAAACACAGAACAACAATGAAAGATTGGTTGTCTTCAGTACTCATTCAAAAGGAGAACACTGAAGCCTCACATTCCTCTTGCAAAAACTTCAGACACCCGTGAGAAGACTAAATTGTGGCATCAGCAGTTTTGGTCCGTTTGTTTGTTTTACTTCCCTCAGCCCAGCAAGTCAGTCAGTAAACAACACTTTGACGTCTGCAAGTCACAGAGAGAAGGTGACGTTCTGTGAACAAAGCAGAGGGTCAGAACAATTGTCTTGCAACTAAATGTCATGCGTGACAACTCCTCCGTGGAGACACAGTACTCTTTTCAAATCACATGTTTCTTAGTAAGAGATGGGGAGAGACAGCGCAGATTGTGCTTTTATAAAGAATTCAAAACATTCTCACATGACTTACTGCAGTGGCTGGTGTGTGCTTGAAACACTAAGAGGAACGAAATGACTCCAGCTTTGCAAGTCAAGGGTGTGTAGCTTGTTTATGGGTTGCTGTAAGGAAAAAACAGGGATTGTTCTGCTGTAAGGCATTGGCTGAACTAGCAAATGCCTAATTTAAAAGAAAACTCAGTAGCTGCATGTTAGCCATGGTGCAATAGAGCTAAACCCATTTAAGCACGCCATATTTTGTGCTGGATTGTAGTCTTTTGCTTCATTTTGTTTTCCTTTCAGATGCCACAGGGCTAGTTTTCTCATAGTGGCGTCCCTGAAGGTTCAAGCATAGACCATACTTTTGAAGCACATGACTTTCCCCAAAGAATCCTGGGAACTGTAGTTTATTAAGGGTGCTGGGAACTGTAGCTCTGTCAGAAGGTAAACTACATTCCCCGAGATTCTTTGGGGGAAGTTGTGTGCTTTAAGTATATGGTGTGCATGTGACCTAAATGTGCTGATCATGCTCGCATGGACTTTGGATACAAGTCACACTGCCTGCAGAGTAGGAGGAGGTTGAAACTGGTTTGCCCAGCTTGCTGTATTGAAGAAGAGTTGGGAAACAGGAATTGGGTTTTTTTAAAAATAGCAGATGCATTTCAAAGCGCCAGTCCAGATCCCAGCCAATAAATTAACTTTGGGTTAATGATTTCAGATGTGCACCAATGTTGCTCTATGTCTGGTACTGCCTGTGAGCTGGTTCTGTACCCATATTACCTGCTTTACCTGTAAATTTATAGAACAATTAGGCTATTACAAAAGCACCACACATCTCCTATGCTCGCTCGTCCAAATGGAAAGGTGGAAGCATGGAACAAGCTGTCTAAGTGCAGAATTAGATCTGATACATTTCACCGGTGCTGGAAAAATTAGTGTTCAGTTATAGTTTCCTTCTACCAAGAATTTGTTTTGTGAAAAAAAATCCAATTAACTGTGCAAAACAACTTTATTTATCCAATAAGCCTGGGGTAATTCCAAAAAAATAATAATAAATATTGCTGCTACTTCCCCTGTATTTGGCATTTGGAGTGCTTTGTATAATAATACAAACAAGCAGAAGTTTAGGTCTTTGGGAGAGATATTTGCACAAACCGACAGTGACACTGGATGCTACTGGAGAAAAAAAAGGCTTGCATACAATGGGATTGGCCAGATTTGGACAAATTGTGTTTTATGTGTGTCCCCTCCCCACCCCCACCCCCGCCTTCAAAAAAGGTTGGGCAAAGGGATTTCTGAAGTACTTACCCACACCGAGCTTTCATATTATATTTTCCTTTTTTAAAAAACAACAACACTGTAATCCTTTATTTTTAAAAATGCCAGTAAGTTCAGTATGATATGAAACTTCCCATGTGATGGGACAGAAAGATGGAGAAAAGTTCTAACAGCTGACAAAGCCACAACCCAATATCCCGCCCTTCTGCATTCTTTTAAAAGTTATCCAGAGGTATTCTATTCTTCATGAGATGTATTTAATGAAATAACAACAATCTGCACTTTTGCAGCCAGGAACAGCATCGGCTCTTTTTCTCTCCTTAGCTAAAGAGAAGAGGCAGATTATGCTTTTCCAAACATGGCTTTGGACCACACAGACACAAAATACACAGCTGAAGGTAAATACTGTTACTGCTCCTGTTCAGGCCCTTCTGCAGCAGCAGGGCCAAAACCATTATTTATCTCTCTGCTCAGTTTCAAGTACAAGCCCTTTCCTTAAAGTGGAGGAGTCAGTTCTTTACCCTCTGAGATAGATTTGCAAAGTCAGCTTTCCAATAAAGGGAAACGAGAAAAAACTTATGACATGAAAAGAAAGGCAAACAGAAAGTACAGAAAGACTGGGAAATCTTTAAAGAGTATCTGGAAAAACATTACAATAACAAATATCTCCTGGCAGAAATAGAATGATCCTTGTAAAACAACAAATATAATGTCTTTTGATATCTGACGAAAATAAAGAAAGCAATACAATAATTTGGAACTGTGTGTGAAAAAATAGTAGAAATAATAACACAATGAGTCTAATTGGAAGTCAAATGGGTTTATTTTCTTTTGTTTTCTTTTTTCTTTTTCTTTTCTTCCCCCCCCCCTTTCTCTTCTTTTTTCTTTTTTGTGCCTCGCCTCCTTTCTTGGTCTTTCTCTCTTTGATCTGTTAAGAAAGAGATAGAGTGGTACCTCGGGTTAAGTACTTAATTTGTTCCGGAGGTCCGTTCTTAACCTGAAACTGTTCTTAACCTGAAGCACCACTTTAGCTAATGGGGCCTCCTGCTGCCGCCGTGCCGCCGGAGCACGATTTCTGTTCTCATCCTGAAACAAAGTTCTTAACCTGAGGTACTATTTCTGGGTTAGTGGAGTCTGTAACCTGAAGCGTATGTAACCCGAGGTACCACTGTAAAGAGATAAAAGTGTAATATGAAAACTTCAGTAAGTTAAAGGTGATGTTGTATCATTTTTCAATTACTATTTACATATTGTTAAAATTGGTTAATTGTAATGAATTGATGTAGCAATTACTGTGGTTTTTTCCTTTGTTGTTGTTGAATTCTAAATAAAGTATTATTCTTCAAAAAGAAAAAAGGGGGGAGGGAAAAAAGGCAAACATGGTCAAGTACAACATCTATGCCTCTTCTTTTCTGCGCCCCTTTGGTTGAGATTGCCTTGCCAAAGAGGAAGTGTGCAACCCCTCAGGAACTTTTCCCCTTGCCACATTCATTCCACAAATGAGATCTAAGGTCACCATGTTCTCCTGCTTTGGAAGAGTTTTGCTACATAAGAAGAGAGACTTCTTTCACTGAATATGAAATGTTTCCTATGCAAGGAATAAGGCTGATAGCAAGGTCTTCCTGCCCAATGAAAAATGTTATGCAAGGTCTCTTCAGATAATGAGAAGGCCTTTTCTGTTCCCAGGTCAAACAATGCAGCCACACATCCATATCAGAATATCCCCCCGAAAGAGCAACTCTACATGAGGCTTGCCTAGCCTAGATCACATCACACACACACCCCAGCCCCCATGACATGCTGACATAGAGGTCACCAGTAAACCAGAATTTTGAGAAGTACCACACTTGTCTTTCTTATGCTCCCGGATTGTACTATTATTACCGGTAACAACTGGCTTGTCTTCTCTTCACTGTTCCTTTATAACAGGGGTGGGAGGACTTTTCAAGACCATGGGGCACATTTCGTTCCATGCAGCCTTCTAGGGGGAATATGTCAATAGTGGGTGGAGCAACAGGTGTAAAAAATTTCCAGTTGTACAGTAGGTTGGTTTCTACACACCCTTACCCTTCTCTATCCTCCATCCATCCAGGCAAGCCAGAGGCATTATCAGAGTTCAAGGACACATTCCAGCCAGGCAAAAAGGCTCTAGAAAGATGGGAAGCAAGGTCGGTGGGATGTGTTGTCTATGGAAAGCAGTTGTGGCTGAGGAGGGGCAGTGGCCTGGGAAGAGTTCCATATTTGGCCCCTGGGACTGAGGTTCACACGCCTGCTTTATATTTATTATTTATTTGTTACATTTCTATTCTATCCCACTCTTCTTCCTAAGGAGCACAAGTGGGAAAAAACAAATTGCCACACCCCTTATGTGCCTGCAGTTGAAGTCTGAAAGAAACCTACGTAAGTATAGGTGCAGGGATCTCCTCTGCAGCTGGCAATGCTGATCTCTCAAGGCTTCTCTCTCTCTCTCTCTCTCTCTCTCTCTCTCTTATTTAATATTTTTAATTAAATTTTCCATTTTAACAATCCAATCAAATCACATTAAGTATTCCAAATTATACAAATACACATCATATAGTCCAAATATTCTGCCAAATTATAAATTTTTATTGGGGCTTCCCATGCTTCAAGTTCAGTGGGGTTCCAATCATCTTATGTTTCTACTTCCTTGAGTTTCCAATAGTTCCTTCTTTAAATCTTCCTGTTGTTATCCTTCCTTCTTTCGTGGCCTCTGAGTGTTTCCACCGGCGAGTTGAAATAAACAATAATGTGCTTCTGTGTGAAATTTGTATGACTCTCCTTTTTTTTTTGCAGCTGGTAAGTCTGCTGTTTGCAGAATGTCCTCACAGGCTGGTGTTTATACCGAATCAATCCAAAAGTCCTTCTCTGGTGGCAGACGCCATCTTCACTCAGTTCCGATGAAATAAAATCTAGGTGTTTGCTCATTAGATCTCTCTGGGCTTCTCAAGTGTGTAGAAGAGTCCTGCATGCATTCCACTGTATGTGTGCAGATCCATTCATGCTAATGTTGAGCATGTGGATGTCCAGAATGTGGCCAGCAGGTGTGCCAGTTTCAGTGGTGAAGCGTCAGGGATGTGGCCAGCAGTCACAGACTCACTTTCCCCTCTACATGTTCCTTGAACAAATGGGGGAAACATGTGAAGAATGCTTTCGCTTGCCTCTGTTTCTCACAGCACTGCTTGTGAGCATTGGAAGACATTATGTTAGCTTGATCAATAGAGACAAGAAGCCACCATCAAAAATTCCTTAACTTATTGAAAGGCATATACTTTCATTGCTGGCTACTGAAAGCCATTTTTCCCCACAGACTCATTCAGTAATTCATAAGGTATGTTTAAATTTGCTCCACCTGGGATTCATCATCTACAGAAAACAACTCTTCATACTTCTCTGCATGCGTACCATCTGGAACCATGGCTTTGCCCCAAGAAAGGCTGGCTTTTGCTTTCACAAGGAAAGCTAGCCTCCATAGAATATGCATTTCTGCCAAGTCCAGCCAGTTTCATTGCTTAATGCAATTCATGATAACATGAGCTTTAAATCATATGCTGTATGCTCCCATTTGCAGCACTATGTTTATATGTCTATGACTGTTTATGGATCAATGATATTGGAGTGATGTGTTTGTATCATAGAGTCTTTAAAAAATAATAATAGCACAGTTTTAACAACAGAGCTACAATTCCCAGCATCTTTTAAAATTACTTTCCCAGGATTCCCTTGGGAAAGTCATGTGCTTTAAATGTATGGTGATCAGTGATCAGTCCTTAACATTCAGCAGAACTTGTGGGAAATAACAAAAAAAAGTTGACTTTTGTTTTCTGTTTGTTCTTTCTATCATTGAAAATCATTCCCCATTATTTTCATTTACTGCTGAAATGGGGTACCTTAGACTAAAAAGGTGGAATAGAAACAGGGCTGTGTTCTCATCCCGACTATATTTGTCAAATACAGTGGTACCTCGGGTTAAGTACTTAATTCATTCCGGAGGTCCGTACTTAACCTGAAACTGTTCTTAACCTGAAGCACCACTTTAGCTAATGGGGCCTCCTGCTGCCGCCGTGCCGCCGGAGCACGATTTCTGTTCTCATCCTGAAGCAAAGTTCTTAACCTGAAGCACTATTCCTGAGTTAGCAGAGTCTGTAACCTGAAGCGTATGTAACCTGAAGCGTATGTAACCCGAGGTACCACTGTATTCTTCTCCCCGTTACTCTCTTATGCCTTCAGGTCTACTGAACACAAGTGTGTACTGTCAAGGAGTGATGGGAGTCTGTTCAATCTGGCACACCTCCGTTCCAAGACAAAAGTGTGGTGGGTCCTTATCTGAGCGGTGTTGTTTCCAGATGACGCAGCCTTGACAGCACACTCCAAGGAAGCCCTACACTGGCTCATCAACTGTTTTGCTCAAGCCTGCAGGTACTTTGACCTTACCATCAGCCTGATGAAGACCAACATCTTGGGTCAGGATGTCACCAGCACTCCATCCATCAGCACTGGTGATCACATACTTGAGGTGGTAGGCAATTTTGTCTACCTAGGTTTCACCATAACCAGCAACCTCTCCATCAATACAAGTGTATTGGCAAGGCAGCTACGGCAATGGCTTGCCTCTCCAGAAGACTATGGGAGAATGTGATGCTAACATCCAAGATGAAGGTCTACCAGGCTTGCGGGCTCAGCATGCTGCTTTATGGAAGTGAGTCATGGGCAACTTGCAACCATCAAAAGTGATGCCTCAACACCTCCTATATGTGTGTGTCAGGAATGTTATGGGTATCACATGACAGGGCAGAGTTTCAAACAAAGATGTGCTCTCCCAAGCTCACATTCCCAGCAATCCTGTCTAAGTGACGTCTATGCTGTATTGGTCATGTCCACAGAATGGAAGATGGCAGGATCCCCAAGGTGAAGGACACACTTCGTAACAACTCTGTATTACAAAGATGTCTGCAAATGTGACAAGGCAGCTGGCAACATCCATGTGGGAATCCCTTGCAGATGACCACAGTGCCTGGAGACAGAGAGTTAGGTTGTGCGTCACTAGCAGTGACCCGAGGAGGAATGACCACTGGGAGGAGCACACAGAGAGAAAAACACCATGGTGCATCTGCAACAGCATGACTGGACGCCTTTATCCACCCAGCTGCAACAAAGCACGCCGCTCCCATATCGGTCTCTACAGCCACAGCAGGTGCTGCAACCTCCCGACAGTTAGACTTCATTCCTAAAGGCGTACCCTTCCATTGTCTCCAGAGACAGACAGAAGCCAACAATAGAAATAAACAGGAATGACTCATCTTTTAATTTGGCTATAAACTGCCCAGAGCCCTTTGCAGACGAGGTCAAAACCTAAATGAAATTAAATATATCGGGTTTTTTCTTCTTTATTTTAATTTGCTGCTTTACCTACAGAAGCAGATCAGGTTTTTAAAAATTCATCCCAGAAAGTGTCTAGAGTGCTCTAAAATCTTCCTAGCATATACAAGAAGGGAAATTATTAGAAGAAGCATCCTTTTTATAGTGCAGTAATTTAAATCTAAGAGGTTAATGAAGATATTCAGAGCATTTGCAAATAGACTTTTGGCGGATCCATGGAAATGCCAGAGTATTAGATTTTACTCAGTGATAGATTTTACTCAGTGATCTTACAAAGCCTCTTATCTCCTATTCAGAAAAAGTGAATGTAGAACTAATAAGATGGGCCAACTAATCTTTTAAATGCCAATAGCATCGTTTCAAGATGCATACAACTGTTCAATGGAAAGGCTTGATTTCAGCCTGGGATTAAGAGTTCCACTGTGCAAGCAGAACTCACATTTCTTAGGAGCCAGCCCAGAAAATATTGTATATTACACATTTTATTCCATTTCTCTCTCAAAAGCTTATCAAAAGCTTAGGGCAGCACAGTAATGTCCCCATTCTATCCTCAAAACCACCCTATGAGGTAGCTTAGGGCTAAAAGGGAGGTGGTCATTAGCTGAAGAACACCCAGTGAATTTTGTGGCTCAACAGGGATTTGAACTCAAATCGCCCTGGTCTGAGCTCCAAACTCCGACCAATACACTATATGCTCTGTTGAAGTATACTAGCAAACACACACACATACAATCATTTTCACAAAGTTCTTTCCTCAAGTGTTTCCTATTTTCTTCAGATCAAGTTTGTGAATTATTCTACAGGAATGTGATGTGAAGGGAAACTTCCTTCCTTTATGTTTTAAACATTACTCGAAGAGGATTAATTCCAAGGAATCTGCAATGATATCTATTTAGGAAGCTTTTTATTGCTTTGGCTTTCATCCCTAAAGAAACCAACACGTGATTGATGCTTTCCATCAAATTCAACTGCTGACACCCAACCTATGTGCAGCAAGTTAGCACTGTAGTTCTGTAACTCAATATTGCGCATGTACGTAAGAACACTTAACACTTTATTTCAAATACAGTTGCTATAGCTGTTAAATATCACTGATGCCTTCTTACAGAAGCACAAGGATAAAACTTTTCATTAGTTCTAATGTTAACTGATCTACAAAAATGTGTGGCTACATACCTTTCGCCAGGTCCATCTTATACTGTGCTCATTCTGTCAAATGATTAAAAAAATCAAAATCAAAATCCATGCACTCTGATGGGTAGCATTAGCAAAATGCAACAATATCCATAGTTATTAGGAAATGTGTAAGTATAATGTTTTGTTTTGGCTGCAAAACCATATTGCTAGCCTCTATGGAGAAAAGGTAACCTATTCAGAACAAGCTAAACCAGGCATGTCCAAAGTCCATCTCAGGGGCCTAATCTGGCTCACTGGTCAATTTAATCCAGCTAAATTTCAATCCTAAAAAAAGTTCAACAACTTTTGTTGGCCCTCACACATGTTCACTTCATCAAATCTAGCCCGCTTTGAAAAAAGTTTGGGCACCCCTGAGCTAAACAGATGGGATTAAAAAAAAAAAGAAAGGACCCCCCCCCCAATGTAAATCAGATGTCCCAGTTTCCTGAAGTGCTTTAAAATATTGCACCAGATACGTTCGGCTTACCACTGCTTTGCACATTACTTTAAATACATCCATGAGACTATGCATATCTACTGCATACATTCCATTGAATTAAACAGGACTTACTCTAGGAAGTGTACATAGGATGCTGCCTTAGCTCCCAAATCAAAGGCTACATGCATTACTTCTTTGGAAGTATATTAACGTGGAGCCAGAACTGGGACTGTCTTAAATCTCATTTATGTCGCTTGCATAGATGTTGCTTAAAGTGATGAAAGCAAATTTGTCCTGCCTGACATGCTTAATTGAAAACAGGTTGCTCAAAAACAAAAGGGTTAGGAAGTGTACATTCATTTTGATTGGTCTTAAATGTCCGGATATCGGGGGAGGGGGGGAATCACCAATAGATTTACATAATCAATTCCATTTTCTTACTGAAATAGTCAATTTGCCAATTAATATTCAGCAGGAATATGAGACTTTTTCAGCATAAGCTATACATGTCTACTCAAAAGTAAGTGTCACTGATTTTAATGGGACTCACTCCCAAGTAAATGAGCAACTGAGAGAGGATTTTAGATGCTAAAATCCTGTCTGAGGGTAAGAATTTGTACAGAGCTATTCCCACTGTCCCCAGGTAGGTTTGGAAATAGGCATTTTATGAGGTTTTATAGCAAGCCGGAAATTTAACAAACCACCCCAGTGGGATCTAATATCGTTTCGGATGACAAGATGGTAACCTCTTTTTACTCACACTCAGTAAAACCATCTTTTATCACTTGGCCAAAGCTTTGCCCTGTGATACAATATAGAATAACTCTAAGGAACATGAGAAGGTTATGAAACAATTTCCGCTCAGTAAGGAGAATTTTTTTGACTTAAACAATGACTCCATTCTCCATCCCTTGCAGATAGCCGTTCTAGCTACTGAACCAATATGTAGCAAATATGGAATTGTTTGTGCTTTAGTCTAAAAATTTACATAGCTATGCCAGATAAAGGTGAAACAGACATGTTTTGCATTAAACGTGATGTGGATATTTGGCTCCATTTGCCTTCTATTCACTATGTCTGTTTTAGTCCTAGCTTTCTTCCTAGGTTCTCTTCCCCACTATTAAACTCGCAATTAGTGATGCAGTTATGCAAACTACAGTTCCCAGGATTGTTTTTTGGGGGGAAGTCATGTGCTTTAAATGCATATCAGATGTGCTTTTGATGTGTGATATGGATCTTCCCTTACTTTTAAACTGTGGTAATGTATTTCCCTCTCCTCACACCTTTCCTCATTTCATGCTTTACAAATTCTACATTCCTGATATGTTGGGGCAGGGGAGGGGGAGAGAGTTGGCAACTCTGATAAAAGCCTCTAATCATTTGCAAAGTTTCATATTTAAGGCTGCAATTTAACCTTACATATCTAGAAATAAGTTGCATTTAATTCACTAGGACTTCTGAGTAGATATGGTTAGGGTCGAACTCTTAGGCTACAATCCTTTAGCCACTTGCCTGAGAGTAAGTCCCATTAACAGGGCTTACTTCTGAGTAGACATGGCTAGCGTTGCACTGTTAAGCTCACATACATACTGTATATTTAGTTCCTGTCATGTGCTGTTTGCGTAGGTAGTCTACCTGCAGATGTACTTACAGTACCACTATAACAACAATGATGGCAGAATTCTGACTCAAAAGTCTAGCCTTGATGGTGCCACAGACGAAAACTCTCTGAGGCAGATGAGGCTGAAAGATAGCAACTGGCTCAAGATAATGCAGTGAACTTCACAACTGAGCAGGGATTAAAAACCTGTGTCTTCCCAGTCCGAGGTCCGAGTCCAACACCTCTCTAAGGTGGGTCGCTTCCAGCTTCCCTGTCCACAATAAAGATTAGAACTGCTGACACACACAAGCAAAATAAGGCACCAAAATATGAATGGGACACTACAATGAAACAATTCTCTACCTTTCAACACACACTTGATCCAGCCACTAGCAGTGCTCTGTTTATATAATCAGCTGATCTGAGTTCATCACAGTCTAATTTTGTGCCATTAGTTCTGATATGCTTTTATTCATAACTATGACAGTAGGACAAGATCTGTATCCGTCAGTAAACACATCATGTCTTTTACGAAATCACATCTCTTATTTACTTAAATTTGCAGCATGTGCCACATTTTGGTCTGATGTGCACGAAGACAAATTGTGAAACTTATCGAACACACACACAAAGCAAGTGTCTAAATTTTGAGGCCCCCTTTGAGCTTGAGATTCAGGCCAAATGGTCCTTCTGTCTTTCAACACCAGCCCATTGGACACCACACCAGCTTTCCCATCTCTTTCACGGCAATAGAGTGGTCTCGTTGAGCCAGTTCACTCAGCTTTTTCTAAATGTAAGCAGCAACTTCTAGGGGTTAGAAAAATGATCCCTGTGGTGAGAGCAGCTTTGGCTGCCACATCAATGAATGGACAGCTCACAAAATATGTTTCCCTGCGTGCGTGCCTGCCCACAGATGTCCAGGAATGGATCTCTTTGCTGGGATATAACTATGGAGTCAACATGCCCATAGATGCTACGAAGATATTTACATAGACACGTGAGATTTAAGGCACATCTGCATGGTAGTTCTGAAGAGAGACAAGTATACGCATGCACAGGGGACAATAGAGTAGACCATTTTTATGTTTCAAAAAACAAACAAAAAAAACCCTGACTCCCAGGCCAAAGTCAGAAGATGGGAGGGTATGCAGAACTAGGACAGAACTTGCAAGGCTGAAGGCAGAGAATCTGGATTGAACCTCTCAGATCAGGGCAAAGCCATGTGATTCAGTAGAATTTATTGGCACCAACCCTTTTGGTTTAGCACACAAGCAATGAACTGGCAAGAGGGAATGCCCAAGTCCTGTTTTTCTTTCTTTCTTCTTCTTCTTTGGCGATCACTCATCACCGAGTAAGACTGTCTTCCACAAACAGGGTTTTAACAATGAGTCCGTAAGTGTGATGGCCTGGGACTCGGGCTCGGACTCGGAACCAGAGAAGTCTTTGCCTCAGGCATCATCTGAACCAAGTCTGGGGCCTGATCCTGAAGAGTCCCAGTCTGCACAGGTTCCCCTGCAACAAACACCAGCTGGGCCGAGTCAGAGGCCTGAACCTGCCCTGGCTCCAGATGCAGGGATTACCTTGTTGCCTTCAGCTGGGCCACTACTGGTTTGGTCAGGGGAGGCTGAGGCGGCCCCTGGGTCTAGTAACCCACCAACGTATCCCAAGCTGCAGAGACTAAGGTCTGAGAGAAGGAGAGACCTGAATACTCGCAGGAGGAGTGCTCACCTTTGGGCGAAACAGGGAGGTGAGTTGCCGGGGGATTAGGACCGGCCATTACCCTGACAAAGATAAAAGACTGTCGGACCCCGCCCCAGATTGCAGGAGTAACATTGCTGTATGCCAGATCCTGCCTGAGACCCTGTACCTGTCCTTGCCTGGTTTCCTGCCTCATGCCCTGCCTTGACCCTGTCGGACTGACTCCTAGTGGAACCTACAGATTCTGGACTGGACCTGGACTGTGGTTCTCGGGTTACCCCCGGGCCCAGCACAGTAAGTGATTGTGGAGGCCAGTTCTGGATCCACACGTCCTTCCACAGTGGGGACATTAGTTTCCGGGTGGGAGTTGATCACAGTGTGGATTTGCCAAGCATGCCTTCCTCTTGACACATTTCTCCCTTGTGTCCTGAGTTTGAGTATCTTCAAAGCCCATGACACCTTTGGTAAAGGCTGTTCTCCAACTGGAGCTCTTGCTGGCCAGTGTTTCCCAGTTGTCAGTGTTTATACTACATTTTTTTTAGATTTGCCTTGAGACAGTCTTTAAACCTCTTTTGTTGACCACCAGCATTACGCTTTCCATTTTTAAGTTTGGAATAGAGCAGTTGCTTTGGAAGACGATCGTTAGGCATCCACACAACATGACCAGTCCAACAAAGTTGATGTTGAAGAATCATTGCTTCAACACTGGTGATCTTTGCTTCTTCCAGTACACTGATATTAGTTCGCCTGTCTTCCCAAGTGAGGTGTAAAAATTTTCGGCGACACCGTTGATGGAATCTTTTGAGGAGTTGGAGATGGCGTTTATAAGTGGTCCATGTTTCACAAGCATATAGTAAGGTTGGTAGTACAATAGCTTTGTAAACAAGCATTTTGGTTTCCCTGCGAATGTCCCAGTCCACAAACACTCTGCACTTCAATCGGGAGAAAACCGCACTTGCAGAGCTCAAGCAATGCTGGATTTTGGCATCAATGTTGGCCCTTGTGGAAAGATACCGGTAACTGCCTAGGTAGGAGAAGTGGACAACCTTTTCCAATGTTACACCACTGAGTTGGATTTGTGGCGCTGCAGAGGGGTTATTTTGTACTTGTTGGTGCAGCACTTTGGTTTTTTGGATGTTGAGTGAAAGGCCAAGCTTTTCATAAACTTCTGCAAAGATATTTAGGATGGTTTGGAGGTCATCCTCTGAGTGTGCGCACACTACGTTGTCATCAGCATACTGAAGCTCTATGACTGAAGTTACGATAACCTTACTCTTTGCTTTCAGCCTACTCAGATTAAAGAGATTTCCATCTTTTCGATATATGATTTCTACTCTGGTGGGGAGTTTCCCTTCGACAAAGTGTAGGATCATGGCAATGAAAATAATGCTTCTTCATTTGTCCAAGATATTACAACTATTTAAATTCCATAAATATTATGTTTTTATGAGCACTGGAGGAGTATTTTCGTGGACCTCAGTTTAGCCCCTACTAGCCTGCTTGTTTGCTGTAAATGTTCCAGGGACTCAGAGTTAGGACTAAACTAAAATTATGTGAAGCTCCCAAGAAAGATGCAATGTTCCCATAGGATAACTTATGGCCTATATCCTGCCTCTAGTGATACAGATGTTGCCACCCACACTGGTCTCCCCATGGACTTTCCTTTTCATCTGCCAGCAGCTTCTGTGTTTTGTTTTAGTTGTTGGTTGGGGCTGCTGGAAACCTAAGGCAAAACAGAGCAGGGAAGCTCAGGTGGTCTTGGTTGAACTTGCATTCCTAGGCAGGGAAAGGCTGGGAAGCAATTCTTGCCAATTTCAGTATTTAATTCAAATCTAAATTCATTCTGCTTACATGAAGGATCAGTTCATACTGTGCCCTGTCAAGTCTGTTCTACATACAGTGTAATGCAGGAGCAAACCTCAGTTCACGTTGTTCCACATTTACATGCAGTATGAACATTTTGTACGGACATGCATCTATGTGTATATACACTCATGCAGCATCGTACAAACTCATCAGTTCACATGTGTATGTTGGACATTTTAGGGATGCATCATCATTAAAATTAGATAACACTATAGGCTATAGGTTGTAATGAGCCAGGAAAGAGGAGCCACAGAGAAGTCAATAATCCAGACTGATAAATTAATCAGGACCAAAGGACAAAACAGGAGGCAGGATAAGGGAAACCCCCTGATAGTTCTTCCTGTCCAGAAGGATCCAATAGCCAGCCTTGACAATGGGATATTGTCCAGAATTTGGAAGATACTCTCCCAATAGGTAGATGGTACAACATGCAGTTCAGTGAGTCATCACATGGCAGTCACACAAACTCAAAAGTCTCCAAGTATGAGCCAAGTAGAGGTAGCTCCAATTTTTTTTTATTATCAACAGTTGGCACCTAAATCATACAGTGACGAGGCAGTACGTTTTGGCAAAACAAGCACAGGATTAGAAGGCAGAAAACTTCTGAAAGGAGGGTTTAATGCAAGCCAGGGCTCAGCCTCAGACTGTGTTGTGACTGTGGTTTGAATGCCAGTCAACCTTGCTTGCTTCAGAGTATTACAAAATAATTTGTCTTAGCCGCACCCTGTGAAAAGGCATAATTCCAGAAATGTATGTCTCCCTCATGATGCCATCGTCCACTACATGGCCACGAATCCAAGATGGCTACTCAAGATGGCTACCCCACTGCCTTCCCCTTGACAATCCTTTGCCGTATGGGGTTTTCCCTCTGTGCATGAATGAATGAATCAATTTATTTTGGCATGATGTGTGTCCCCCCCCTCCCCAGAAAGGCTGATGGGCCCCATCAGGTTTATGTAGCAGCAGCAGACAGGCAATTTGGAAAGGCCCATTTGAATTTCCAAGAATGCCCCTGCTGTATCATTCTAAGGCATTGTGGGTAATTTAGCATGGTGGCTCCACATGGCTTGACATGGGAGATCAGCACAGTGGTGGCCTCTGCCATATTTCTGAAGCCTAGCTAGCTGCCCAAGGATGCCATATGCCAAGCCTGAAGAACAAAGTTGTGAAAACCAGCTTTGCTCCATTGATCTGTTAGGAGTCATCAGAGAGTAAGGGAAGCTTCTTCATTCTGAAATATTCCTAGCTGGCTAAAGAATACTTGCTTTCAGCTCTCCTCATACTGCCCAAGAAGAGTGTCCCATTGAACCATGATGTCACAGAAATGCAGGGGAGAGAGATCACCAAAGTTTAGGTGATCCTTTACTTGCATTTCTACAACTTCATTGTCCAAGGGACATTCCTCTCATGGGGAACAGGGGAAGTAAGTGTTTGTGCGGTAAGTATGTGCAATTCTATTTGTATCTAGCTCCATCGATTGCTGAAATGCAGTCTTTGGTGGAATCTACACACATGTTAAAAACGCTGTGAAAATGCTTTTAAAAAAAGTTTTGAAAAATATCTTGAATTTGCCATAGCTCACCATCACCATCTAGTGTCACAATTGTATATTGCGCTTTACAACACATTCAAAACGTTTTATTTGCAGCTGTATAGCTGAGATCCTTGCCATCGGTCCATGGGGGTAATACGGCAAGATAAGTGGGAGAGTAATTTGAGATGCAGACCAGAAGTGAACTGCCCTCATTAGCCTAAGGGAGCAACAAGAGTCTGAAATTCCAATGATATCCAGAGGACTGCCATACAGTCCCCAGCCCTGTTAAATAGAAGACATTGAATTTAAGTGAAGGTAGTCGCAGTGAAGCCAACATTACTAAAATCTTAAACCTACTGTTTCATTTTAGCTTGTGGGTTGAAGATGCCTGTGTTACTGTTATAAATTCTGCATCTCACACCCTGAGACTAAGGCTGAAAAGATAAAAGCATGAAATTGTTATTTTGTCAAAGCTTCACTCTTGAAAACACTCTTTAAGTGTATAATCACTTCCAATAACCATAGAAAATCAACACCATGTAGAACCCCCTGGATTCCATTGTACCCTTGATTTGTTCATGTTCTGCAATAACCTCAAAATTGATACTTTCACAGTGCTGTTCATATTTCCATTATAGTTTCCTGCAAAATGCCATACATTTCTCTTATCCAGCAACAGAAAAGACTACGAGGACATGAAATGCAGTCCCCTGCCTTCATTCAGAATCTTCCACATTCTCCCTAATAATTCAAACTACAGATTTCACCAGGAGAATACATGGTCACCCTAAGTTCCCTATATGAAGAAATGAACCCTGCATTCTACAGCTCTACGAGCCACTAGGATCTGGGAGATCCATGTTCACATCCCCAATCAGCCATGAGCCTCAATGGGGGAACATAAGCGAGAGGCCTATCTATTCCAGATTTCTATTTTCTTTAGCAATCAGATTCTTCTGGGAAGCCCCCCAAAGCCTCTCCTGCTGTTGTTCTCCAGGACCTGATTTTCAGAGACATGTTGTCTCCAATTCTGGAGGTAACATATGGACACCATTAGTTGGGTTTACAATATTTTACAGCCATTTACAGTCTTGGGACTATCACTACCTTGGGGCAGTCTTTCAGTTTATTTTATCACATAGGGTTGTTCTGAGGACAAACAAAGGAAGGAGACAGACTCATATCTACCATGAATTCCTCTGAGGAAGATTGAGATAAAAATGTAATAAATGACTAAAGCAAATAACTTATGAGGGAAGGCAAGACATTTCCCTCTGGAAAAACATGATTTGAAGGATGCAATCCTATGCACATTTACTTAGGAATAAGTTCCCAAACACACTGGGACATTCAGCTGAGTATATATGCACAGGATTGGGGTGTTAATCTCAAATACCAAAATTAGGCGACTTGAGTTACGAGACGGAAATTTAGCACTGATCTGCATCACACCCAGTACCCTTCCTCTACTTGGGGTTGTACCATCTGGGAAAACCTCCAATGAGTTGATTCAAAAAGTATGTCAAATAAGCCAACAGCGCTTGTGTTCTGCTGCTAACTCAGTTATAATAGTGAATGTACGAAAGTAATAGTGTTTTAAATTAATTTTGTACTTGGTAACTTGCACTGGAACCCAAATTTGTAGAGCCTATAAACGGTATTTGCATTAAAAACAACAACATGGTGAGTGAATGAGTTTGGTAGAAGATTGGTAAGAAATGTGTTAAAGATCATGGGTCAGATCACTGACCTTTAACCCATCACTTCTAGGATTCCTTTCAACAGAAGAAGAGGAGAACCTTTGGTTCCAGCCCTATCTTTTCTACACAAAGTTACTGGGAAAGATTCTTTAACTATTTGATGACACTGCCATCGTTCAGCCCCATCCCAGGTGCTGAAAAGCCTGTGCTAGAGGGGGAAATGGCACATTTACTTCTCCACATGTCCACATGTCCGCAAGTTACCAAGTACAAGGGACGCGGGTGGCGCTGTGGGTTAAACCACAGAGCCTAGGCCTTGCCAATCAGAAGGTCGGCGGTTCGAATCCCCGCGACGGGGTGAGCTCCCGTTCCTCAGTCCCAGCTCCTGCCAACCTAGCAGTTCGAAAGCACGTCAAAGTGCAAGTAGATAAATAGGTACCGCTCCTGCGGGAAGGTAAACGGCGTTTCCGTGCGCTGCTCTGGTTCGCCAGAAGCGGCTTAGTCATGCTGGCCACATGACCCGGAAACTGTACGCCGGCTCCCTCGGGCAATAAAGCGAGATGAGCGCTGCAACCCCAGAGTCGGCCACGACTGGACCTAATGGTCCCTTTACCTTTACCTATGTCCACACTGTTGGTGCAATATATATTATATATTAGACAGAGAATTTTAACAGAGAAGATCTAAGTTTGGGGTAAAGTACTCTTTGGTGAGAGAACTCCAGAAGTAATTAAAAGTCACAAAATAGGCAGCAAAGTTAAACATGGACTGCCAGACCTTTAAAATATTTTTCCCTCCAAGTGAGTTCCAAAATGTCCCCTTAAATAATTTCTTTCCAAAGTTTCCTTCTTCCCCAGTGTAGGAAAAAGACCACATGTTTGATAAATGGGCTATTTACAAAGTCCTTAAAGGTCAGAGTAACATGCTTCAGAAAAGTTGCACAGGCAGTAAAACTTAGCTTAGATACAAAGTGTTCCTAAATTATTGGTATAGGCTGTGGTGTTTTTTTTCTAGAGAAAAGGGTGCTGGAACACACCTTCCTCAGAAGACCTTCCTCAGAAGACCCACCCCAGAGCCCAAAGAGGATCTCTTTTGGCTGGGGTGGGGTCTACTCTCCAGCCAGAGCCTTGCAGAGGCTGCTCCGCTGAGGCATGGAGAGGCTTCTGTGCCCCACTGCACCTCTGTCTCACGAGAAGACCCTCTCCGAAGCCCATAGAGGATGCCCCCTTCAGGCTAATAATAATAATACCCCACCCATCTGGCTGGGTTTCCCCAGCCACTCTAGGCTGCTTACAGCACATAAAAAATTGTAAAACATTAGACATTAAAAATTTCCCGATACAGGGCTGCCTTCAGATGTCTTCTTAAAGCCAGATAGTTGTTTATTTCCTTGACATCTGATGGGAGGGCGTTCCACAGGGCAGGTGCCACTACTGAGAAGGCCCTCTGCTTGGTTCCCTGTAACCTCACTGCTTTCAGTGAGGGAACCACCAGAAGGCACTCGGAGCTGGCTCAGGGAGGGTCTTCTTAAGGGCTTTGCTGAGGTTGGTCAAGTCTCTCCACACACTTCTGGGGCCAGCTGAGAGGTGCCGGAACACTGTTTCGGAGAGTTCTGGCTGAAAAAAATGCCCTGGGTATAGGAACACAGAAATAGTTGGCGAGAGCCATGTGGTTGAGTTGGAACAACCAGCTCAAACCTTTTTGCACGCTGAGTACCATTTGTACAGGGTTCTCACTTGCACAGGGAGCCTCCACATATATAAAAAGGTATATGCTGCATAGGTTTATTATCATGCAAGGGGCCATGAAAATTCATGCAACCTTGAGGTAGGGATAAATACAGAGCCCCAATGAGACCTTGTTGGCTCTTCATTCCAGCAGTACCAGGAGAGGGCTTGTCCACATGCAATGAACTTGATGAACTGGTTCCACAGTTTTCAAACCCTCTTTGACTAATGCAAGCCCAATGCCTCCTGGGACATGCAGAACTAGTTTCATGGTTCATTATTAAACTTTTTGTCAATATATTATTATATCCATAGCCAACTTTTCCTCCAAGGCAGTGTGCATGGTTCAATTTAATCCTCACAACTCTGTGAAGTAGACTAAGATAAGAGTTGGTTTCATGGTCAAGTGACGATTTGAACCTGGATGTCTCTAATCCTAGTCTGACACTATAAATATGACACCCTACTACAGTTTTGCTGGGTGTAGGGATGGTTGTAGAATATATTTGCAGCCCAGTCATGTCCATATTTACTCAGATGTTCCATTGATTTCAATAGGATGTAATTCTACAGCAGTGTGCATTAAACTGCAGCCTTGAAATGAAACCAGTTCAGCTATGGTGATAGACCAAAACCTCTCTGGGCTTGGCAACTACATAATCAAACAAATAAAAGACCTCTTGCATCTAAAACTGAATGTAGATTTCATTGGCTACACCGTTGTTAAGGGAGGGATTGGGCCGAAGGAAACGTGGATTAAAAGTTCTTTCAAGACCTGTAATGCTGTAACACGTGAAAGATTTATGGATCTAAAATATTTGCCTGACTAAGTAATCTTGAACTTCAGAATTGCACTGCAGAGATCAGTTTAATGATGGTGTTTTCTGGCAGCAAGTGCAGCTCCTTAGGAGTGTTCTTTAGCTGACAGCAGCACCGCAGGCAAACACAGCTTGCACAACTGCATATTCATACCAAACTGGAGCGATGCAATTGGGCAAAAGTCATGCTCTCGGTTTTTACAGTTGCACAAGGAACAATTTAAAACAGACAAAAAAAGTTTGGCCTTGGAAGCAAGGGCTCGTCCCCATGTGCTGTAGCAAAAGAAGGAAATGAGCTGGAGGTTTCAAGAGACAGCACTGATGATGATGCAAAGGAGCTGACAAGGGCGTTTCATGTGAAGCTGCAACTTTTTTTTCATTTCACAGCTGCCCCCAACCTGAGAAAAGCCAGCCACTTTTCAGTTTTAAAAGCTGCTTTTCTCCTTTGGTGGGTTTTTTTTGGGGGGGGGGGTAAGCAGTTAAACATTCCAGGGAAAACTGGCTCCCAGCACTGTTCTGAGGAACAGGAAGGAAAAGCTTTCTCTAAAGTGAGTTCTTCAGCTCTTTGTAGGGCTGAAAAACAGCTAGCACTAGAGCACCATCTAGTTTCTAGCAAGAAAAACTGGCGCTAAACAAACTGCATTCACTGCCCTGCTCAGTATTTGACTACAGGGATTGAATAGGGTTGTGTGAGCAGCAAGCAGATATTTTGGAGGCACCAGCACTTTGTTTCAAAGCCTTTAGCATTTGGATCTTAACTCGTAGTAAAGTACCCTGTGACTACTGGAAACTCTGAGGGCTTTTGATCTAGGGGAAAATTTTAGAACCTGGCTCCAAGCTATATATTTAAAACAAGCCTGAAACTTCGCATTAAGGTGGTCACCTCAAAATCTATTTTCTTTCCAAAGGAACAGAGGCAAATGATCAGGATATAATGGTTATCTGGTGTGTTCAGTTCCTGCTATACATTTCTTGTCAATTTCTTGTAGATATAAACAAATAATAACAGTGATGATGATGATACCGTGTGACATTCATTTTTATACTATGCATCAGAGTTTGTTCCTTGAATAACTAACTTGCTGCAGTATTGTAAGTGCTCAGCCCCTTTCAGGATCTGGCCTAATATTACATGATAAGTAATAATCCCTGGACTGGTCAGTGACTTTGCCCACCAGCTGAACTACAAAGACAATCCAGGACTATTTATAAAAGTAACTGATAACAGCGAGACACTACCAGTGTCAAAAGCAGCTGTAAAATAGAGGGATAAACAAAGCCCAGTTAATAGAACAATTCAACTGTCAAATAGAATTCCAGTGATACTACACAAAAATAAAGCACCCCACTAAATTATTTAGATGCACCAATTAAGAGGTTGCAGTCATTTTTTAAAATGTGCTAGCCCTCATTTGTCACAATTAATGGGCCATATCCAATGTTGCAGCTCTGATGGCCGAACAGATACACACAATGGAGCTTCCTCCTTCTTTCCTGTCCTGTCTGGTCTGCTTCACACCCTTGAAATTAGCTCCTGGAGGCTGAGGGATCATCTGGAGCAGATTTTGGGGAGTGCACAGGAGGAAAGGAAACAGAATCCCATTGTGCCAGCAGTTCTAAGCTATTCAGTTCTAAAAAATAGGAAATTAAACTCTTAAATGTAAGAAAACAATTGTTTCCTGTCACATACATGACTCTTCCTGACTCCCTTATTTATTTACCTGGACATTTTAGTGATGGTTTCCTCTTAAATCTTCAATCTCAAGCAGGGGTGGTGAACCTGTCATCCTCAACATATTGTTGACCTCTAACAACCATCAGCTTCATGAACGGGGGTGGGGGGATGTTTTGTTTGGTCTAACAACATCTGGAGGACCAAGGGTTCATCGTCCCTAATCTCAAGGCATTTGTTTTTTTCATTCTGATTTTCATCCTGTGGCTAAGTGAGCCTATTTTAGGCGCAGTTTTGGTTGCAGCAGCTTCCATGTGTGTGAGAACTGGATCTCTCCCCCCCCCCCTTTTACCCATCTAATTTAAGACAAACTCTTAGCCTGAAGTACATTTCAGTTGAATTGTAGGAGATATTGGCTGAACTGTTTAACTTGGCATCCATCTCAAGGCGAAGTGGAACATTCTGCTTGATCACTTCCCTAAAGCAATACTCCAAATTTAGACTGGAATGTTTTTCTTTGCTTTTGCTGCACGTTTTTTATTATTCAAAACTCTGTAGAATTTTTAAAATACGGTTTTTTCCTTTTTGAAAAACAAACACCCTGTCTTTGAAACACTATCGTTAGTTGGTTTTGATGCACATAAATATATACCCCCTCCAAATATTAAAACATCTCAAAAGGAAGAGGTCAGTTCTCAAATTCATCACCCCAAGCTATTCATACACTTCACGCTAGATATGTCAAAAAGATGAATGGCTTGGCCCAGCATACCCCCTGCCCTAGACCACTCCCAGGAAGAAGGTTGGCATGTGCTGGGGAAATCATTCAAGCTGAAGGATTATTGGGGGTGCGATGCATTAAATTCTAAGGACTAGAACAGGCTTTCTCAAACTTGGCCCTCCAGATGTTTTGAGACTACAATTCCCATCATCCATGACCACTGGTCCGGCTAGCTAGGGATGATGGGAGTTGTAGGCCAAAAACAACTGGAGGGCCGAGTTTGAGGAAGCCTGGACAAGAAGCTTGATGTTGACGCAGACAGGGAGAACAAGTACAGAAAATCTAGCAGGGTGAGTTCCTCATTGTATTGGGATATGTGCATTTTTTTTTCCTTTTTACCATAAGTTTGTGGTTGAGAGAGCATGGTAAACTTAAGTAGAGCTTTGCATATGGAGCCATTCACACTAGTAGTTTTCCACCTTGAACTGCCGTTATGTGGTTGTGTTTTTCCCTAGATCAGGTTAATGCCTTTCTTACCTACAATAAAACATGTAAGACTATCCTGGTTATTTTGTTATTTTGTTTTGAAAAACAAGGCCAACTATAAAACACAGGAAGCAAGTTTTCAAATTATACAGAACTCTTCCTCAGGCGTAGGTGTCAAGTGCCAAAAGAAAAGAGCAACAAGTTTGATTTTAGAACAGGATGTTCCCTTGTAAATTAGATGTTCACTTTTAGCGAGAAATGTTCAATCCTAGGTTTGTTGACCAGTTCTGGGCAAAAATGAACGTTTGTGGACCTTATGTTGATTTAAACTCAGAAAAGAGGTGTGCCAAGTAATTAAAATGGTACCGTTTCAGCTGTAGAAGATTTAACGAACTGCGGAGCCTTTATTAAAAACACACACACCTTAATATTCATTAAGAGTCAAGAGGAGTTAATGGAGGTTCAAAGTAAACAAAGATATTATTCTTTCTGTCCGCTGCTATTCTTTAGCACTGGTGAATACAGGGCAGGTTTTATCAAACATTTTCACACTGAAGGTACTGAATGAGACAGAGGAGTCAGGTGCAGCAACTAAGGAGAACATATGTAAGAGGCAACAGCGGATTAAGGTGAAAACACACCAAAATATGGGCGTTGTCATTGTTTCTTAAAAGCACTCGTAGCAGCTTGGATGTTGATTACCAGCTCCCATGGCTAATTATTTACATATTTATGGTAAAGCTATGCTGCTCTTCTACCAGAAAGGAACTCACCTTTAAGAGGATCTGAAAGCTAAGATTCAATGAACAGAAAAAAGGGACTCCATTCTTATTTGAAATTTCTGTACAGTGGTACCTCGGGTTACAGACGCTTCAGGTTACAGACTCCGCTAACCCAGAAATAGTACCTTGGGTTAAGAACTTTCCTTCAGGATGAGAACTGAAATCGTGCGGCCCCATTAGCTAAAGTGGTACCTCAGGTTAAGAACAGTTTCAGGTTAAGAACGGACCACCAGAACGAAGTAAGTTCTTAACCCGAGGTACCACTGTACTAGGAAGAAGAATCTTCCAGTTAGCTGCTTGCCCAACGTAAGCAACATTCACTCTTCATGAGCAATTCAGCACACAAGTGCATGCTGGTAGGTTTTGCAAAAAAATTAATATTTGAACTTACTCAACAGTTTAAAAATAGATTTGGATTTGATCAGCAGGGCTTCACTACAAAGGTTATAGAGGGATTTATGGAATGCTTCAGGAGAGCTGTACAAGGTCTGATGTGACCAGTGGCCATCCATGCATGGGAAGGGGGCGCTGCATAAATAAGTATGTATATACACAGAGAGCCTCCATAGAAGTGCATGGGGAAAGGGGCTGCTGCTTTCCTTGCGCCACACGGGGGGTGGGGTGGGGTGGGCAAAGTCTTACACGGGTGCCTTTTCAGGAGGCAGAAGGAGCTGCAGTGGAAATGGGAGGGTTGAAAAACTCCTTAGGATCCCATTATATTCAAATATTGAGAGGCTAAATATGGTAGCTCTTCCCCAAGCCCTTAAAACAAGTAGCCACGCACACAGGAAAGCTACTTTCTTCTACTTAATTCAATTTATATACTGCCCTTTATCCACTAAAAATATAATTTGTATAACATAATAAAAAATAATTTTAAAAGTAAAAATTAAGTTATAAATCAATTACAGAAAAAATCCTAAGGCCCCCCCACATTTATTGCCTACTGACAAAACTAGTGCAATAATTTCAAATCACTTCTACATGTAGAGATCAACCGCTGCACAGCCCTTTTATTAATTTGTATACGGTGGTTTCGTTTGTCCTCAAATGCTGCAACATGCACCAACGACATTGCATTCTCTCCCTCTGTATTCTGGGGACTGATTACAGAAAACTGGAGACTAATGCGCAAGGAAGCAAATGTACACTTTGCAGGATCAGGTGGACATGCTATGAGTTTAGGACACTGGACTTCTGCTGGTGGGTCCCCAAAGCTGGCTTGAGTCTAAGTAGGTTGCAAAAGGAGAGCAAATAGGATTCAGATAGGTCAAAGTGGGCAGTGTGGGGGCAGCAGGAGAGGCACCAAGCAGAGGGCATCTTTAGGACAAAAACCTGCAAGTGGCCCCATATTATGCACTGGGGTCAATAGTAATCTCAGGGTTAATGACTTGCACCTCAGAACAAAATTGATACATCCATCTAAGGACATTGTAGAATTGGACTGTGGCAAATGACAAGCTTAAAAGTGCTTTCCTTTTAAAAAGTAGTGCCTGTTTTCATACAACAGCTCCGGCAACATAATATTGATGCTGGCTCAACACCATTTAAATTCAAGACCATGGGTAGGCAAACTAAGGTCCGCGGGCCGGATCTGGACCAATCACCTTCTAAATCCAGCCCGCGGACAGTCCAGGAATCAGCAAGTTTTTACATGAGTAGAATGTGTCCTTTTATTTAAAATGCACCTCTGGGTTATTTGTGGGGCCTGCCTGGTGTTTTTACACGAGTAGAATGTGTGCTTTTATTTAAAATGCATCTCTGGGTTACTTGTGGGGCATAGGAATTCGTTCATTCCCCCCCTCCCCAATATAGTCCAGCACCCCACAAGGTCTGAGGGACAGTGGACTGGCCGCCTGCTGAAAAAGTTTACTGACTCCTGTTCAAGATTACTGCAAGTTTAAAATGTTATTTTCTGGTACCCACAGTTAGTTTTGTGACCTCTCTTTTAACGTGATGTCAGCTTAAGAGCTGCAAGAAACTTTTAAAGATGCTATTCTTTTTGCCAGTGGTGTTTTTGTATTTTCAGGATATAGATTTCTGGCCATGGAAAATGCATATAATACAAGCGCCAGCAGAGGAAAAGACTCCAAGGGAAGAACACTGAAACCTCTTTCACGATGCCAATACCGTCAGCTGACCATAGAATCTGCCAAAAGGTAGAAACAGAACATAAATCTGCATGCATTTCATGACCAGCTCCATATGGCAGAAGTTAATCCTCACTTACTTGGCACCTAAAAAAATTCACCTGCATTTTTAGCCTTTTATTCAGGTTCTAAAAGTGTATTATCTAACTTGAACAACAGCGAGATTGAGAGCTTTCGAAGGGCACCCCGTTAGCCATTGTAGGAAAGGGGATGCTAAAAGTAGATAGATCTTTGTTCTAATCCAGCAGCTCCTTATTCATTTATTTCCCACTGCTTATTCTCTATGGTGAATACAACTGGAGAATGCAGACTTGCAAAGAAAGGGTCAGGGCTCCTAAGCCTATAGGCTGCATGTTTTCAGATGGCAAACCACAAGACATAAGAGTTCTCACTCTTCACCAGTTCAGCCTAACCAAAAGCTTTCCTTTCTTGCTTATCTTTCTTGACTTCAGTAGCACATTTACTACTGATGCACCAATCCTCTTTTAAACAGAACAGTATTTTGGCTTAGATCCCAGGGTCTTAATTTAACCTCGTAGATGAAATATTTCCTGTTCCTTCTTCCCTCCTGCAGCCACTGTGCCTCCTTCCCAAGAATCTCTCTGGAGGACTGAGGGGCCTCTTCTGAACGTGGGTTGGGGGCACAGGGAAATGCTGGAGATGGGGGGTGGGGTGGGGAAGAGAATTATTATGTAAACTTCATTTAGTTTAGATCAAGCCCAGATTTGGAGTATCCCTGCCCTTCCCAGCAGCCCCATCACATTGTTCTGAAGTCCTTCACCCACAAACCCTCCAGAAAGGTTTGTGGGTCACAGATGACTGCAGAACAGGAAGTGTTTCCTCTATGAACTTCCTTAAGTTTACTTAACTTAGGATCGAAGCCTTTAATTATTAAAGCAAGGAAAAGCACAAGAGATGTCAGTACACAATTCAACATGCTTGTTTTGCTGCAGTCTCTGAAAAATCCAACATCATTTAAAAAAGGATATGTCTCTATATTGGCTTCTCACTCTTCTGTATGTAGCACCTCCATAAATATCCTCATGATTCTGCCAGAGAAGGACATATCTTCATTATATATATATATAAAATCATTCCCAAGTGGAGCTTTTTGCCAACAGTGACCTCACTGCAGCAAGTGCAATCCTTCAACAACCCACTTTTCTATTTTATTATTTGATACGACTACTCATCAGTAAATATTCTCTAGGCAGCTTATAAACAATACAATATTAAAAATACAGTATTTTGTATTTTTACAAATAAGCATGTTTCGAATCAGACTACTGTATTTTCCTTACCTTTAAAATTTCTCTTACCAAGGTGCTCTAAACATTTCCTTTGAACTAATCCTGTACGATTATATAAATAAGATATGTAAAGAGTACTCCATGCAAAGCTCATTGGGTAGTTCTGATGGAGCACAGAGTGAATGCATAAGGAAAATCTAGCTGGAGGTGGTGGTCTTAGCCAAACATTTAAAACTTTGTTTTATATCCATTATGTTGGCTTTTCGAAAAGAGGGATGAATAAGAGGTTTCCTGTTGTTGTTGTTTAGTCGTTTAGTTGTGTCCGACTCTTCGTGACCCCATGGACCAGAGCACGCCAGGCACTCCTGTCTTCCACTGCCTCCCACAGTTTGGTCAAACTCATGCTGGTAGCTTCGAGAACACTATCCAACCATCTCGTCCTCTGTCGTCCCCTTCTCCTTGTGCCCTCAATCTTTCTTGTGCCCTCAATCTTTCCCAACAAAGAGGTTTCCTGCCACACCCCAAATATGTAAAGTTGTAAAGGATAAAAATGTCAGTTGCCGAAAATGTTTCATCTCAGCAATATGGATAAAGTTTCATTACCATCTTTTTTTGTATCCCACAAAAGCAGTTATGTCAATATATACAGAATAAAATGGAAGTCCATTTTGAACTGAAAATCATGAGCAACAAATGTATTTTTAGAACCATCAGACTTTACTTCTGGCGAAGCTAACACTTTCCAAAAACGTATTAAGTTCATATTAAACAAGAAATTAACATCTCATGTTCTACACTCTTCCGCAGCCTCAAAAGGTTTTGTACTTTGTTAAAGTACAAGGCACGTACAAAGTCTTTTCCTTCAAAACACAGCAGGTGTACTCCCTGAAATAATTCTAAAATCCTCAAAGCAATTAAAAATACTACAAACTTTGCATTTTTTTTTTTACTTAATTCCCACCCCCTACAAGACCATGCACATTTGGAAAAATGATTTAACAAGCACATTAAAGTGACTTTTTAATATATGTACCTGTAATGCAAATATATTGAGTTTGAGTATTTCTTATCCTGGATTACATTGTTAGCACATTGGATTCTCATTTATTTTCAGGTTACCAACTCCAGAGCCTTTGAGGATTTATAGATTTACGGACAAATCAACCCCACCACAAACACTGCTGGGGTTGAGTAACCCTCTCTTTTTCAAAGAATAATTATTCTTTCATCAAGGGATTTGGGATTACATATTGCAAGTGCTTTTTACTAGTTCATCTAGTGTCATAAAAATCTTCTAACTCCTCTTTTGGAAGAATATCTTTCCATAAAAACAAGTGAATTTAAGAGGTAGATTTCTCCATGATGCACTTATTTATTTCAAATAAAAAAAGAGAGTTCTCTTTAGAACAAAGATCACATCTTGAAAAAAAAAGCTTAGTACATTATTTAATACAGTTCAGTAAGAACAGTCCTAAGCAGTATCAGGAGCTGTTTGGAAACCAATGAATGCATTTGATGCTCTCTTCCTAGAACACTAGTCTGCCAAGAGTGCTAAATCCGCCTCCACCACCTCCGCCAGTTGGCCCACAGCTTCCTGGGGGGTCATTGTCATCAAATCCATTTGGCCGAAAGGAGCACGAAGCTGCAGCTGCTTGAAGGGCCTGTGTTCGAGCGCTAAGCTCCTGCTCCTGAAATAGACAAATAAACCTAGTTATGAACATTTAAGCTAATTTCAGAGTAAGAGGGGGGCACAGGGAAATTTGCACTTGGCACAGCTACACCAGTTTGTTCAGCAGTGCTGCAGAATGCTCAAGCAGAAACTCAAAAGCAGAAGCAAGTAACAGAAGCACCTGCTAACACTAAGCAACAGAGATTATAATCATCATCAATTAATTAAATTTATATACTGCCCTTCATCCAAAGATCATGTGCTAGTTTACCATGTAAATAATTTAAATTGTCTGTAACTTAAATGCTTTAAGTGGCAGGCATCATTAAAGGAATGAAAGCTAAATCAATTGTTACTTTTGCCACCCCAAAATTACTTTTTTAAAAATTGTGCCAATAGTTTTTGCAGATGTTATGCAGTCATGTGCTTTGAAAAACAGAAGAGACATTTAACTGGGGCTACAGTACATTGCCTTGCATGCTAGAGGTCCCAGAATTAATCTCTGGCATCAACCAAGGGGATGCAGATAGCAGACCTGGGAAGACAGAGACAGACAGACACAAAGACACACACACACACACACACACACACACACACACACATACCTGGAGGGCTGCTACTTGGTATATACAAAAGCTGCTTCTTGTGAAGCAGCCTGAGGACACCCAAAGCTATTTCAATCACATATTCAAACACTGCCCCACAAATTTAAGTGATACAAACTTTTAAAATGAACCCAAAGCTATAATTCTTACAATCCTAGCAAGATGATGAAAGCTGTAGAACGACTTCAAAAGATACAGGATGTATAATTCTCTTGCACATACTGGCCTGGTGATTAAAGCCTCAATACAATTTCCAGGCGATGATATTGCAATGACTGTTTCATGGTGTACACCAATGCTGTTCATTAAGCTACTAGGGGTTATTAAGTTCATCAAGTACAAGTGTTGCAGGAATTCTGTCTAGTTCTTTAGTAATTGTACTTGAGCAATGTTGAGTTTTGATGTTGCTTGAGGGAAAAACTAGCAGCTGAATCCAAATCTGCATGTACACCATAGGTTTCATCATAAAATCTGATAAGGCTGAAGCCAACTCCTTATCAGTGTAAACTTGCTCTTGCAACCATGTTTAGCCAATAAAAAGTTGAAGGCATGCTAATATCAGACCTAGCATTTATCCCAAAAGGTTTTAGAAGGTTGTGGTGTGTGTCACAAAATAGCCAATCGTTTAAGGAATACATTTTAAAAAGGAATAAATTCCCCTCAAATACCCTCAAGAGTTCAAAAATCTCCCTATTAAGCTCCACTATAAAATGTTACCTGTGCAAAATGGGTTTTTGAACGACATGTTTATGCAAATCAACTGAGTAATTCTACAGTTATGAAATTAAATGAATTAACTAAACTGCGTCTACAGATCAGAAACTATTTAATGCTGATACATCAAGGGTGGGGAGAATATGGCTCTTCAGATGTTGCTGGACTCTTAACTCCTATCCACCCCAGCCCCCATGGTCAACAGTCAGGGGTAAGGGAAGCTGCAGTACACCAGCATCTAAGGCCACAGATTCCCCATCCCTACGATACAGACTTCAGAAAGTTTAACAAAAATTATGGCTGGAACTTGTGAAGGATGAAGTGATGCAGAATCTTTAAATGAAACACATTTGTGTTTGTTCCTTTCCTTTGCGCTTGTTTAGAAAACATTAAACCACATTCATTTTTGCATCACAACTCTGCTTTGCGTTGTTAAGATAGTCATACAGCAAATTGAACTGCCAGATATTCCAGCTTTTCTCAACTAAATAAAATTCAAGTTGCATTCTACAAAAATAATGTTTGGAAGCTTTTAAACACCTCCTTACTTAATGAACAAAGATTCATCCATGAATTTTCAGTGAAAGCCATTTCCCCCTAAATCTTCACAGAAAACACCTGGTACTGTACAACGTATCATCAGAACTACATGTCTGCAAAATATTCACACTGAATGTCACATAGCATTCTTGTGGAAAGTATAATAATAGCCTACACAACTGAAAGATCTACTAGGTAAAGGCTCAGTTCAGACTTCACACTCAAACATGGCTAAGGAACCATAATAATGTTGGGTGAGATGTCTGAACTAGACAAGCCAGCTTACAAACTTGACAAGCCAAAAAACAATCTGAAGTGAGTCGCCAAACCATTGTGTGAAGAGATGTCAGCACTGTGCTCTTACCTCCAGAAGTGCCGCCCCATGTAGATGGAAGGGATCCAGCAGCTCAAAACCATGCAAAGTCTCTTGTATTTGTCTGCAAGCTACAGTCTTGGACTTATAACTATAGCTAGATGCCTGCATTAAGCTTTTACAGTACAATCATATGCATGTCCACTAAGAAGCAGTACGTCCCACTGAGTTCAGTTGTGCTTACTACAATGTTAAGTGGGTATAGGATTACAGTCTTAAGCCAGCTGATCACATTAGCAATGTCTGCACCTTACCTGCAAATATAGCTTATTGTCTTTTGTAATGGCATCCATAAGATCTTTCTGCAGAGGGGGATCTCCGTTGACCCAGAGCCCATTGGTTGATTTAGCGCTGAGTGTACTTGTACTGTTCTGTTTTTTGTAAACCAGCACATAAGCAGTGTCCTTGGGGAATCTGCTCGTAATTTTCTGGACTGACTGAAATGAGGTAAATGTCACTCGGCTATCATTAAATAAAAACCACTCCTTTGACACCTCATTTTCATCCAGTTCCTTTTCAGCAGCTGCAACGGGAGCCTCTCCAGCCATCAAGTTGCTTTGTGGATAAGCTAAAGCCAGACTTTGGGTTTGATCACAAGATCCTAATGAAGGCCCTGAACTGGCAACGTTTCGGGCATAAGAATAATAATGCCCACTTTCAGATGATATGCCAGAATGTACAACTACAGAACTTATAACATAAGGGACTAGTTGAGGGCAACACACTTCTTCAGCACCAGAGGGCTTGAGTTTTTTAGCTAGATTCTCACCAGTGTCAGAAAATTCAACACCCATAGACCACACGCCCGATACAGGACTTAAGGGTGACGCAGTTCTTTTGACAGGTAACTCCAGAACAAGCGGCAAAGACACATTGTCTAAGATTTTGCGCCTAATGTGACATTTGGGGTCGTATGAAAACCTTAGGAGAGTAAGAATGAGGTATTCTGGCTCTTCCACAATTTGCATAGTTTTTTCCGCATTCTGTAGAGAGGCACATTTTTCACAATAATATTTGTTATCCCCTTTAAGAACCTCGGGTGCCAGAAAATAATTCAGCAAGTCAGTAACTGAGGGAGTAGCTTCACTGACGTGTTTCCGCAAGCTATCCCTGTTCTCAGCCTTGCATGGAAAAGGATCTTTAGTGTTTTCACAGTTTGAATCAATGGGAGGGTCTTTTGAGGTCCCATCATTTGTGACCATTTCACAGCAATCACCAATTGCTAAACCATCAGCTGCTGTTTCTGCCACAGGACTGAATGCCCTAGTACTGACTTGTTCCATGCAGTCATCTTTTCCTTCAGGTGAATTTTCTGTACTTGGTGGGTCAACGTTTTCTAAGAATACAGGAGGACAGAAAGCAAGTGAAAGATCTGTGAAGGCTTCTTCTTTGTAAGAAGTACTTTTGCAGTTCAAACAACATATGCTTGTTTGCAGTTTCCCCCGAAACATTTTCTCTATTAATGTTCTTTCCTCTCTGCAAGGTTGTTTGGTAATCAGCTGCGTTTTGCTGGACACCTCCTGGACGACAGACTCTTCATTCATATCTTCTGAAAGCTTTCCCAAAGAAAGGGCTTTCAAGGTCCTCTCTTCTTCATGCAGCCTAAAGAAGAGAAATCAAATGAGATTATTTATTTCTCTACCAATTTCTCTTCACTGATTAAAGCATCACTGTTTCAGTTTGTTTATTTGTAAATATGTATATGTGGTGCTGTGGGTTAAACCACAGAGCCTAGGACTTGCCAATCAGAAGGTCGGCGGTTTGAATCCCCGCAACGGGGTGAGCTCCCGTTGCTTGGTCCCTGCTCCTGCCAACCTAGCAGTTCAAAAGCACGTCAAAGTGCAAGTAGATAAATAGGTACTGCTCCGGCAGGAAGGTAAACGGCGTTTCCGTGCGCTGCTCTGGTTCGCCAGAAGCGGCTTAGTCATGCTGGCCACATGACCCGGAAGCTATACAACGGCTCCCTCGGCCAATAAAGCGAGATGAGCGCCACAACCCCAGAGTCGGTCACGACTGGACCTAATGGTCAGGGGTCCTTTTACCCCTTTACCTTATATGTGTCTCTCACATACAAATAACTGTTGGTACCAGCCTTGTGATTTACTTTTTACCCCTAATGGAACTTGATCAAGGAAGGAAACTGGAGAGTTATTTAGTGTATTACATAAAAAAGTTTCCTGCATTAAAAAAAAAAAATCGCTTGCAGGGATTCAAGATTTTTCTAGAACAGACATAACTGCTGATTGCAAGCCAAGTTGAATGTCTTACTGGAAAAAATACGGTTAGACTACAGATGTAAGCACCAATGGCATGCATGCATGTTGGAGTTAAGAAGGGTAGTCAGCCATTTTGGCTTTGCAAATGCATGCTAATTAAAGAGACCAAACAGAACCTAGATCCCACCCCCCCAGCAGCAGTTCTCTACCACAGATATTCAGGGCCACATTCAATTAAACTAAGCAAGTCACCCTTGTGCAACAGGGTTGCTCCTCCTCTGAATCAGGAGACCCTCCAGATCCATGTGGGGGGAGGGAGACAGGAGCAGTGTTTGAAATTCTCCAGGCTCATTTTGCATCTGGCTATTGACCACTTGCTACCAAGTGCAGATGCCCAGGTGCCAGGATGGTGCCTGTCATCTCCACCATCTGGAGGTGCATGCCTGGGGATGCTTGGATCTTGATTGTTTTCCCACACTAGCAAAACATCCTGCATAATGCTATCTGTCATATTTTATCTGCACAATCAGAACAAATTTCAAGAACTCAAATGACATATTGAAAAATATGTTTGAGCCATTTGGCCCCAAAATGGCAACTAGGCATTCCATTTTGGTGACTGTAAGCCCTGGTTTAAGGAGCCATTTGGCGCCTAGCTTATATATCTGTGTTTCTAACACTGGAAGGGAGAGCATGTCATTTGGCAAGCAGAGATGCTTGCACTGAAGGAATGATCACAATATTGTGACACTGAATTCCTCCCTCAGTTCTGAATCCTTGAAGATTGGGAATACTGTTATACCTTGCAATTCTAGGTAAAACTCTAGCACAAAAGAACTTAGAAATCTGTGATGGTTATCTCTGGTTATTTTTCTCTGGTCAACAATGTAAAAAACACCAATGCAGATTTCGGAGCACTATACCTATCTAGCAGGAACCGGAGATACTCAGAGCAGTCCTGCTGGGACCTAGGGGTGAACCAGGGTGGCCTGGAAGCCTCAAAGAAAATCCGAGGAGCATAGGCTTCTCTCTGTATCAGGAAGCAAGCAAAATCAAGTGAAATGCAAAGTAATGACACCACTCTATGAAGCATTCCTTAATTTCTGCATTGGGACGCTCAAATGAATAGATTGCAAGTGCATGCAAGTATGACAGAATAAATCTCAGATATAAAAAACATACACGGGTCTAGTGCACATAGTTGTACCTTCAAATCTATCTCTTACATAAAAATAATCTAGAACTTAAAACAAATCTTTTTTCCTACAAAACATGCAAGTAGACAAACGGCTTAAAGCTAGAAAAGTTATATGGGTGTAGCAAGAATATGAACAGTATACTTTCATCCCTTTTTCCTAATCGTTTTGGTGCCTTATGTACAGTGGTTTTTTTTTAGTTGTACACAGCAGCCATACTTGGATGCTCATTTGTGACTTCACAAAGCAAGGTCTGAGAAGCTGGGAACAAATGTCTGAAACTGGCGACAATAAAAAATTGCCTCTCTGAAAATCTCAACTATGTTGGCTAGATCTTAACTATTCTGCACAGGTTTTTGCAACTTATAAAATTTCACTCGTGGAAAACAAGGCTATTCTTTTCTTTTGGCTTAGAAAAGCTGAGAATATTCAAATCTATAGGAAATATGAATGTGTTTTTCTCTAGGTACATTCTGGTAGAACATTTAGACAGATGCAAGTTTTGGATATTATGGCTACAATATTCAGAAAATTAAAAGAGTTACACACACCTGAGTATGAGCCAAAAATGCAAATAGATGTTGCAACTTTCTCATTAATGTATTGCACCCATTTAGATTTAAAGATAATACGTGCCTCCTGAAACTGCAAAAGAGAAAGAGATGAGATGACAATGGTTTCATGTTTCGTCATTTACACAGTGTTCTGATGGCGCAGAACAGATTTATCTGACATTAGCTTTGCTCAGTGTTTGCTTTTGTAATACAGAATGGTCTGAATGACCCAGCACACTATGGGCAATATCCAATACTAGTCCTACTAGAGTTGTTAGAATGAAATCAGTGAAATCTTTTTATTCCACTGATTTAAAGTGGTAAACTCCAAGTATGACTTAGTCAGATTATCAACCATTATTCATACAACACATACCTTGTTTTAATTCAAACTGGATTTTTAAAAAAAAATTATAGGAGGTGATAGTCTAAAAAAAAGTGGGCATTTTTCAAAAAACTCCCAATTGGTGATTTTCTTTGAGTGCATAAACATGTATCAGGGAACAAAGTAAACAATATTTTATTGCCACGATGACTTATGTAAATGGAATAATTTTTACCAATATTAACGTGAATACATGATGACATGCAGGATATAATGTGAACTCCAATATATTTGAGCCCAATGTTTGGCTAAGGAAAACTAATTTAGGCCACTGGACCAATTTTGCCATGTTACCTAGTTCTTCACTGGCAATAGCAAAACCATAATGATGTGCTCCATGAATTATTTTTTTTAAAAAATTCTTTAGTACAAACAAATGCCTGGGATTCCTCACAAGAGGAAGTTTAAACTTACTCTGTAGCCATGAATAATGCCTGAATCACACTGTTCATATAACATGTATTTCCTAAGTTAATCAGACCAGTCTTTCCCGTTTCAGATTTTCCAGAAAATCTAGACAGACAAGATTGCAAGGAACTGGATTGAGATGTCCAGGCACTCTGATTCAGTATCATTTTAATTTTCTCTTCACTGGGTTTGGGAAGGTCCTACAAGAAGGGAAAATTCAACACTGAGCAGTGAACAGCAACAACTTTAAGCACTTGTTTTCACAATATCTACAAAGCAGCAACAGTCACCCCACATTGTCCTCACAACTCAGGCTCTTTACTCATGGTAATGCTGAAAAAATATCACCGTTGTCTTTGTGAGAACTGACAGTACAGTTGTTTGGCCAGCCATCAAAGATTCACTGTGAACGCACAGCCAAGAAAAATTACTAGAGGCTGTGTCTTATCAACTCTAAAGATACTGTCAAATCAGAGACTTGTAGGTAATCTTTGATCTGTTCCTGCTATTTCTTTGCCACAAAGAGTGATTCTCAAACTGTAAAATGTAGCAAAAACACTTGACAGCCTCTGTTCACCATAAGATGCATTTTTTAAAAAGGATACCCCAACCAAAAGATACAACAGTCAAAGCCAAATATACTGCTGTGTGTGTTTTCTGCCTTTATGGAAGGAATTGTTCCACATCTTATGACAATGGTGTCACTATATATATATCGATTTGATCTGAATGAAAAGTGGCATAGAAATACAATAAACCAAATAAAAGTCAATGTATACATTGTTCCACAATGCACAACACAAAGGCAATAGAAACAACATTTCTGATCAGGAAATATCTTGGTCATTTCAAACCATTTCCACTATCACTGAGTTAATACATAGTGACTTTTCCCTTCGATAATCACCAATAATATTCAGTAACTCTTATGAAAATGCTCCCATAAAGTAAGGGTGCATATTACCATATTCTGCTTTTTAGTGCTTTTCTGGATTAAGCAACCAGAGATCTTATTTTATTTTTTCACATCTTCCTAGCCAGTGATTTTTCTAGTTCTACAATATAATCCAATTTCTTCCCTCAATCAAAAAATTCACTGCAGATTCACTGCAGAGCATCAAGACCACCCCTCGTTTTCAACCTGTAGCATTTAATTTATTTGCATTACCTTGATAGCTTCTAAAATAGGTTCATAGAGTTCTGGGAATCCAGAGTAATGATACATCATACAGTGTATTAGCTCACTCAGCTGTCCCAAAAATGTTGCACTGGAGGCAAGGCCATTGATTTTGAAAGATTTTACCAGCTTGTCCACATGAGGAACAATCTAATGTTAAGAGAAAAAGACCAAAGCATTTGCCCAAGTTCATCTGAAAAACTATGCTATTCATATCTACTTGACTGCAATTAATAACTGATAACCATTTTAATAGTAAGGGGCAAAAGTTGTAACAGAAAACCCACAATTCCATTAAGATACATAAATCAGGATAGACAGCAACATTGCTTTAGTAATGCATTGTTCTTCTAAATCAGTCTTCCCCAAACTGCTGCCTTTCAACAATTTTCGACAACAAAACCCCAAACAGCTAAAGAACAAATTTGGCGAAGGCTGTTCTAAATATTATGACTGAAACATTTAATGGCCTGTATTGTTTACTGTCACCCTGATAACATACAACCTGTTCCGTATTATATGAATTTAACTTGGTATTAGCTTGTAGCTCCATCAAGTGTGGCTCACCTCCACCTTGCCCATAAATTCAAAATCTTAAAAGGAATTCACAATCAAAACAGTATGAATTAGAAAATTCTTGAAAAGCCTGTATTCACAACTTTTTAAGCAGGCTGGCTACATCTTTGACTTCCAACAGAATTTTAGAAACATCTTTATTGAATTATGTGCCTTCATATTTCTATTTAAGTGAGAGGTGTTTCACTTCCTGCTGGTGGCAGCAGGAAAAAAGATGACGTAGACCCAGTGTTAGGGTGGGTAGAGGACCCTGATGTCCCCTACCTCTAATCTGATGGGTGCATAATCTCCCTCTCTCAGATGATGTAGAAAAATTAGCTGAGATGGTTGTGTGCCTGTGTGTAGCCTACACATTCAAGACTGTGGAGTAGCCACTGGCATGAAGAGCTCAGAGGCCAACTGTGAATTTGGCCCTCAATACAGACTGTAAGGTAAAGGTAAAGGTACCCCTGCCCGTACGGGCCAGTCTTGACAGACTCTAGGGTTGTGCGCCCATCTCACTCAAGAGGCCAGCGCTGTCCGCAGACACTTCTGGGTCACGTGGCCAGCGTGACAAAGCCGCATCTGGCGAGCCAGCGCAGCACACGGAAACGCCGTTTACCTTCCCGCCAGTAAGCGGTCCCTATTTATCTACTTGCACCCGGGGGTGCTTTCGAACTGCTAGGTTGGCAGGCGCTGGGACCGAGCAACGGGAGCGCACCCCGCCGCGGGGATTCGAACCACCGACCTTTCGATCGGCAAGCCCTAGGCGCTGAGGCTTTTACCCACAGCGCCACCCGCGTCCCAATACAGACTGTAGGAGGTGTTTAAAACATAACTGAACATTATGAACTGGCAGGAACGTTGAGGCATCTTGTGTGGCAGTGGCTCTGTCTAACTACCCTTGCCAAGTACTTGTGTAAGGGTAAGTGTGCAAGGAGTTCTCACAATTCTTAATATCTAGTTCTATTTGTTTCAAAACTTGTTTTGTACAATACATCTTCAGTACAGAGCAGGATAAAACTGAAGTTGCAATACACGATATAACTGGAAGGATAGATCTTATTATCTGCAGTACGGATGTGAAGTTGGTTATTATGGCTGGTTTACAACAAGCCACAAGACATTCACCCTCCAGTATGAACACAAGACTGCAGTCTAGGTTTTACAAAGAAAGCTATGGAAGTTGTTTGTAAGCAGTAGGTTTAAAGCTCAGACAATGAAAACTTACCAAGTGAAAAGCCTCTGGAGAATGCTGAAAACTAAGCAACATGTGAGAAAGGACAGCCAAAGCACCAGGTCTCACAAGAGGAAACCAAAGTCGATTAAAAACCTTAAAAAAAAACCAAACACATCAGAATTGAGATATTCTTCAGTTTTCATTCTGTATTACACAATATTTACACCAGTCTGGAATAAGCAGAAAAGCTGTTCTACAAAAGCAACCATACCTACCATTTCAATCTTAAGCAAAGTAACATCAATAAGGATAGTAAACTTCTGGACTGCAGCCAGCCCTTTCAAGAGCGCTATGACCCAGGTCTCCACATGCTGAGCCAATGGCCAGGACAGCCATTCAATCATTCTGAAAAAAGATGGGGTGCTTGTTAGTATTCCAGCCCAAAAAGAAGAAGTTCTAATTATTTAATTGCCCCACAGTTTGTGTTGGTTTTCATATTATGACCATCACATTAAGTCACACTGAGAGTCATGGCACTGCATAATTCTCTAGCCTTTGCAAACAACTTTCTCCAAGGTTCTGTGGCAGGGGGAAGTTCATTAGTCTCAGTACTCAAACTGCGGTACTACACCACTTAGAAAACAAGAATATATTTCATCAAGCTAATGGGAGCTTTTTCGTTTGGAGGGCTGTGTGGAATACTGTTGTACAAGTGCCATGAATGCTGATCAATGCTTTTATTCCCTCCCCATTTTCTGCCATTCTGTAAACATTTACCAATAAATGTCAAAGCCAACCAGTGGTCTTTATTAAACATTATCCTCATGTCCAAAGTTTTCAAATAAAACATTTATGGCAGAGATCTGAATTAAAAGAAGCAAGATCTCGACATAATGGTTTCTTTTTTCCGACTGGTCCTTGCACAATGCTAAGATATGCTAGGAAACCAAAACATTTAATGTAACATTTACTTTTCTTTAAGAAAGGAAAAAACCTCTATGGAGAAGCAGCAAGCACATATCCCTCACTAGTACAACCAACAGCCAACAAACAAGGTGACCCAGCATTCCTTCGAGTTTGTGATGCCTGCAGAGATGTTGCTGACCTTAGTAACCAATGACTTGGCTCAAAATATGAACCTTAGTGTCTCACGGTACTCACTTTCAAAACAAACTGAGTATACAACCCCCAACCCAGAAATAAGCTTCTTTTTTCCAACCTTATGATGTCTATGTTTTTGCGAAAATGACATTTCTCAGAATTCTAGGTGCCTAGAAGAAGGGAGAAATAGACACCCCAATTTCTTTCTGTAGTGCCAAGGTGGAGGAAGACGAGGAAGGAGAAATATTTCTCCCACCACCATAGCAGGAGCCAGATAAAGGATGTTGGAACTAGCCAGGATGGGAACAATTTTCTTGGGGAGGGATGAGGAAAATAACTCTTTCCAAGCATCTTGCACCTTTGCTCATAACTGCTGCTCCCAACCAAATCAAGCCAGGGAGAGCTCACCCATGTTTAGCTGAAAACCCTGTAAGAGACTGTGAATGCATAAAGGATGACAGGCTCTGCCAAGCAATTACCGTTTCTTCCAGCTCATCTAGATGCAGTCTTTTGTGATCGTTGACATTATACTACACCTATCCTCATATTAGTTCAAGAAGTAAAAGAACAGCCAACTTCTCTTTTTACTCCTCTTCATCTAGCTAACAAATATAAATGACTGCAGTTGCCCAGCTAGAAAGAAAAGGCAGGTGAAGCTGGCTGCCTCAGAAAGATTTCACTAACTGATGATGTATTTATCCTGTAGCCATGGGACTTGTCTCTTATGGTCTATAAGAGTTGTCAGCACTAAAATTTAACATGATAGGCAAATAAGATTTGTATGTGGGCTAGTAAAATACTGTGTGTGTTAGCTAGAAAATGTTGAGCACTTATTTGCAAGGCTATGTAAGTTATAAGATCTATGGCCCACAATGGTATAGGAATTTAAACAATCAAAACCAAATAAATCATTTTCAGGAAAAATAACCAGTTAGATCGCTAGGTTTACTTAGCAGCCTACCACATATGTGTTGATTGACAGATTGATGTTTGTCAGAAACTGTTGCTATTAACCATATGCATGTAGCGAAAACTTGCAGCCAGCACCATAATCTCCAAAGGCCCCGGAACGGCTACTAATAGGCTTAATGAATTCAGCCATTTGTTTGTTCTTAGCAATGTGATTAAGCACCATCTTCATCATTTCTATTTATTGCCCTTTTTCAGCACTTCATATCCTAGACTGGTATCCAGAATTTGATTTATTACATTTGCAGATTTCTAAATGCTGGATGTTACAACCATTGTCAATATTTGGAAAATACAGATAATCTGATGTTTAAGATTTCAGTAGCAGTTAGCTCTTCTTTCTAAGAAGAAGGACTTGGATCCAGAGATAAACCTCCTCAAACAATAAGACTTTCCTGCCTGTTATATATTGGAGTCCCCTGAAAAGAAACTCCTAAAGATCAGAGGACATTCCAAAATGGGACTGAATGTGGTGCAGGGGACTGAAACAGAAAGGACAGAATGGCCAGAAATCCCTGAATGAAAGCACCTTTGTATAAAAGATACTGAGATTATACTCAGCATCACCACAAGCTCCAAACAATGCATTTTGCAACTCAAGATAGATTCACATAGTGCTACTTTTGTCCGGCTAGGTTGTACAAAAATATATAGAATTGTTTTATCTCAATGAATGTACACATATTCATGCTTCATTGGAAGTAAATACCATTGAAGTCAATGGGACTTGCTCCCAAACAAATGCACATAGATTGCAGCTTTCATGTTGCTGGCGTGTACCCCATGTTCAAAATCACCTGTTTTTAAATAGCAGCAAATTTTACCCATCAACTTTCATCCAAAGGCCAGTAATTACTACTTGCTTCACAAAAGCTTACTAAATACTTAGTAACCAAGAAGAACAAGATTATGCTGCTGAAAAGAAACAATATCTAACTTATTATGACAAGGTTACTTCACAGGTCAGGTTCTTTGGCGGAAACTGTTTTTACTTTAAAAGGCAGATTGCTGTATTAGGATACCATAATAAGTTCTTTGTCAATGACTAAACTGTACCACTACAGATTTTCCTGAGTCACAATTTCCAATTTTTAAAGATTTCATTCGGTTGCAAAATGTGTTAATGGCATTACTGTTTTTATGGCTGCAATATCTGGCATCAGGGTTTGCATCCCTGATGAATCAGACAATAAAAACACACAACACAAATGCATGTTTATTTTTAGTACAAATATTTACAAAAAACATGGATGGCATGCCAGAACTTAGAAGAGACATTTTTCCTCTTCTCTCACAAAAGAAGGAACGCCTCTTCTAAGACTGTGCTTGCCACAACAGTGTCTAAAACATAGTCTAAAAACAAATGTTTTTTCCTCTTCAGAAAGTGTATTGTTCATTTACCAATTTATGCAGATTGAATCTATCCATTAAAACTCACATGATCAAACAGCTATGAGGTTTTCTATTTGGGTAATGTTGTCATGCTCTTTTCTAACACAAAGACTATACCTGCACAAAGCTTGAGTCATACTTGCATCTTTTACATTTGGATCTGTGGTAAGGCTTCCGATGAGCACTGTAATCATCTGTAATGGGATATGCTGCACAAGACTTGCCAAGGCAACTGAGGGTTCAAAATCTACAATAGACAAATGCGCAAGAAAGAAGTTTTATGCTTTGCTTGTACTCTTTTTCCTACTGAATTTTGAAACACATTTCAAGAATATATTAAAGTTCTATTACAACAGATTATTCAACATCTTAATCCATTCAAATATGTTTTTGTAAATTAAGCCCAGCAGAAGAATTTCTTCCTTTGGTCTGTCTTAGTATTTTCTAGGAATTTAAGTGATCAAACGAGAAGGAAACTTGGGTATTCCCCCACTTTCATCTCTTTGGGAGTAGTTTATCTGTATGTACCACATATCTAGCAACTTTTTGAATTCCAGAAATGTGTTGGTCGTGAACAAACATGTGTGGGAAAGTTAATAGCCAAATAGTTAATATTCTGGAACTGAGGAAACATATGAAAAGCCTCTGCTGGATTAGGCCAGTGGTCCATCTAGTCCAGTATTCTGTTCTCACAATAGCCAACCAGATGCCTACAGGAAGGCTGAAAGCAGGACCTGAGCACAACAGTGCTCTCCCTGTTTAAGATTCCCAGGAAGTGGCATTCAGAGGCATATCACCTCCAACAAGGGAGGTAGAACCTAAACCATTGTGGCTAGCAGCCATTAATATCCTTATCCCCTCTGAATCTGTCTAAACCTCTTTGAAAGCTCTCAAAGTTGGAGGTCATCACTACTTGTGGGAGCAACACTTCATAGTTTAACTATGCACTGTATGAAGTAATGTTTTATAAGAATGTAAGAAAGATGGTAAATTAGTTCTCTCTCTAGAGCATCAGAATTTTTTTCCAGTATAAACTGAAATATTTGTGATGCAAATTACTCTAATTTCTCTAGGAAAATTTCCAGGAAATTCACACCATTAGCTAGATTAAACTAATACTGAAATGTTTAAGTTAATAGTGTTATCCCCAATATCTGTTTCAGTTACAGTTATAACTTCTTTTTTTTATACTTCAGCATGCTGTAAGGTTAGCACAAGCCACTCTGACTTCAGCCGAGTTTCAAAGTTATCTAAAAGTAACCAAACAGCTAACCAAAGACAAAGCCTTTCTCTCTGCAAGAGTTGTCAAGGAAGAGACTCAAGCTGCTCTCTGAGTTTTGTCCAAACTTGGCTAACTATTAAGCACCGAATGCACAATGATTTTTGGCCCAAGAGGGAAGGACTACAAGGAAGATGTGGCTCCCTGATCTAATATCTAGTATGTCATGGACCCCTTGCTTTTTAAAACTTACCTACTTTGGAAAAGGTTACATAAATTTTAAGTGCTTTACTTAGTACTTTATCTACACTTCTTGTTGCCTTACACTTTGGCCCAATACAAATGTTACCTTTGAAACCCAGGAGCAATGAGCTTTTCCAGAAAAATGTGCAAACAAGAACACACGAGAACTGAAGATAAAGCCATGACTTGCTCTTGCATCACCACTCCTTTAACTAATGCAACCATAGAGCTTTGTTCTTGTTTACACATGTTGCCAAAGCTGCCTAGGATGACATTAGGGAGAATGCTGCTCATGTTGTACAGTGGTACCTCGGGTTAGAGATGCTTCAGGTTACAGACTCCGCTAACCCAGAAACAGTACCTCAGGTTAAGAACTTTGTTTCAGGATGAGAACAGAAATCACGTGGCGGCGGCGCGGCAGCCCCATTAGCTAAAGTTTCAGGTTAAGAACGGACCACCAGAACGAATTAAGTTCTTAACCCGAGGTACCACTGTACAAGGAGAACATTTGGCGATGCCTGTAGGGGTGACAGCACAAGCCTACTTCTTGCTCTTCCTAAGGTGATACCTCTGCAAACCCCAGAGGGGCACTGAAGCCCGTGCCTTCCAAGCGAAACAGCAACTCACCGGTGGAGGAGATGATGGCGAAGAGCTCCTGTAAGGAGGGCAGCAGCGTGTCGGGCTCTGCCTTCCAGATGCTGCGCAGGAGGCCGCTGACTTGGGTGACCTGGGAGACGTAGAGGCGCAGCTCGGCCTCGCGGGTGCCCTGCGTCTGGAAGTGGGCGATGCTGCGCACCAGCTGCTGGCAGAAGGCGAGCGCGGGCTTCCTGCCGCGGGGCAGGCACTGCGGGAAGTCGCTGAGGAGCTGGCAGAGGCGAGCGCACAGCGGCGCCGGCGGCCTCTCGCTCACCAGGCGCAGCGCTTCCCCTTGGAGCAGCGCGAAGAGCTCCAGCACCGCCGGGCAGCTGATGAGCAGGCGCAGCCCCACCTGGATGTAGTCCAGCACGGCCGGGTCCAGGCTAGGCCCCAGGCCGGGAGCCACGGCGGGAAGAGGCGGCGGCGGCGGCAGCGCCGGGTCTCCCCCCTGGAGCAAGGCCAGCACCAGCCCGCGCGTGAAGAAGGCCTCGAAGTCGTCGCGGTGGTGGCGGGCGTAGGCCTCGAGCACCTGCCGCCCCACCTGGCGCTGGAACTGGTCGGGGCCCTGGAGGATGAGGCGGGTGCTGAGCGAGAACATGGCCCGGCACTCGGGCGCGCTCTGAGGCGTCTCGGCCGACTCCACCACGCGCCGCACGATCACGCGCTTCAGCGGCAGCGGGTGCGAGGAGCTCACCAGGCCCTCCAGGATCTTGTCCATGGCGAGCGCCGGCCCACCATCGGGCGACCAGGCCCCGCCGGCCCTTCTCTTCCGCCGCCCCCCTCGTCACCCCCCCGGCCGGCAGCGGCACCTCAACATCGGCCCCAGCCCGCCTTTCTCGGCAGGTTTCGAAACACCGGTACCTCAGAGGCCCCGGACGCCGGGAAGCATCTGACCCGGAAGCGACGGAGCGGCGCACAGTCACGCCAGGCAGGAAGTGGAATTACTCGGAACGCACATAAACAACCGGCGGAGCGCTCGTTTTTTCTCCGTAAGCCCTAGCAACGCGCATGCGCCCATTCCGCCGCGGAGGGCGTGCTGCGGCCCTTGCGCTGCGGCCCAATCACAGAGCTCGTGGAGGTAGAGAGGCGGGGCCGCGCGATAAAAGAGGGAGGGGCGAAACCTGAGGAGGAGGAGGAGTTGAAGGGGCGGGGCTCTGCTGGTCACTTGAAACGGTTGGGGGCCTGTCAAGAGCCCTCGCGCCTCTTCTCTAAAGCAGCTCATCGTGGAGAACTAAAGCAGGGGCTCAGGACTCAGAAACAGCTCTCTGGTGGGCTGTGTGGTACTTCAGACAGCAAAGGTCTGGTCTGTTTTGTTTTGTTTTGAACGCTCTCCTATGTGCAGCACTCCTCTCAAGTGGAAAATAGCCCAACAAGGAGAGAGTTTTCTACCTTAGGGGATATGGGGTTTTCTACCTTAAGAAGATGAAAACTTTCCTGGATCAGACCAAAGGCCTATCAAGTCAAGCATTCTGTTCTCCACAGCGGCCCAGCAAATAAGAAAGAGATGGTTGCAATAGCCCGTCCCTCTCGTGTTCCTCAGGGGCAGCTTGTCTCAAAGGCTTCTTCCTCCATTGGAGGCTTCTTGGTGGAATGAGGAGAAAGGGTTTTTTTGGGGGGGGGTTCCCCCCCTCACCTTGAAGTCTCCTTATACCTGCCCCTAATCTGTTTCAAAGCATTGAGAGACCCTTTCAAACAGTGTGAGAGGATACGGAGAGGAGAAGGTATTTTATTATTTAAGGCATTCATATGCCTCTTACCCCCTTACAAATACTAATGATTATCACAGTATTGTTCGCTCTGACCTTGGTCTTAGGTCGGGCTATTTCATTCCCTTGATCTACAAAGATCTATTTAATTAGAGATGCCAGGGACTAAACTTGGGTTGTTCTATGTACAAAGGACATACCCTTATCGCCGAGCTATGACCCCCTCCAGACCCAAAGTATTGCCTTGTTCTCGTTTTGGAATTTCTCATATAGCAGCCACTTCCATTTCTCAAATATTGAAAAGAGGAGGCAAGGAATATCTTTTATTGTAGTAATGCAGTACTTTTGTTACATGACCTGCTTTGTTTCTGGGGCAGAAAGCTTCTTTTCCAAAACTTCCCTTTATAGATGTGAGCTAGAATGTGGGTGATTTTCACCCTGTAGCAAAGCTGCATTCTTAAAGCACCCTGTTCTCCATGCTGTCTGATTTTGATCCAGAAGATTCAAATGTGCAAGAGATTGATTCTGTCCTTCATTTTGTACCATGTTAGCCTATATGGTTAAAATTTAGTACATTTGGCAGAAAATGGTAACAGTTACACTTTCCCTTACATTTCACTTCAAAGTTTTAAGTGTGTGAGCCAGCTTGGAACAAAATCACACAGAACACACTCCTCATCCAGTAGGCCCTGTATTAGATGTAAGCCAGACTTCTCACACCATAAGTGAAAATTGTGAGGGGAAAAAGATGAAAGAATTTTGCAGGTAGGTCGCTAGGTAGTGAGCAGCTCATGATGTGAACAAATGTGGCATAAGCTACTAAAAAGGAATGTCGGAACCTGGACAAAGAACAACACAATATTTGTTTTCTGAACAGCAACAAAGAAAATCAGTTGCTCGGTCACTTAAAAAAATGATTTGAGAGTTGCACCATTGCCTCAAGCAATTGTATCGTATGTTTTTCTCATGTAACTACTGTAGTGTAGGGATGCCATGTGATAATAGTTACTTTGTAGGTGGTATTTAGAGGTTAATCATATACAAAGTACTTTGAAGGCTAGTGCTCATCACTACTAGTACAACTCAACAAAGCATGACTAATATTTGCACATGGCTTCAATTCCAACCATCATATAAATCCCTCCCATTTAATGTGCTGATTGTGCTTGTCATTAAAAATACTGGTAGTCCATGTAGCATCTTAGTTCTAAGTGTTACGTATGGAGTACTTTTTTAAATCAGCCATGTACCCCACACATCAAAGTGAATTTATTCTCTTCATTGCCTCACATTTGTTCACAAAGCACAATGCTATCAGTTGTCCAAACTGTGTAAAACTTGCTTGCTCGGTTTCATAAACACATGATTCTTATTCACCACTGATAATCACTGGCTTCAGTCCCGTGATTCACATGAAAATTGATATATGTCCACTTGAAAACAAAGGCTTGACAGCTCTAATTGTGGAAATCAATTGTGTGCGGTCTCTGCCTATGCAGTGAGCTCACTTGGATTTGTTCTCTGCTAAAGTTGTGAAATATAATGGAATTAGCATTGTATTTGCTGTGCACAAACATGTGTTTGAGGACAGCTATTTAAATTGGACAAAAGCACTTATCATTCACGATAGAGAAGTAGTATAGAAGATCCTCATTTTTCAGTCTCCTTAGAGGGTTTCATATGGAAAGGAAGTGACAATAACTTCACCACACCTTCTGCAGTGTTACACCATTCTTCCCACTCTTTCAGACCCCAAATATAATCTATGTAATTTAAACCATAGACATATAGGAAGCTGTATTATACTAAGTCAGGGGTCGGCAACCTAAGGCCTATGGACCACAGGTGGCCCATGAGGGTCATTTACCTGGCCCATGGACCCTCGCCACCCGCTCGGGGACCCCTGCCGCCCACTTGGTTGGCTCCCATGTGCCATGCTAAACCGATGCGGAGCAGAGCGGGGACTGCCTTGCGCAATGCTGGCCGGCTTCCCATTGGCTGCAGGAAGCTGAACCCCGCAGAGTGCAATTAACTAAACATACAGTTTTGTTCCAGTAGTGGCTCTTCATACTCTGAACCTTTGGGTGGGGCATGAGTGGACCACATAGGTAGCCTTCAAAGAAATATATTACCTTGCAGCGGTTAATCTTAAATCCTACCACAAATAGTTAATAAGAGACCGCTACTGTATAATAACAGAAAGTGTTTTATCTATGAATGCATCCCAAGTATTGGTTACGTTGCCCAGCACCCAATTTCAATGAGGGCATCTGTCATACCTTCCTCCATAATATAATTCCTTATCATTCCACAAGCTGGCAGTACATTTCACAAGCTAGGAACGTGACTTTCTAGACTACACAATGTTGGCAGTAGTACAGCTTGGATAATAATAATAATAATAAAAATAAATTAATAATATCTCTGCCAAGGGAAGGAAGGCTACATGCATCCACTTTATTATGTTAATAACAGGCTAGTGAAAATGATTTCCAGATTGCAACTGCAACATACAGTTACAGACCTTGAGTTACAGACACTTCAGTTTACAGTCTCCGCTAACCCAGAAATAGTACCTCGGGTTAAGAACTTTGCTTCAGGATGAGAACAGAAATTGTGTGGCCACGGCGGCCCCATTAGCTAAAGTGGTACCTCAGGTTAAGAACAGTTTCAGGTTAAGAACGGACCTCCAGAACGAATTAAGTTCTTAACCCGAGGTACCACTGTAAATGTAAAAACCTCACAGTCACCTTGAAAGCTTCTGCTGGAAGGCAGGATAGAACTATTTTAGATAAATACAAACCAGTATCCTGCCTATTAGTTGGGATAATATTTCAGAACTCCCAAGAGAGAAAAACTGGCAGTCCAAAACGGGGGTAGGGAACCTCAGGTTCAGGAGCCAAATGCCCCTGCGAACTCTCTTCCCTTCTTCACCTCTTGCTGGCCTGCTCCACTTTCTCCTTGTGTGCATTTGCCTGTCTGGAATGTGCTGTTGAACGATGATCATGCATCTTACATGCATGGATGGTGACGTGCATGTAGAAACCTCAGGATTTTGCATAGATCAAATATAGCCGATTGTACAAGGCAAGAGTCGCATCTACTGTTCCACCCACTTTTTGCCTCTGGCCACAACTGATATGTGGGCCCCACAAAGTTGCCTATGAGGGGATATGGCCCTCAGGCTGAAAAATATTTTCTACCCCAGGCCCAAAGCCTTCGAAATGACAGTATCTCTCCTGACACCCAGCTGGGATGAGTCATATCCTTGGTGTGGCACAGATAGAGGTTTCACACTACAGCAGAGTTCCTGTGTGAGATGTGAGGCAGACAGAGACTACAGCATTCTGCTTGCCATTCAGTAAGATTAGATCCTTTGTACAGTTTTGGTGGTCCAAAGGAAAGGGGAAAGTCAGCCCAGAACTCATCCTTTCATTTTCCTTGTCTCAACTCCACCCTTGTGCAACAAGACAGTATCCTCAGCTGTACCTGAGAGCAGGAAGCTAGCTTAGGGGGGTACAGGGCCGACTTTGATGCACACACAGCTCTTTCTTGTAATATCACTGCTGCTTCCCAGCATCTGCTACCTGAAGCAGATGCCTCACTCTCCCAAGGATAGGGACATTCCTGCGAATGCAGATCCTTTTATGCCAGTTTTGACAGGAGTTTTGACACCAGATCCTATCTGTGTAGTAGAATATAGGCTCAGGTTCCACAGCTCATAGTAGCATCCTCTAAATGAATACTTTCACTTTGGTTTTAATACAAACCAGATTCTGTGCTCCTAGGTCTGTTCTAGGGAGACTTTTCTAAAATTAAATTATTCATATTTCCCTTCAAAGAAAAAAAGCCACCTCTTGGCTGTAAGGCTATATATACACACTTGACTCTTTGAACTCAGTGGGCCATGCTTCTGAGTAGACTTGTATAGGATTGTGTTTACGCCTTATATTCATCACAACATAATGAATACTTATCAATTCTGGAATGGGGGAATCTTGCTTTCTGTAGTACTGTATCAGTTTAGTGGTTTTTTATAAATATTATTTGCTTCATGAGACTTCTTTTTAATATGGTACAGTTGTGAACATTAAAGCCTCCAGTTTTTTGTAAGCATATGGATTGCAGTTCCAAACACAAGGCACATCTTATTTAACTCTCCTCTTATCCACAGGATATAGGATTGGGAAACCACTATTGACTTGCTGTTAGGACTGAAGGATGAGATAGCTCTCTGCTCTAGTGAAACATTATTTGGTCTTCCTTACTCCAATCTGTATTTCTGCCATTCTACCAATACTGATTGAGAGATGTTTCTAACTTCTGTGGAGTGGATGCCCCTGTGACTAAAGGGATGAGTGAACATGCACATGCAGATATTGGCATTTAGCCCCCATAGAATTCTATTTGCATTTCTTATGATACTTCTCCTTGTCCTACAGAAGGTAGAACCTAGGTTTCCCCATATTAATTCATAACTCTACCCCTTGCAAGATCAGATTCAAATTTGGGGAAAGAAAAGCAAGGAGAAAACACTGCCTTCCTCACAACCAGGAGACCAGGTCCAAATCCTTACTCGGCCATGAAGCTCATTGGGAGGCCTTTGGCCAATCACTGTCTCTCAGCCTAACCTGGGCTTGGTAGGATAAAATGGAAAGAGGGAGAACCATGTATGCCACCTTGAGCTCCTTGAAGAAAAGTAGGATATAAATATAATAAATCAAAGTATTTAATGAAAAATGAACATGTCAGTCTCATGGGCTCAGGCTACAGATATATCATCACTAGATAATGAAATCTCTGCTGGTATGTTTTGTCTTAATTTACTGCTTTATTTTGCATCACACCTTCTGAGTGGTAATTTTTATAATTATAAGTAGTGTAAAAATCATAACAAGGTTTCCAAAGTATTTCTCATCATTTGTAAGATTGCTATTTACCAAGGTCAAGTCTTTTCTAAGCTTGTCTTAATACTCATTTGTCCATAGTTTTACCCCTTGTGTAATATTTACAGCATTAAATATAACACCTTGGATCCATAGGCTGCGATTACCAACGCCTGTGAACCAGGCTACACCCAAAGCTTCATCTTTTTCACCTTTGGTCCACTTAACATAGGCTATGTAGGGCCTCCGGATTATCTAATCTGCTGGTTTTCTGAACAGGTCTAGCTAGCTTCTTGGGTACTTTATACTGTGTCACAAACATGTATGCCATACAGAAATGATATCTAAACCTACCTTGAAAATATGCCTATTCCCATTTTGATCCAATCTTCCATTTTCTTGTCTGGATGATCTCAAAATAATCAGCATGCAACCTTGGGTTTATGAGCTGGGCATTTGTATATCCTTGGCAATGATGGAAAGAAAGATTGTCCAGAATTAACAGCAGGCATGGTGTGAATCTTTAATCCCAAGGACTCTTCTTTGATAGCTCCCAAAATTTTGGTTCTAATGGTTCCCAGGTTTTAAAGCCTAAGCTCCTCCCCACTAATTAGGGCCAGTCTCATAGAATCACAATCTGTTTAACCTGCTGGGCATAATTTTGATTGTGGATAATGGGAAGAATATGCATGCATTTGTTATGAAGATTATTCATGACAACTCATCATTAGAATACTTCTGGTGATGAGCATCAGGACTCAGAATTACTGTGTTGTTAAGCACAAATGGGCAAAGTGTCAGTTGCCAAAGAACAACTTTCACATAGCAAGTGGCTAAATCCATTCTGTCCTGCTGATGGCCACTGTCCTGTGATCTTTGGGTGAAGGGTGATATTTAAATTTTGATGATGTTGATGTTGTTGTTGTTGTTGATAATAATAATAATAATAATAATAATAGTTTTTCTTCTCCTATTCCCCTCCTAAACCTACCATTTCCATAGCAGTATAACAGCCAGTCCCTCCTCCCATGGAAGTCGGGGAACTTCAGCTCTGTCAGGCAAATAAGGGTCTCCTAACAACACTCAACACCTTTAGCAAACTACATTTCCCAGGATTCTTTGAGGGAAGCCATTACGGCTTTAATTGTATAGTGCTGATGGCGCCTTTGTTTCAGTGTCACTAATGATTTAGATAACAAAGTTCCTTATCTCAAATTGGGAACTAGTGCTGATACAGTAGTGTCCACCATCATGACTTTGCTGGTCTAGTGTCTTGGACTGACTCATGATGATGTCAGCACATTACCACAAACTGTGACACCACAGTGACACAACTGCCCTTAGATCTGACCCTAAACAATTATTTGCCAGGTAGCAACACATAAAGAATGACTGTCAATTACTGGTGTGACTGCTTAGTTCTTTCCCACTTGTGTAGATAGCACAGAATAGCTGAGACTATTGTAGTGGTTTTGGAAATAGTATAGGAAAGAAATGCACTGTGAGAAGGAGTTTAAAAGCAGAGGGGAAATTGGTTTGGAAACATGAAGGCAAGAGAGTAGGAACAAAGGGAACCAACAGCAGGTAGTCTCGTACAAGTTGTTCATCATCAGCAGTGCTATATGCAAAGTAGAAAGAATAGCTACCTTTATTAGAGACATACGTGCAACTGTTGTCTTTGAGAAAGGGAGACATTTGCCATTTTGCTCCTGTGACTAGGCATGGATGATTCAGGGTGGTGGTTAGACCAGGGCTTTTTTCCAGCCAGAACATACCAGTAGTCAGTTCTGGCACCTCTCAGGTGGGCGCCGTTGCCATTATAAGAGAACAAGGGAGGCATTCATGGTGAGTTCGGACACTTCTTTTTCTAGAAAAATAGCACTGGGTAAGACCCCTTGAATAATAAAATAAATGGAAAAAGAAGACAGGCAGGACAATCCTACAGATGGCTGCTGTTATCCCCAATCATCAGTGTAGGGGTTGCCAACCATTTGGGGCATGTGAGCACATGTTGAATTCTGTGCAAATGCTGTGGATATACATCCTTGGCCACTTCTATCCACATTCTCCTAGAACAAGTCTCACCGCTTCGCACCCCACATTTTCTGCCATAGCTATATTTTTGGGTTCGGACAGAAATATTTGCAGAGTGTCTCTGAGTCCAAATAGAAGTATAAAATGTGTGTTGAAAGAGCATGTGGCTTTGAGATTTGGGGTGGAATTTGTTTTTAAAAATAGCTTCATTCATTTTTACACTTATATCCCCTCTTTCCTCCAAGGAGGTCAAGGTGGCACACACATTTCTCCTCCTCTCCTTTTTGTTCTTACAATAATCCTGTGAGGTACATCATCATAATAATCAAACCTTTTATTGGCATCACATACAAACATCAAAAACAAATCAGTACAGAATTACCACTTCCCCAGTGGCACAAAATATTTAGGAGGCAGAGCAGTCTATCATCACATCGCTAGGTCTCCAGGGAGATCAGATGTCTGCAGTATATTTCGACGACAGAAAACCAAATAGAGATATTTAGCCACTAACTTGGTGAGCTCCTGATCATTCCCCAGTAATAGAAAATGTATGACCTCCAACTCTGGTTTCCATTTGGGGATACAGAGTTGATCTAGAAACTGCTGACAGAGATCAGCATATAGTTTACAATTAAGAACCATATGTGTAAGGGTTTCCACCAGGTGGTCTTCACATGGGCAAGTTCTTTCTCCTTCCACCCTGCCTGAGAACCTTCCCCAAAGGAGGTTTGATGGATTTGAATTAAACCTGGCCAGCGAAAATGCCCTTCTTTCTTGAGGGTTAAGCAGAAATTCAAGGTAATTGTGGTTAGTTGCATGTGCCCAAGAAAGTTGAAAATAAAGAGGGGAACATGTTTTCACTGAAGAGAAACCTGTGAGGTACATAGGTTAAGCTAAGAGACTTAAAGTCAACCAGTGAGCTTTATGTCTGAGTGGAGATTTGAATCCTGGTCTCCAGGTCAACACTCTTAACCACTACAGCACACTACTTGACATTCTCTTTGGATGGGCTGTGTCCTACTAGCCCAAGTGGACCCTCCTCCACTGGTGACATCATTTAATCTATCTCATGATCTCAGCTAAACACAGCACAAACGTATTGCTAAGACAAGCTTATAGCACCTCCTGCATTACAGCTAATGCCATAGCCCAGAGGCCAGGAGAGCCTACTGCTACAGCTAGCAGAGCATATGTAGATAAGGGTTTTAATGCACTGGCAGCCCAAATAGCAGTAGCCTATAAACTGCTACCCTTTCATTTTGGAAAATTCCCAGGGCTATGTAGAGAAGAAAGACTACCATTCCAGTTACAGTAGTCAGCAGGTTCAATTGACAATGGCTGGGAGGAACGGTACGTGTGGCAGATCTCTCAGGAAAATAATTCAAGGCAGCCTTTGCTGCATGGACAATGGTGCCAAAGAGATACTGACCTGGATTTAGTTGGACTTACGAATTAGAAGTCCCATTCATTTCAATGGGAACTAACTTAGAATGATATAATCAAGGGGTTGGAAGGGACCCCAAGGGTCATCTAGTCCAACCCCCTGCAATGCAGGAATCTCATCAAACTCCTGCTTAAAAACCTCCAATGAAGGAGAGTCCACAACCTCCGAAGGGAATCTGTTCCACTGTTCAAACTTGCTCCATTCATTTCAATGACACCTAAATTCAATTAACTTAATATTCATCTAACTCAATGCTAATAGCACTTCACCCAACATGCCTATATTGATGTCTGTGTGAGAAGAACAAGTTGCTTGTTTGTTTGTTTTGCAAGGGAACCATCTGAGAAATCAACAATGAACACTGCAACAAGAAGCTCATAGGAACTAACACCCACATGGCCCAAGCAGTGTTAGTTCCAGCCATCCTGGAATAGTTTTAATCTCTATTCAACAGAGATGTGACCAACACCCACTATGTAAGATGCTGACCCACTGGTAGGTGGATGAGAAAGATCATTAGCTTTCCACCCATCTACAGATGGATAGTATTTTTGGCATGTGTTTGTTTACTGAGGACATGTGGCATGAGATTACTTTGAGACAACCCAGAGCCATTGTTGTCTGCATGAATACAAAGTTACTGTAATTTTAAACTCCACTATTCACATTGTATTTGCTGTATAAATACCGCTGTTCCTGCATTAATTTGCACCTAGATAAACATAGATGCTGGTTCTTGAGAATGTACCTTCCTTTGGCTCTCCTATTTAATGACACACGTTTAACAAAACAAGAATTGTAATGCTGATACAATCTCTTTCACGCCTTTGTATTGGTCTAAATGCAATGGAAAGCAGGGCATTTATAAAGAAACACTTTTTGAAAAATGATCCATTTGAATCTGCTCGGATACCTGCTGTGGAAATAGCCTGTTTATATAAATGGTGTTATACATCAGTATAGATAGCTCTCTGTCAGGGAATAGTAAAAATAGATTGGCTGCAAAGTCATCTGTGACTCAGAAATTAGATGGAATAGTGGACTCTGCAAGAGCTAACTGTGCGGCATCTGCTAGAAAGTATTATGTGCACGCACACTCTGCTGAACCTGTCCTGAAAGATGTATCAAACATTGCACAATTTCTTAAAAGAATTCATTCATCAAGTGAAAATGAACTAAAGTAGATTGCCTACGGCTTTTCTTTTTATGCATAGTGATTTTTATAAAAGTAGTTTTTTGGAGAAATAGCTTGCTGAACCTTGATGAGATTCTCAACCAACATTTTAGACATTATCCTTATGTAGATATAAGAAAACACCACATTGACTAAGGGCTGGTTTGCACAATATAAATACCACGAGGGCTGCTTTAAATCGCTCCATAGCTGTTACTACTTGATGAGTTTGTCTCCTCATGTGATCAGGCAGCTTTTGACAAGCCCTGGCAAGTAGCCATCAAGAAGAGTTTGTAGTGGTATGGTAAACATCACCTAATCTGTTATCAGCCCTAGATCCTCTCCACTATGTTGAAGAGGGCATCAGGTTATTGGAACATATCTTCACATGTGGTGGGGACAGAAATGGTTTTTTTTTCTGGGAGATGATTTATAATGAATTAAAAAAGGTATTTAAATATACCTTCTTGAAGAAACCAGAGGCCTTTCTCCTGGGCATAGTCGGCCAATCGGTGTTAAAGAAGGATAGAACTTTCTTTATGTATGCTACAACAGCAGCAAGAATACTTATTGCAAAGTATTGGAAGACACAAGACCTACCCACTCTGGAAGAATGGCAGATGAAAATGATGGATTACATGGAATTGGCAGAAATGACTGGCAGAATCCGAGACCAGGGAAAAGTCGGTGGAAGAATATTGGAAGAAATTTAAAGACTATTTACAGAAATATTGTAAAATTAACGAATGTTAGAATGATGTTGGATTGAAGTTAAGTGGTTTCTAGCTGTAATGGTATAAAAGAATATGAAAAAATTGGATTTTTAACAGGTAAAAATTTAATGCTATAATATATTAAGATTAAAGATCAGGATAAAATAAGGAGGGAAATGAATTGCTGAACTAATAAATTGAACCGGAATACAAAAAAGGGAGGTATGAGGAGGTCCGGGAAACAAGCAAATGAAAGATAAGTGACGAAAAGATGGAATTGTTTTTAACTGTTTTTTATTTTTTATTTTGTATTTTTTCTTTTTCATTATGTAATATTGTGAAAACTTTAATAAATATTTATTTTTTTTAAAAAAGGGTTTTTAATGGAATTAGTGCTATTGCAAGGCAGACTAATACAACCCTCTCTGCAATTGGCTCTATTTATTTTTTAGGGCAGGACAGAGACCTGTTAATTTGGGAGCTGATAAACCTTTTGTTATAAGCAAACAGAGCGCTGGTGGCATATGCATGGTGTGACCTCAATAGAGTGATTATAGATTCCTGGTACCAAATCTGAGAGATAACATTACTTGAGAAATTGATACGCAAATTTAAGGCAATGCTGGGCTGGTGTAGATATGAGTGTGTGGCACAATTTGGTTTTATTTTACAAACACAGAGGAATATGACTGGCCTTGGCTGGATGGTTTTCTTCATCTGGTAATATGGAAAATGAAAAAACAAATACCAAAATTTAGTATAACAGTTCTAGTGCTGGCAGTCCACAACAGCTTGACTGTAATTAATTTTATGTATTTTCTAGAATTCTTTGTTCATTATAATTTTATCAAGTCCAATAATTTCTTTGGTTGGTTGGCTTTTTTAGTGATTTAATATTTGTGATATATGTTATAACCTAATCTGCAGCCCATGAAGTTTGCAGCTCCATGCACACTTGGCAGATGGAGAGATTTTAATCAGTCATTGCAAAGCAGCCTACAATAACCACCCTGTAGTCTATCCAAAGAGCAAAGGATTCCCCCCCTTCCATTAGAGTCCAGTAAGCAGCAAGTCTTTTTATAATAGGCAACTAAGCTTGTCAAAAATATGATGTGAAACTGAGCAGGCAATGAAGAGATTGTTCGATAAGGACAGTGGTATTGGAGCTGTTTCCATATGTGCCAGCCCCACACAGCTCTAGCAATGTCTGCATGAAAAAACCACATGCACATGAACATTCATCAGCATTTTAGTGCTCCTGATAAAAACATTTTTGCATGCCTTTTTGACTAATATACACATTTTTTGCAAGCACTTTTCTCCAATATAATGCATTTTTATATGCTATTTTCACTAATGTATGCATTTATAGTCACTTTACGCTGATATATCCATTTCTGTACACATTACTTGATTCGAGTGCTGTACTGCAAAATTCTCAGAAGTGTGAATTTTAAAAGATGGCTGTGTTTTGGAAAGTGTGAATTAGGTAAGTTTGCCTTTACAAGCAAACTATCTAATTTCTCCTCCATCTCTAGCTGAGGAAGAAATTTGTCATTGATTTCAGTGAAATTTATCACCAAGCAAGAGTGCTTAGAGATCACAGCCTAAGGTTGGGTGCTGAAGATAGTATTTGAACAGCAATTTCCTAAAGTAGTCTACTAAGGGGTCTATCTCTGAGTTAGAGGAGAGATGCAATTTTCTCACTGTAGCAGGAGAGCTAAATCCTTGTCAAATGTGTGATATGCAGCAGAAACATCTGCACTAGCTGCAGGTTAAGGTTTTTGCCTGCCTTGAGATGTGGTCTCTGAATGTACATTTGCAGATAAGAATGCACAGAATTCTCACATGAATAGTACTAAAACAATGATAACTGAGGGCAGGGGGAGATATTTGCTTGATTCAAAGAAGAAATACACCATGTAGTTGCATCTTGTATGCTAAATTGCTAAAGGAAGTGCATTTGGAACAGTTGGGTGTATTCATGAGCAGCACTAGTGTCTTGTTTATTTTAATCAGAGATGAACACAATATTTTGTATTTCATTCTCTGTATCAGCTGAAATAGACTGAAGATAAATTCCTGTGAATAGTGTGATGATCCTGTATAAAACAAATGCTGAACATTTCGAATAATTTGTCACCAGGCAAATATACTGAGCTAGCAGAGCTTATTGAATCTGAATTATATGTCAAGATGAACTATGCACCTTGGTTTAGATCATACTCTCATTTAGAATAAAGCTATTTAGAATAAAGCAACCCAGTTTTCAACAAACCACATGGCCAAAGCAAGCAATGGGATCCTTTCTAAAACAATACAGTAGCACCTTGGCTTACGTTACCCTTGGGTAACGTAAACTTCTGGTTGCGGAAGTGGCTAACCCAGAAGTGTTTCGCCGTGCACGCATGCGCAGAAGCACTCTACTGTGCTGTGCGCATGCACAGAAGCGGTCTCTCCAGTTGCAGAAACCTTGGAATCTGACCGGAGCTCTGGAATGGATCCTGTCCGCAACCGGAGGTAATACCTCCACAACCGGAGGTATTACCAATTACATTGTAGATCAGGGTTGGGCAACCCATAGCTTCACACCTGTTGCTGGACATCAACTTCCGCCAGCCCTGACCATTGGCTATGTTGGCTGGAGGAGATGGAGTCCAAAAACACATGGAAAACCACAGGTCCCCACCCTGTTGTTGACCTTCCATCATTATCAGTGTGCTTGCAGGACATCCATGCACACATGGAGCTTTCTGTGTAGTCTTTTCCATTCAGTTTTGAAGATACCCAATACCACTTTTAAATAAACACAGAGCCAGGCAGCCTGCTACTTACTGGAGAGTCAGTTGCAGAGGACGCAGGAAAAGAATGTCAAATTGGAACACAAGTTCTTGTGTTACTGAAGCATGCCATCATCACATTAATATTTCATTCAAATCAATAGAATTGATTTATTTGGTATACCATTCACTGAGCACTCTAGGAATAGTGACCCGCTAGAAATAGCCATTATCAGAAAAAGACCAATGCACATTATTTTAAACAAGTTGCTCAACTCTTTTAATGTGCAACATCGTTTTCTTATCGTAGCGACATAAAAAAGCCCATCAAGTGGTGTGCCACTATTTCCCTCATTTTACGGATGGGGAAATTAATCTGAAAGACATCAATATGCCCAAAGATTTGTCCACAGCAGAACAAGAACCTGAATTTACAGCCCACTATACTGTTCTAGCTTTCATGTGTATGTGTCATGGACTGGCTTGATGCAGAGGAGTGGTAGGAGGCACCAGCTGGAGAACCCCCAGGGGAAGAAGGCTCAGAGCCAGGGGATTGGAGGTGGGATGGCAATAAGTGGTCAGAGGGAGAAGAGGGAGTAGACTGGGAGGAGGAGGTGCTGGATAATGGAGAGGTATCAGGGTTTAGTGAGCAGAAAGAGGCTGTGGCAGAGAGCAGTCTAGAATCAGAAGTGGAAGCAGAGGCTGGGAGGAGGTAAAGCCAAGAGGCAGAGATGAGGCAGTCTGCTGAAGAAGCCAACGAGTCTCCCCTTCCTGCTGTGACCACCTCCTCTCCTTGCTGGTCTCCTAGAACCCACAGAGGTATGAAGAGGGCAGAGCAAAGACAAATAGGGCTAAGAAGTCTCAGGTTGCTTGGGAAGGACCCAGGTGAGGAGGAGACTTATAGAGCTGTAGGAAGGCAAGGACGTTGCACCTGCCTCATTGCAGCCACACTTACTGGGAAGAGTTGCTGTTCTCACTACGCCCGAATTGTTTTGTTTCTTTGAATAAAGAGTTCATTTCACTGGCACCTTGTGAGTTACTGCTGATCTGGGACCGACTCTCGTGTTTACATTTGTAGGATCCAGAAGTTCATGATCAGGCCAGAGAAGTTGTGGTGGCGATGGAGGGCAGCACAAGGGAGAATTAACTGTAGAAAAGAACTTCGGTATGATTCCTGTCAGTTTTATGTGAGGTGTGATTACAAAGGCAAAGCTTTAGAGCAGGGGTGGGGGAATGGATCTGGCTGGCAGGCTGGATCCATATGTGCCCACTGCATGCCAACCTGTCAATCACCTTGATACCACAATGGCCTCAGGTGACCAGAGTTTCTTTGCCTGCAATGGTTTGAAATCAAACAGTGTCAGCAAAGGCACAGTGCTCTGCAGGCACAGATGATCTGCTGTGCCACTGATCAGCTGGTTGGAGGTGCCTGAAAAGGTACAGGGCTCCTCCAGTGTGGCAGGGTGGGCCTGCAAACTCCACTTTGGGCAGGGAGCCACATCTTTACCTGCTCCACACGATTCCATAGATGATATCAGGTGCAGGGCAGGTGGCTATGGTTTGTTTGAAATGGCATTGCAGGTCAGATGGGTAGGTCTCTTGGGCCTCCTTAGGGCCAGATCACCACCACTGCTCTAGGACAAAAGAGTAATGCATTATGAATCAAAATGCATTCCTTCACAAACAAAAAGGAAGCAATCAATATTGTTCAAGTAATAAATATGAATGCAGGAACTTATCATTTATTCAGCAGCACTCTAACACAGCTGAGTCAGACATGCAGTGACATCCAGACCCAACACTGTTCAGTTCATCTACACACTTCATGTTTTACCCTCTCTGTGAACAGAGCAGTTAAGGAAACTTGGGGTTTGGCTAGAAAGGATGAAACAGAACCAGTTTGAAATGAATTTGAATAAGAAAGCCAGAAAGAGGAACTAACAATTATCATCAATGTGATGCAGCTGCTAAAACATGGAAAAATAATAGGGGGGGGGGAGAGAAATATGAAATCCCCTAAAATAAGGAGAGAGAAATTACATTGTAGGGTTTGTTTTTTAAGTGACAGATTTTTGTAGATTCAGGAAATGTATTAAATAGCAGTGCAATAAAATAGATGAACTTAGCGGGCACAGAATAGTGTTTCAGACCAGTTCAAAGAAATAATTACCATTGTTTCTTGTTCTTGCAGCAGCTG